ACCCGTGGGTATACCCACGGGGTATGCCCATCTGGGTATCGGAGGCTTGTTGGACGCTGCTTGAGGAATGCCAAGAGAAGTACCCGTGGGTATACTCACGGGGTAAGCCCACCGGGGTATCCGAGGCTTGCTGGACGCTGGTGGACTGGTGGAAAGTAGGTTGGACAATCGTCTCCCAACAAACTCTCGCACCTCGAGTAAAAGGTTGCGGCCTGCTTGCATGTGAAACGACCGTGTACTGTACTTTGGAATTTACATGGGCGCGTGGTCAACGCCAGAATTACTATTGGTACATGTATCCCCTTCAACTTTCTTTATGTCTGATGACTTGTTGGCAATGCCGAACTAGACCATGCTTAAAGATTTTGTACAGGCGATTTTAAATTCGGCTTGACTAACAAACATATTACAATTGTCTCCAAATCTTAATGCCAAGATGCTAGTGTCATTGTTCTATTAAGAGGGCCGTATTAGAGTTATGGGGTTGTCTAAGATACAGTCTGTTAAGTACTCGACTTTTACTAAAATTACAGCATCACGCTCAATAGGTCTACCCGAGCTAATATCTTGGCAGTGGCTCCGAAAAACATTCATGGTGTGTTTGTTGGTCAAGCCAATTTCGAGATCCTCTATACAAGGCTCACACATTTGTCCCAATTTATGCTAAGAATACCACAGGAAGCCATATCGTCTTTAACGCAATTCCGTGGCAACCCTTCAGGGGCCTAACTACCATATACAGTATGTCGCGATTGGACAGCGAGAATGGAAAATAGATAATCATTTCCTGTGAGACACCTCTTTGAAAGGGCCATCTGCGACAGGTTGCTCCGATCTCAATCAATCACATATCCTGGTATTAGCACAGTGCAGAGAAGATTGCACGTGAAAAAACTATGAGTACTACTCTTGAAATCTATTTTTATTAGTTGAGAGGAAAATCTCTGAGTACATATTGTACAGGATCATAAACTTTGAGGAGAACCACCGACCTGGAAACTAATCAATTATCGTCAGCTTAAGTTAATTATCTAGTGATATAAATCGCGGTGTATAGGTTGTTACACCCCCACAGTCAAGTCTTCGGTTCAGAACCGCCTGGTAACGTTTATGGTCTTGCATTTACTAAAAGCTTTTGTTCAGACATCTTTGCGGAGTTACGAGCAGAGGCATAAATAGTTATAGCTGTATTTCCCTCTGCTCTGCTCTCATTTCTGTCTACAATAATTCTATATGGACTCAATCGCATTGCTACAAGATCGTATGATGAGATGACCCCTTTGTATCTTGTAACATTGAAGGCAGTAAGATGCAGAACACTATTGGTAGACCCATGAGTCCCCCATTAATTTCTTCTGCTGACTAGATCAGGTATAGATTTAGGCGGTGCATCAGTCTCTGTAGCCGTTTTCCAGAGCGGTAGAGCTCACATAATCACTGACTCCCAGGGCCGCGAGGAAATCCCATATACACAGCTGGTCTGCGACCACAGTGCAAGAGCACCAGATAAAAAGCTGGATCATGGCATGGATAGTATGCGTGAAATGACAGTTGTTCTTGCTAGAGTGAAAGATATGGCGGAGACTTACCTTGGCAACGCTGTAAAGGATGCCGTGATAACTGTTCCGGCATCGTACGGGGATACGCAGCGTCTTACTACGAAGCAAGCAGGTCATCGAGCTGGCCTGAATGTTCACCGGTTACTCAATGCACCAACAGCTGCAGCGATAGCTCATTGGTATGATTTTCCCAAGCCTGCTGGATATCTTATGCTGGTATTGGACGTCGGAGCACGTCGAGCTGATGCCACCATCTTTGATATTTCTGGCGGCTTTTTCGAAATCAAATCTAGTCAAGGTGACTGGAACCTTGGCGGTCATAGCTACGACGCCAAGCTGCGCCAGTATTTTACCTACTATTTGCGAAATCAAGTCAAAGATCATGATCTCGAGGCTCTACTCCAAAGGTCCGAGGATATCAAAAAGTCTCTAACTGTTTGTGAGACTAGTACTGACCCTTGTGGTCTTATGATTACTCGGGACCAATACGAAGACATCTGCCAAAGCATCTTCGCAAGAACAATGCTCCTGATTCAAAAGGTGATTGGCGATGCAGCCGTCCACAAGTCGTCTATTGAGGATGTGGTTCTCGTTGGTGGCATCTGTAAAACTCCGATGCTTCGAAAGATTATCTCGGACTTTTTCGGATTTCTTGAAGACAAGCTATTCGAGCCTCACTTAGCTGTTGTGCGTGGCGCGGCGCTACAGGCGGCATCGTTCACAAGCTGTTCTCTCCTTCGTGGATTTCTCGTCTCTGATGTTGTTCCTAATCCTATCTATATCGAACTCGGGAATGACCATTCTGTACAGGTTTTGCCCCGCAACACTAAACTAAGTCGGGCTAAATCAATTGTGACTTTTGTACAATCACCTTCACGTTTTCCCCAATGTTGGAGACTGATTGAAGGTGGAACTGAGTCCAATCAGGTACTCGGTAAATTTGACTTATCTTGCTTTGATGGATTAAATCCCCGCCGTCCGATCACACTTGAGGCCAGAGTCTCTGTCGATCTTGATGGTATATTAAATGCCGTGATTTATCTTGGTGAACCAAAGCATAATATTTGCAGTACTCTTCAACGAGTACCCCTACCAGGGTGGTCTCAGCCGGATGCTGGCGACACAGCAATCCTACACTCACAAAATGTGCTACCAGAAAGCAGTCTACACTCATACATGAGATATCTCCTGGAATTATGCCGCAGATTATCATTTCAGGACCGGACTTTGCTAGCTGCAGCCATTGCCCGCGTCAACAATATAATCTCGACACCAGGATTAGATGATGCTGAGCCGCGACTAATGGAGTATTTGATTAGGTAATAAATCTCTATCCTCTAATATCCGTCACGCTAATTCACTCGCATAGAACCACCGATAGTCTGGTCAATAACCAAACAGTCCCGGAGGCGCAAATGTTGGACTAGGCTTGGTTGTATAGTACTGGGATTATCACGTTGATACTTCAGTGGATAGCTTTCATGGCTAGTCAAATGACATAAAATTGTCAAAGCACAGGATTTCTATAGCATCGAACAAATCTGAGATTCTTCAATGTATACAAAATATTGGAAATCTATAACTACGTTCGCTTGTACAGAAATCCAATGACCTAGCTTTCTTCACAACCACTAAAGGCATAATACTGACTTCAGCTCAAGTCATGTCTATGATGTAATAAATAAAGGAAATGTACTAGTTGTATTGGCTAGTGGTAATCTTGGGTTGACCCTGTGTAGCTATATAGCTAATAGCTTCATAAAGTGGAGATCTAATAGGGACTAATTACCCAGTTATCTTATTTCAAGGGCGTTATAGTTATGGAAAAGAGTGGTACCCCATGCATTAATCTAATATCATGGATCTGAATTAGATCGCTCCGACCTCACGTACTTGTCGGCCTGGAATTGGCCTGTCAAAACCGTTTTATGTTCATGATTTAGACTAGCTTTCGACCGGATTATTTTCTTTGGCCAAGGGAATTTAGTATATGAAATATTCTACATCAGCAAACCATACTAAGCCACTGCTGATATTCTGTGGTCTTGATCTAGGGATAGCTAAAATAAGAGAGAAAATTTGTCAAGAAGTGATAAATCCAAGTCACTTGTGATACTATAGATCTATTCTCATGCAATCTCAGTATAAAGCAGCCAAGTGTCTCAAAAATTGATTGCAGCATTGGCTCCTCCATGAAGGTCGTCTAACAATATTCCAATTTCGCCAATTTCTAGTTTATATAAGAGGTGTAGGCATTACTGAACCATTTATGGATTCAGAGACGTTTTCGCGCGAGAAACATAAGGCATGGCTTGGTACTGCTAAAATACCTCTCGATAGTCTGGAATTCCCGGTGCATGAAAGTCGAATGGACAACAGGCGCTGTGAAACCCGCCTTCTGAAGCTCTTTCGTGAACAATCTTGCGAGAGATATGCTTATGACAATTATATTACTGCTGTCATAAGGAGAAAGGACCTGCTTCAAGCACTTCAAGAAAGCAATATGACTATTGAGTCGCTTCATCAAAGCGAGCCTCCATTTCTCGAAATACCATCAGGTCTACCAATCATGGGGCTTCGTGGGAAGCATCGATGGATGGCTGCGAGAAAATACTTCTCTAATCCTGCAGATCGATGGTGGACCGTGTTATTCTTCGACTTAGATGGTAGGCGATTCCTTAACTTTTCCAAAAGTAGAAACTCTAATAGATTCAACAGCGGTTTCTTCTAAAACCCTTAAATTTATGTCCGAAGAAGACGATAATTCAATGCCCTTCTACGATGGAGAGGTATACTACAAGATCAGAACAAACGAGCTCCAGTCTGATGGGGCGAATGCAAAAAAATGGATTTGCAGAATAGTCTCTGAGTGGAAACAAAGCGACTATAACAAGCTCCATCAGTCCTCGTGTTACAAACCATTTTGTGATGCACTGGACTTACTTCTAAATATTCCAGTGCTTCTGTATGCCTTTCAGTTGGGTAATCTTCGCCGGATCTTTCGAATGAAATGCCCAGAAGAACTAGCTGTGTCAGTCACGCAGGTATACAACGTATGGGCGAGGTTGATGAAGGGGTTTGAGTTGAAGCTTACTATATCCGATGTCGAATATCTTCAAGGACGATCTCCCAGATGGTCATCCGTTGATAGAAACTCTATTGAGGAGGCCTTTGTGAGCGGCAGACTATTTCCCGATATATGTAACGAAAGAGACCGCGTCACACTGAAAGAGAGGGTTCTAGCCACTGATACGATAATCCCATCAATGAGAACATTTCTTGAAAACACTAAGTTCCTGGAGCCAGCTGCTGTCATTCTGCGAGGTCTACTGCCCAGGCGATTTCGCGGTACTATCCAACAGCAACTATTGTTGTGTTATACATATAGGGACAGACCTAGGGAACATTTCTGGCGGTCATATCAGCATCTTTGGTTGACAGCGTTGCGTATATTTCCTTATATAACTTCTTTCAAACCTCTCCAGGATAGGAGAGGAAGACGCATGGCGTTTGTTGGCAATTACTGGGGATTCCTGGCAATTACTGCACGGGACAATGGGTTCTCGTCTCGTCAGATAGACACTCTCCTTGAAACATATCCACATTATGACATCATTCCGCAGCCCGTTGAAGATCCAGCATACTTATATCACTCGACAAATCGCTGGAGGCTGAAAATTAGATGCGGAATGCCAAGTGAGACAGCTTTTCATAATACAGCTCCGTTTCTCTCTTTAGAAAATATCTACCGCGAACGAAAGCCCCAGGCAGGCGCAGCCGAACTTACACATTTTGCCGTGGCTCGAGACATCTTTCTTTCTTTCTTCCAAGGTCCAGGATCAGGAAACACTGAATTAAAGGAGCATCACTCAAATCATGATGGTCTAGACCAGGAAATGACCCCAGCGCCTTCAATCCTTAATCTAGAACAACAAGCGGCCAGTACTAGAGATGCACCTTACCAGAACCTCCACTCAGGGGTAGCTAGCGGACACAGCCAGCCAAACCAAACGGATCTACCGATGATCGATCTACCCTGTACCTCAACCAGTGATACCATTGGTACAAAGTATGAAACCCTCTCGGGGAGTGACGTATATTTGGGTCTAACTCACGTCTTGACAGTGCATATAGAACTCAGCCAGTTCATTCTGCTCTGGATGGTTCAGCAAACTTTAAAGATACGGAGATTCAAGGACACTTAAAACCAGAGACTACACTAAGTAGAGTTCGAAAGGTAATGAAAGTTAAAGACAGAACAGCAAATCTGTCTATTATTGCTCAAAAAGCATATGATGCCCTCAGTGCTCCGCAGACGCCTTTTCTCGTCAACAATCTCGCCAAGAAGGAAACTATAAGTCTATCTGAATATCCAAGCCCTGTGACATCGAAGAAACCAAGCCATCTTACCTTGACTAACAATTCTAGCAAAGTTAGTAAAAGGCCACCTGGTTTATCGATCGAACTTGATGGTGCATTCTCTGTTCCTAGCGGTTTACCAACCTCCTTTCCACAGCAGATCGAATTCCCTGAATATACAGCTAGCGCTCTAGCAGAAACAGAGCATATCAACCAATGGGAGAAAAACGTTGTCAAAGTAAAAGTATCATCAAGCGTGAAGGCCGCTAAAGAGCGCTTATATGAAGCGAACTTCTCAATTGGCCTCTATGTCTTGGGAAGCAGTCCTGGTGAAGATATTCTCTACTGCATTGAACAAGAGAACCTCAAGTTTCTAGATGACTTTCTTCAAGATACAAAACGTAGTAGTTGGTGGTATCGAGCTTTTGAGGATGACTACCTCAAGACGATATCAAGTCATCAAGTTCACGAAGCACTTGCAAACTATGTCTTTGTGGTTTGCGGAGAATCTGAGAGTGATCTTTCTAGAGTCGAAGAATCGCAATCTCCCGAGATCTAGCCTGAAGTCTTCTACCTGATATGACTTCATGATACTCCGTTAGAACTATGGCTAGCTAAAGGCCTGCACTTTGAACATGTCTACATGGAAAATTCAATCTAGACCTAACTTAAGCTTAGATGAAGAGAAAGTATGGATGAACTAATAGCTTAGTCTTGAAGGAATTTATACTGAAAATGATTTCGATTTAAGCTTTAGTATAAATTAGATTGAAAGAAGATGGAAGAAGAAATAGGTAATATTAAGGTCTATCCTAAAGAGAATTTATATCAGAAATTATTCTTCTTATTGTTAATCTAGGCTTTACTAAAGCTTAGATTAAGTGAAAGTATAGATAAGTAATAATCTAGACTAAGAATTAGATTCTCATTAATACAATCTTTATCTAGAACTTATTCTAAATACCTTACGAAAGCTTGAATGAAGAAGAAGTATAAAGGATTCCTAAAAGTGAAACGCAAAAAGAAAAGACGTTGATGTTTCCAGAACATAAGAGTAGCATATCCGAGGCAGAAGACAAGAAGAGAAAATTGAGGGTGGTTAGGAAGGTTGAGACTAGGTATAGGTAGGCTTCGCACGGTATATTTTGTCAAGTTGTGGGAACAATTCTTTGTTGTTATTGATGAGGATAAACTAATAGCCTAGGCTAAGAAACATGTATACTGAGAATTGACTTTAATTGAATATTAGCATAGATGAGGTTGAAATAAGTATGGATAAAGTAATAACCCAGACTAAATAAAGTTTGCATTAAAGTTATCTTATATCTAGGCTTCATTAAAGCTTCAATTAAGAAAAAGTATATATGAAGTAATAGTCTAGGCTAAGAAAGGTTCATAGTGGATATTTTCTAGATCTAGACCTTTTCAAAGCTTGAATTCAAAGAAAATGTAGATTAAATTAAAGTATAAATAAAGGAATAGTCTAGGCCGAAGAGAATACTAGAAATTTGTTCTTAATCTCTGCCTTACTACAGCCTGGGTTTAAAAAAAGCATAGATAAACTAATAGTTCGGGCTAAGAAAGGTTTCTACTAAAACTTATTTAAAATCTAGGCCTTGCTTACGCCTAAGTTAATAAAAGTTGTAAATAAACTAAGAGCCTAGGCTAAGTAGGTTTATATTAAAATAAATCTTTATCTAGATCTTAATATAAATTAGGTTAAATAAAAGTATAGATAAAGTAATAGTCTAGGCTAAAGAAAATCTATACAGAAATTATTCTTAATCTATGCCTTACTACAGCCTGGGTTTAAAAAAAGTATAGATAAACTAATAGTTTAGGCTAAGAAAGGTTTCTACTAAAACTTACTTGAAATCTAGGCCTTACTAACGCCTAAGTTGATAAAAATTATAAATAAACTAAGAGCCTAGGCTAAGTAGGTTTATACTAAAAAAAACCTTTATCTAGATCTTAATATAAATTAGGTTAAATAAAAGTATAGATAAAGTAATAGTCTAGGCTAAAGAAATCTATGCTAGAAATTATTCTTAATCTATACCTTACTACAGCCTGGGTTTAAAAAAGTAATAGATAAACTAATAGTTTGGGCTAAGAAAGGTTTCTACTAAAACTTATTTAAAATCTAGGCCTTACTTACGCCTGAGTTAATAAAAATTATAAATAAACTAAGAGCCTAGGCTAAGTGGATTTATACTAAAAAAAACCTTTATCTAGATCTTAATATAAATTAGGTTAAATAAAAGTATAGATAAAGTAATAGTCTAGGCTAAAGAAAATCTATGTTAGAAATTGTTCTAGATCTAGGCCGTACTAAAGCTTAAGAGAAAGTGTATAAAAACTACTAGCCTAGGCCAAAAAAATATTGATTCAAAAAGATATCTATTTTTTGAATATTGGGATAGATCAGATAAAAAGAAAGTAGAGATAGAGTAATAATCTAGGCCAAAGAGAGTTTCTTAGAAATTATTCTAAATTCGGGCTTTAATAAAGCTTTAATTAAGAAAAAGTATAGACAAAGTGATAGTCTAGGCTAAGAAAGGTTTATACTGGATATTATTTTAGATCTAGGCCTTCCAGCCTGAGTCAAGAAAAAATATAGATATCTTTAAAGCTTAGGCTAAGAGAGATTCATACTATAAGTTACCTTTATTGTACTTGTCTCGAAGATCCAAGTAAGCAGAATCAGTCAATTCTGATCCTCTAAATTAAAGAGACTTCACTCCAGCCAACACTCTCCTACGCATCTTTCTTTCATAACCATTCTTTCAAGGAAACTATTCTACTATAGAATATTAAGCTTAGTCTGAACAAACTGTGCCTCTTTCATATGTCTGACGAACTTCAGGTTAGTCATAGTATATAAGTTGTAATGCCTATGAAATTGTCAGAATAAATCCCTTAAGTTCATTTCTACATTTTATCTAGTTCATTGCTCTTGCAGATGGATATTCTCATCATCCTTGCTATTATACTCGGTGCGATACTGATATTATTAATTATCATATCACTCTACAAATATCTTACTACTCGATGGCCACCCAAAGCCTTGACATTTCTCTACCATCACTGGGAACTGTCGTGCTTTTTATCACGAAACAGCTGGATACGCCGAGTGAGTTGGGCCGAAGCCTGTTCCCAATTACTGTACTGGAGTGCTACACTAGCCTGTAATGGAATAGGCGTCGGATCATCGAAGGAAGCTGGTGTACGCGCAGGACGACTTGCAGTTTTACAATTCCCGCTACTCTTAGCAGGATCCAGGCTTCATCTGGTTGCGGATCTACTCGGAGTTCCGTTAGCTGTTCTTGCAATATTGCATCAAACAGTAGGCTGGATGGTTTTCCTGCAGTCAGGCCTGCATGTACTCTTCTTGAGCAGAAGCATCAATTTCACCTGGGGAGACCCAGGAAACCGTCAGGGTATTATTGTAAGCTCCATTGTGCTATTTGCAACATAGGATTTAACAATTTTGAAGGCAATTTGCTGTCTTGCTGCATTATTCATATCAATCTTTCGGCCGCTCCGAAAGCGTATGTATGAGGTCTTCATCAAGTTCCACTATTGTATCGCTATTTGTTTTCTCGCGTTTGTATGGCTTCATATACAACAGAAAACGGTAGCCACCCTACTTCAACCAAGCTTTAGCCTTGTCTGTGTTGCGGTGGCCACGGGTCTACTCATCAGTACTACATCAGTCCAAATAGGGCGAGTCATATATTTCAACTTTTCAGTTAAGCAGGCGCATTCAATGATCGCTGTGTATCACTCACACGGAGAACGGCAATTGCAAGACAATAGCACCGAGGATCCCCTTATCAGGCTTCTTGTAACATTGCCACGAGGGTGGACTCTAAAACCTGGTCAAACGGTATACTTATATGTTCGGACAAACAATCCATGGTCATTTCTGCAAGGGCACCCGTTTTCGGTCGTTTGGTGGAATGATGCGCGCAGAGAAAATGGCCGAACAGATGACGAAGACCTCGGCCAAGATCTTTCTATACTTGGAAAGGATGGCATAAGAAGGGAGGAACCAGTGACTGAAGTAGAGTCTAATGTCGGGAACCCCTTTGCCTTCTGGTTGCTTGTCCAACCACGGTGGGGCTTCACAAAAGATCTTGCCGCCTATGGGACCTCGACAAAGCTACGAGCTGTGGTTGATGGTCCATATGGTGGTGATTTCAATTTTAAGGATTATGGCCATGTGATCCTTTTCGCGCAAGGAATTGGCATCGCAGCGCAAATACCATACATGCGGCAGTTCTTCTACGGATCATTAAACGGGATACTTCCTGTTCGCCGTATATCGCTTATATGGGAGACGACCGAGAGTATGAATCTTATACCCATCTGACAACCATTCTCTAAGCAGAGGTCTAGGGAATCTCGTTACAGTTGAGCCTTGGATGACACATCTACTTACTCAAGATCATGATGACTACAGTAGAACACTAGTATCTATTTCCTTAACTGTATGGAGAGACCACTGCTGATATATAGTATAGATGCTCAATATCAAGCTGCATGTTCTGGATAAACAGTCTGGCTTGCGATATGGGCGACGCGTCAGCAGCTTTGCAGGCCCTATGAATGTGAAGGATATTCTATCCGAAGAATTTCAAGCCCAGCGGGGAAAGACACTAATCACCGGTCAGTATCTCGAATTCTAATTCAAATCCTGAACTAAGATCCTGAAGTGTCAGCTAATGAAGAGGCTGTTGATGCTCTCCGGGATAAACTATTTCACTTAAGTGAGAAAAGGCTTAGTGGCTCAGGGTTCAAGCTGCTGTGTCTCGATTTCCAGCCAGGGCCTACCACTATGATTTGACGAAAGCAAGATGTAGATAATAGGCACTCGACATGCTACAGTTTTTATATAAGTAATGAAATTTTCCATAACGCACAGCTGCAGGACTCAGTCTTTTTTCAAACCTTATTCCTCAAGCAAATGAAACCATTGTCGCCGAGAATGTTCACCTTCAACACTATTGAGCCGAATCAGCATGATTTTGTTTCAGGCTTCAATCCAACGCCTCTTCGGGAATATCATAGACGGCAGCATATTTTAGCGAGTCCTCTCCTCATCAAGATCTTCAATGCGTGCAAAAGCAACACAGCAAGTGACCCGGATGCAGGCGCTGCCAAAGAGCAAATATTGGCAATAAATATTCACATTCGAGAGCTGAATGCTCAAAACAATCTTGATTCAAATTTTTGTACGATTGCAGTCGATGTGTTTCTATATGCATGGTCCAATCAGGATCTAAACCAATATCTTCATGACTTTTGCCGGATCCATTATCTTCCTGTGGGATGGGCATGTCAGCCACCTGAATTATACAGTCGATATCAGCCTTATACCTGTCGGTACTGGGAAGACTGTGATTGGCACATCCCAACACTTTTATTCAACTTTGTCTGGCAACTCCGTAAAGCGGACGTCAATTCAGACATCATAGACGACCAGGAAACCATAGTAATTGAGTATGGCTTCGAGTTCAATCGACGTGTCAGCAAATTTCATTCACTGCATGGAAATCAGACCTCAACAGTCGGCTATATACAAACAGACAATATTTTGCGCCTTCTCAACAATTTGGGTAACTGTTACAGTTCCAAGGATAAATCAGGTTATGAGACTAGTCGTACTAACCTGAGACGAGAATGCCTTCTTCATAATTATCCTCTCTGTTGGGTTCCAGATACCTTTTCATTGGAGCTGTCAAAAAAGAACCTGTGGTTTTCACGTGAAATTGTGTAAAAAGCTAGAAGACTGTTTGAGTTGTCAAGCTGTGGTCTTGTTAAAACCAATACCAAGTATCTGTGTATCACATGTATTATGAACGGAATAACGAGTCCATCTAGCATGAGCCTTTGAACCTCAGGAAGAATACTGATAATCTTTAAACCTACGATACGGTTTGATAGAACCCTAAGAAGAGATTAATTTGAACTTTGGGTACTTGTTTGGCTCGCCACCAAGTGGGGTATGTATGGACATTTAGCTTGGCTCAATTTGATTGCTCAAGGATATATAATGAAAAGATCAGGTCGCAATAGTGAAGAACAAATTCATCAATACTCAATAATAATCTACTGATCTTAACACAATGACTGCCGCAAATCAGGGTGAAACAAGGTATCGACATATTGGTGAGGTGATTCAGCTACAAATGTATCACCACTACAAATATCAACGTGCGACGAAGCACCTGCGGGATTTGTACGAAGCCTATCGAGCTGGATCTCTTGAGGATGCGGAGAAAGCTATCTGCAGAATCAAAGTCATAAACTCACGAATTCGCGAGTTGAATGAGGAGAATCGGCTTTCCATAGAGTTTGGAATCATTGATTACGGATCTTTCTTATATGGTTGGGAAGGACGACAGGGAACTGCTTATATGAAGCGTGGCCTCGAAGACCTCTGCAGAAGAAAAAGATATGTTAAAGGCTGGAGTTGTCTTCCTCCCCAACACGACTTCCGCTACTTTGAAGAGCCGATCTCATATCCCGGTCAGCATCAGCCGGTGATCTGGGATATTTTGAGTCCGTGGCTTCAAGTGCTGTGGAATCTACATAAAAATTGTTTACACCAGCCATTCATCGGCGATTGTGAGTTGCAAATTCTGGATTATGCAAAGAACGGTGGCTTTTCGGTGCACTGTGACAGGATCCGACATCATTATCACGCCCTCCGTACCTTATTTGTGGCTCTCAAAGAGATGGCATTCTTTTTAAAGAGATGGCAGATGAGACAGGATGCTGCATTTTCAGCATGTGAGTATGGTATCCGGAGAGAAGAGATGCGAAGGGTATGTGAGTTTGAGGGACTTCCTATTGCCTGGATTCCTGATAAAATTGCCATCGAGGGACAAGGCTATACGAAAGTGAGGATTTCAGGTTAGATAGTGTATTAAACCGGGCTTTCTGGTTGGATATATATTCTTGCAAATGTATCACTTAGATTGAAGCACAAGTCTGATTTACCCATGATCAAATCTCCAATATAGGATAGTGGACATATAGATATTGCTGGGGTCGGGAACTACTGAACCCGGCGCTGAGCGCGATCTTTCGTACAACTAAAAGACACGTTCAAACCTTGATATTGCATGTGATAGTCAGCGGTTACGAGATTCAGGCTTCATGATGCTGTAAGCCGCGCTGACCAAGATTCTTTCAATTTTAGTCCTACAGTATCAACACTATCTCAAAGTAATACAGTCTCATAATTCTACCAAGTAAGCAGAATTAAAAAGTTATATATATATGAGATGTCCATCACATTGCTTGGAAGTGAATTAAGTCTAATTCAAAACATCTATACTATACCTATATTAAGTCTCTCTTCTGCATTTCTGGAAAATGTCTTTGATCAATCCACAGTCTAAACCCAAATACGACGGCAATGAAGAGGAATCTGTTGTGTCACCCTCTCCCAATTCTCACGATGTGACTACTAGAACTCTTCCTAGAGAACCCAATGCGGCTGCTAAGTCAAACTCAGAAGAAGTAAATATGACTCAGGCAGAAAAGAGATCAGAGGCAATTAACGCAATCTTGAATGGAGGCGAATATGAATACGAGCGTATATTGGGTGTCAGTAGCACCGAAGGAGAAAACGTAAAAGCACGGGTTTGGAAACAGAAGATCTCACTCGTACACCCAGATCTAAACAATAATTCATACAAAGCAGGACAAGCAACAGCATGTATGTGAGTCGGTATAACTACCAAGATGATGGAATTTAACGTGATGTAGGGCTTAACCGTGCATTCAGAGTCCTAGGTAATTTGTCAGAAGAACGGTTTCAGGAAGGCCTAGACGATATTAGTGCCCAATGGCATAATAGTGCTTTTGATGATGATAATGATGATGTTGAAGAAGATCCGGGGGATGATGATCCTGAGTGTGATTCTAAAACAAGCACAGATAGGGCAACCCCAGTTCAAAAGAAAGCCCCGAGTGAGATAGAGCAAATCTACGCCAAAGCTACATCTGATGTTCTAAGATTGTTGCAATTTAACGATCTAAGCGCACTTGAGGGGGTCTCTGAAGCCGAGGAACAAATTTCGAAATACTACGATACCCTTGGATCTGGACAAGGTTCAAGGGATTTCTCGCTTGTTCCATCAATTCTTCAGGTCACGGCTCAGGGTTACGCAGAAATCAAAGCTTCTCTTGGTAAGAAAAATACACCCGAGATATTCGAGCGATACCAAAAGTACCAGGACACCCTCGAGTGCCACGCCAGACAGTTTGGTTGGCCATCGACATGGCGACTGCCACAGCTCGAAAGCCAAGAGCTGGAGTTGGAAGCTTTCTATAAGCAAGCAACAAAGTATATTTACGTGCTCAAGGAGAACACACATGATGAGAACAGCATCCGAGGCTTAGAAGTCCTGAATGACCAGATCGAAGATTATGCAGAGCAAAACGATCTTATGGATTATCCGACTATTAATTTTCCTAAGTTATGCCATTATTATGGGGAATTGAAGCAGTATTTCCAAAAGCTGAGTCCTTCAAACGACGCAAAAGCTAGGATTGAAGCCCTGCGTAAAGCAGAAACAATCAGAGATGAACTGGAACGATATTGTGTTTCCAGAGGTTACCCTCGAGATTGGATACTGGAGATTCCTGACAGTCTTACTAAGTCATCTCCTCTGGAGAATAAGCTGGCAGGTTTGTACAAGGTAAGGACAAGAGAGGGATACCCTATAATCGGCTACCGGACCTGGGGTAGTGGCCGGAAGTCATATTTATTTGCTGTACTTCCAAATGACGACACTCCTATCGGTGTATTACTGCCTGGAAGAATTATCGGCAAAGACACTAGAGAGAGTTTTGAAAAGTTGGAACAAAAAGTTGAATTTCATCCAAGGGGCACAAAAGACTCTAACAATGGACGGGACTACAAAGTGAAAGCAGCCTTTGTTCATATAAGGAAGAACGATTCTGAGAGAGCCCCAGAGACATGGGTGTTATTGTTTTGCACCAAAACAGAGAACTTTTCTTTCATGACTTTGAGTGCTTGGCACAGCTTCCGTTCAGGCGTTGACGCATACTATGATGTTCTCAAGCTTTATCAGGAAAACGATTTATCAGCACCAGACCACATTACAAAGAGGCTCCCTAATCAATTAACCCTTCCTATTACAAAGTCACCACAGCCTGTGCAGTCTTCTCATGTGAAGCCAAACACAACAAGTCGATTTTCTCTACCAACAGCTGCCGAAGCTGCACGGAATAGAGACCCTGAATCAGCTGAACTGGACAGAATTATGGATGTGCTACGAAATGGAAATAAGGAGGAGCCAAATACCAAGCTCACTCTTGAAGAGCGCACTAAGAGAATCAAGGAATTGGAAATGGAGCTCCAATCCCTTCGAGTGGGGCAGTGAGCTAGGGGCTGTATGATTCAACGGCGTATAGCTTCCTCCGAAGCCCTATAGTATTATCTTTTTGACTTACCCTTGTGTTTTTGTGTTTGAGAGATAAGGTTTCAACGTTTTGTTAATCATATTTGATCAGATCTATTACTCGTATATTAAAACTAGTAGACACATAGTAATACCATTATAAGTAAAAGAGTTAGATTAAGGCTTCTGGGTAGTAGCTCCCTGCATTAGATGAATTGCTCATACATGGGGGGAAGATCCAACCATTCTAGTAAGTTAACAAGCTTCTGGAGTTTGGAAGACAACATAGCAATAGATGCCGCATAATTTGTTGATTGTACATAATCAAGGTCTTTCTGAAGTTGACGTGCATACTCTGCTGGACTCTCCTCTGCACCTGAATTATGTATAGGGAGGTTTACTTTGGTTAGTATTATATGTGTCGCGGAAGTTACAAGCCCATATTCAAGAGGTCTGATTGCCAAAACTGTGAAGTTCATGGTACGGCCTTGGGATCGTATGGTCATATATTGATCTGTATAAGCGATCCGACCACCGCATCGGAAGAACGGGTTGATGAAGTCGTGGAGGATATTGCCATCAGAATTTTGGTCAGGTCCACAAGGGCATAGAAATATCATTTCAGCCTGCTTTTATGAGTAAGAAAATAAATTAGAACTCGGATTTTTTGCCTACCCTTGAAACAGGCTTCTGAGAAAATCGGACCTTTGCGGTAGCGTCAACAGACAGGTGTTGCTGCGCCGCAAGACTAATCTTCACACACTTGTACGGAATCGATGTATCTATTACCGGCATGAAAGGGCGTTTTACTTTTCGGCAACGAAGCCATATATACTCATATAGCTCTAATTTCGCTTTCCTAAAAGTACGTGGTGATATCCGTATCTCGTCATCATTGATATCGTTGTCTAGGGTTCTTGTGAACGGATCAACTTAAGAGTTCAAAATTAAGAAAAGAAGACTTAGGACTTACAGAATAGTAAATTGATCCTTCCACTTCATCATGATCATCTCTATCTCGTTGCTTAGTGACTTACGTGATACAACAGATACATCGGTGTAATTGGAAAAACATAGAGATCTCGGTAGGATGGAAATCTGTTCACCTCACTCACTTTATATGGCATAATCTTAGTTGACCTTTTAGTCAGAGTCAGCTTAAAGATTATCCTCGATATTCGATTCCCCTGATAATACTTAGTACTTCTTCTATACACTCCCCACTCTTGCAGTTTGGTCGTTTACCTTTAGCTAATCCTCACCCCGTTAAATACACGAATATGGCAGTGAAAGCATAGAATCTATCCATAACTCGACTGTGAATTGATGCAGGGTTGGGCTTTACATTTGTCCAAAGGCCAAGCTGCAGAATGTGCTCGATATCAGCTTGGTTTAAGCTATTGTGCATCGAAACGGTAACCACAGTCTTGATATTCTCTCACGATATCAATGCATATGTGATATACCGCAGCAGACGACAGACGACCGAAGTAATTTGACTACATCGGGATATAAGTCTGTTGCTTACTTTACCAACTGGGTGAGATTACGGTCCTCGGCATCAAGTGCTTTTACTGAGTTTCAATGCAGTCCATATACAATCGTTCATATTTTCCCTGGGATATTCCAGCAAGAGGATCAGATCGTGGAGGACCCGACTATAACCCCTGACAGTAGCGTTCGAACGCCTCCGCGCGCTAGGCCTCACACGCACGTGGTACTGAGATATTCTGAGTAACCTCATCTTTCCCATTCCGGACCGCTACAAAGCCCTGAAAAGTTTGGATCCATAGCCTCCATTTCACCGAACCTTTTAACCCCGGGGCCACCGCGCAGAATGCCTTACTTGCTCAAAGAGCCTGTAATCTCAATGAAAAGAGGCTTGATCAAGCAATGAGAATAGCGGGAGATGTTAACTATATCTTTGCTCAAGCACACAAGCGTATGTGACAAGGTTGTATGTAGGATATAAGTTTGTAGGACTTCAACCTGCTGTGTTGATCCCCCTGCATCGTAAACCCAATCACAAGCTGATAACCCCCACTTGGGATTCAATGCCTAGAAAATTGCCCTAAAATGCCGATCTAAGTATGCGTGCTGCAAGCACTGTCCACTAGGACTACTTAGTAATGAATCACTGCGCAAAGCTTATCTAGCTTACATAATGAGCAGGCGACATTCCCTGTCAGCTGGGTCCCAAGGACATTAGTTGGGACAAGAAACGGGCAGCATTTAGCAATGTGGCCAGACGGACAAGATACTGCTTGCCGCTGATGCACCTCAGCTATTGAAATAGCCACAGCTCCCAAGTGCTGTATATAGCAGAGTGAAGTTTCTGATAGACCACATATTGATAGCAGGGTTATCAGGCAAATCAAGTTCATGAGCAGATAAGATAATTCTTGTCCAAGCTTTATTTTATCAGGGAATAATATTAATCTAAAGCTAATTCTTAGAGACGTCACTAGTGCGGGGAAACTATAGATAAACTAGGTCTAGACCTGTATTTAAAGCTGAAATGCAGATACCTCGGCTCAGCTATATTACTACTTACTTGTGATCATATGATCTAGATAAAATACAAGTATTATTAATTCTCTAGAATATATTAAATATATCTAGTGAATAAAACAGTTCAATATAGTATTAAAATATACACGGTATAGTATTATTCCAGCTCTATACCAAGATTAGCTTAATGCAGTTTTAAGTCAGGGTTGCTGAAACGATCAAAGAGTGTAGGTGGTGACTCTGGTATCCGGAAGGCCACTATCTCGGGACCCTGTTTACTGTTTAATTTTCCTATCAATGTCAGCATTGCTTTGTCAGCCATGATAAAGATATATAGATCTTACATCTGGAGTATAAATCTGTCTGTCTTCCAGCCAAATGTGAAACTAATTCAAAAATGCAGACTCTCTGGAAGATCGGCATATTTCTCGTCGCTATTCAGCGAGCATCTGCAGATGGCAATTTTGCGTCGAGCTGTCGGAATGTGACTCTGTCACAAGCCGGACTCTTAGAGGCTCAATGCTATGATTCTTACCAGGAAATCTGGGTACATACGGCACTAAAGCTTCAAGACTGCTACGCCAACTACAATGGTAGCTTTGTGGCTGTAATTGAGTAAAATCCCTTCTCTGGGAACTATGAGTCTATAGCTGACAGAGTTTAGTGGTGACGAGAATTGCACGATGATTCAAATGCAAGATAATAGGTATTTTCTTAGTTTAGTGATATTGGGCTGTGGAGAGAACAAACCAAGCTTCCAATTGTGATCATATCAATTTAGAGTGCAGGATTACCTTGTATTAGCTTATACGTTTCGGCCTCTAAATCCTATAAGTTCTAATAGGTGTTTCTGAATCATTCTACAGTTCATCAAGGCAGTATAACTCATGCAGCAGCAGAAATTAAACGGCTGAAGCCAAATGTTAGTTTGTGGCATCTTGAAAACTACTCGTAACTGACTAAACCAGTTTGTAAACAGAAAAGTGTTCTAGATAATCCTGAAATATAAATACTCTATATCCACTCCCTGCCTCACGATCTTGCCATATGATTCTGTTCCTCACCTTATCCGGCTCATGCTACAGACTCTTTCCGCAAGCCTAACTTTGCCATATCTACTGCTGACTTGCGTGACTCTCATGCAGATATGAATCCCACAGACTCAGTACTGCGCAATTCTTCGACGTTTTCCAATTTCCTTATTCTCTAATAGATCCTTGCCAGCTCGTTGAGATTTTTACAATAGAACCGCCGAGTTGGAGGCCACATGTCTCGACCATGATCAGCCCGCCCGAAAGCGGCGTCGGCCTGTTTTGTGTCACAAGAGCGGCTGGACAGATGTGGGGAACCCGCCCAAGGTGCGAAATCCGGTCGAGCCGCAGATACGCAGTTGTAGATCTAGCGGTGTAATGTTGGATATATTTCCATTTGAACGATATAAGCAGTGTGCGTTTTCTTTAAGGGACTCAACGAGTCCGAATAAGCATAAAGAATTTCAGCCCGGTCACATAAAGAAACATTTTTGGATAGATACTGTATATTGCTAAGCTTGCTGTCATCTACTAAGTTGAGTTAGTTAATGTTACTATCTTGCGTAATCCGACCTTGACACAATAGGCTCTGTCTTTTTGAGGAAGAATCCACAGATCTCTTATTTATCTTTCGAGAAAGTCTCGCAGTCCGCCCAGTTTCAATGTAGCTTAGCGGAGTCTTATGCATGAGGTTCTTTCGTGAAAGTCATAATCTTGCCCGGATTTACTAGTCATCGAGATCTGGAAGAAGTATAAAAAGGGCCTGCTACCCTAACAAAGGGTTTGAAAAAGATAAACAGATCTTGAGTCTACTAGCCAACCTCTTCTAAAGAAAGGCTCCTTTAAATTACTCTTTTGAACTATGGCAGCTTGGCCTACCACTTACTGGAAAGACTTTTCCTCCACGTGTCATGCTATTGACCTGGGTCCAAAAGGTAGTCTAACAGCCACATGCTCTGCCCTAAATGGAACCCAATTTGAGAGTAGACTGGAACTTTCACAATGTTATGTCAATCGAGACGGCAATCTCAGCCCCTTGAAAAGGTAAAGCTTGACCATATAATAAAGTCACAGTATTTGACTAAGTTGGGCGAGTGGTGATGCATTCGCCGACTGTGGAGGATGCCTGTCCTGGCTAGATCCCAATGTCTCGAACCATGAAATGAGTACAGCATGTCCTGGAAGTGGAAAGGTCTATATCACATATACTGATCTAGGTATGCTTCTGTATGTCCTGTGCAGCTTCTTTACAGTGCTGAGGATGCATCAGACACCACTATTTATAATCGTAATGGGCTTCTAGGCTGTTTTGGAGTTGAATCCCAGACAATCTTGGGTGATGTTCAGACTATAAAAAAAATTGGAAACATGTCGAAATCAGTTAGCAACATGGCAAGTTCCACAAAGAGCAAACCCACCAATAGCTCATAGAGTGATACCTAGGGGTCAAGTCTGGTATTCGGATCTTATTGCAGAATATATACAGTATTCACATTAGTAACTGTTTATTTACATGGGTATTCTCTTGATCTAAGTGATATAGCAATTGATCTAACGATTCTTGCTTTATTGGATTTTCTTCTCACTCTATTATGTTCTAAAGTTTACCTTTAGTGATTCACACAATTGAAAACATTTACAGCTAATATCTGGGGTCACTATTTCCGATTCTCTTGCAACCTTGTCCAGAATCTTTTATTGTCAAGCGACCCTTGACGTATATATATTTTGATTTCCTGCTCATTGAAAAGATTCATGAAATAAATTACTCTCGTTGAGCAGACATTAGTAAAGTTGCGAAGTGAAAAGAAGTACACTGCTATCTGAGCGGATTTGACATTATCATCATGGCTAAAAATTCGTCGCATTCATCTCGCAAGGCCAAACAAAGCCTACATCTTCAAATTAGCAGGGAAGAAGACTGGAGACAATACTCTGATCCTGCTATACGAAGAAAGCTACAAAACCGTATTGCGCAGCGAAAGCACCGTAACGCTTCTTTCTACGGCTGGTGAAAGATATAGTATACTGAGTTGTTATAGGCCTTAAAATAAAGCTCTTGAAGCTCAAGTTCAAATCCTTGAAAGAAAAGACTATATCGCAAACAGATCCAATGCACATGGACTCTAAGCAAGTGAATTCCTCTTCTATGAAAAGACACGACAAACGTATTTACAACTCTAGAGGGACACCTTGGCCTCAAAACACACGTACGACATTGTCGAAAGACACATTGGCTCTGGCAAATGCAGAGCTGCAGGTTTTGAGCAAGGAACCTTCGTCGTATAATAATATCTTGGTAACCGCTCTATCAACACTTATCACAGAAGATTGCTAAACTCAAACTTAATAGGGGAATTATCAGGAAGATCTATTTCTTATGTCTGGTGATTGGAATCTCGAATAATTATGAAATGATTATAATCTGAGACAAAACTCTGACATCCCATGTTACTTGCTGATTATCTGTTTTTATGGACCAGGCATGGCATAGACTTCTGAGAACACTAATGTTTCATTTCTCTAGTACTTCAGTAATTTCCATATGCTACCGCAAGTTTTGAGGGTTCGGACTCATTCTGCTTGATATTCTAGCCAGTTGGTATCTATAGAGTTTTCAAAACAGTCTTACCCATTGAACACTTATTAAGCCTAAGATATAAAAGACGATGGAGATTCATGATTCATGGTGAGCGTGCACAAGAACTTCCAAACAGCTGGAAGACACACAACGAAAATAATCAGGTTCATTTCAGTACCACTGTCAATGTATAAGTTAATTTTCAGTCAATAGTAATTTCGAAACTCACACCAAAAGTGCAATTGGGGTCATTGCATAGGTTAGATCTTCAGATGACAATAAGGGTACTGTAAGCCGTAGACGTGCAGCACTTGCAATAATTGTTCTGAGTATGCATGCTTAGAAGTGTTTTAAGAACCAGAGGAGTGTTGGTACTCACATGCAAGCCAATAAAGACAGTATTGAGAACTTCTTCTGATCTGGTTTCGATAACGGCAGATTCCAGAGAAGTACACCGAATAGTACAACAAGTGTCATATCAGTTGTTATGTTGAAAACTGCGACGGAGATATAGGTAGCCACCTGGCTGATACAATCTCCTTGCTCAACAATATTCCATGATTTTGAGATTGGGCGGCAGGCAAAAACAAAGCAACACACCAGAATAAATGAACCCAACGTTGTAAATACTGTAATAACCAGAATAGCTTTGCGAAGCCATTGAACTTCGAGCAGGCGGACAAGGTGATGCAATAAAAGAAGCTGCGAAAGTCTAGCTAGATAAATCCCAAGAACAAATAGACAAGACACGATCAAGAGAAGCTAGAGAAGATTAGTCAAATTCTAGAGATTCTAAGTAGAGACTAAGAAAACAATACCTTCTTATATCTATTGATAGTGCTTGCATCCAAAGAATTTAGATGAAAACCCAGTCCGGCATAGTCGAGAGCATCTGGCGGTGATTAAAACTAGAATTCTGATAGGTTGGCGATGTATATATCATACATAGAATCAGTATCTGGGTTGTAAGACACAAGGTCTTGTCTAAGTCAGCTAAACATCCGCAATTGGCAGATGTGATGACTTACCCACGATGATAAAAGACATACTATATCCAAAGCTTTACTTAGAAAGATAGATTTGATATTATGGAAGAATATGACTTACGTTCTCCATTGTCAAGCCTATTTGTGGTTCGATACCTAGAGTGCAGCCGTATAGCTAGGCAGGCTGAAGATAGCGCCAGACCTACTACAAAGATAGTGTGAATCGGAATGTACAGATATGATGAACTAGATTCGGACATGTGGTCTGATATAATAAAGATATAAGTCTAAGTCATACGGGTGACACATCTCATCTGTTGGAAAAAGCAGTTTCTTCGCTCTTTTTATATATTTGTCAACGTTAGGGCCGAAACTTGTATGTAATTCTCGAAGTTGCTTTGACCAGGAAACATAGTATTTCAATTTTTTCTTTGTCTTACTGCCAAGATTTCAGCATTTTTATTATATTGAGTGGGCTCTAAGCTTAATTGCTAAGAAATTGGACCCGCCGGTTACTCGCCGGGTGACACGGTCAGGAATATATAAAATAATCACAAACTCTCTGCAAAAAGAGTAGAAGATTAAAGAGAATCGAAGACTATTTCTAGTAAGATGTTATATATTTGTATGTTTCTATAAGGGCTAAGGTGGTGAAATAGCATGATGAACGAATAGCTCTTGCGAGGCCAAAGATGCCAATCTATTAAGATGTTGTTGCTGATCTGCCTAGTTCGCGAGTCATCCGCCCCCCCTAAATGGGAGGTCGCGGTCTGCTCGCTTAGCTATCACGTGATCGATGCCTGAGGCCTACTATATAGATTTCCCTTCGCAACTATACGTGAAGGTTGGAAGGGTTGGTTTAGCCCTTATATTTACCTAAAATCTTATTAAAAAAAGTAAGTTATTATATTTGTAAATATTATTTCTTGGTTTAGTCAGCAGCGCCTGTCTGCAGATGGTTAAGAGTTATAATAGCTAAAATTGTTTATAGTTTTTTTTTTTATAATTATAAGCTGCCTATTTAGATTTCTAATAAAGAAACTGTTAAGCTATAAAATACTGCCAGCAGCATTTTTTATAGATATTCAGAAACCATAATGAATCGATTAGCTTAGCAGTTTTTCATGTAATCTTTTTTTATTTTTAATAATAAATTATCAACCTTTATTTGACTTTTGATGGAATTATTAACCAATAAAATACTGTGAGCATCATTTGTCTATAGATAGTCAGCAACTATAGTATAAACTTGCTATTCTTCTTACCGAATCCTAAGGTACTGTTCTTTATAGATTTCAAATCAGTTATAATGGAATCTGGATTCTATAGAATAAGTGAAGCTGTTAAAGCTGTAATAGAATTTAAATTATCCGTCTCTGCTGCAACATACTCGACTATTTGTATTGATTCTGAATCAGGGCAAGTCATTATACAATAGAGCAGACATGCTACAGGAAAGGGGTAGGAATAAATGACCCATTTGCGACACAGGGAATGGTGATCTCTATATCCTTCCACTATTTTCTTGCTTAAACCAGATAGTGATTCAAGTAAAGCTATATTATGATTATCTATAGATCTAGGGCCATGTTACACACATGCCATAGTTGAAAATATAATACTCTAAGAAAAGGTAAGCCGCATTGAGTCATCATGCCATTTTATATACCTCAAGAAGGCAGGAGGAGTAGATACAAGTTGCTTTCTAGAACTTGAACTAGTCTTCCTTGTGGTGTGATTTCTTGCCATTATACCGGTCACACCATATCTTTTATCTGAAAAATTTCAATCGAAAATGGTTCCCAGATCATTTTACTTCATTGTCTGTGCTAGTGTATTTCGACTAGTCCTCAGTTGCGGAGAATTCAACTCTACATGTAAAGATATTAAAGGCAGTGTAACAGGTGGTTTAACTTCTAGCTGCTACAATATATCATCTCAGTTGTGGGAGAAAGCAAGTCTAGATATCACGACCTGCGAAATTACCTTGCCAAAATGGAGTACTGTGTAAGTAATGTTCAAAAAATTTTTAGCTATGCTCTCAACTTATATCACTTTGGTTTATAGATCGCTCAAGGAATGTGGATTTTGGTATGAAGGAGCAGTGGCTTTCAATAATTGTCTAATATCTAAAGTCGGGTATCAACCTATTCTTCTGAGTATGGTATAGTCTTTGCCTGTTAGTGATTTTAACTAACTCAAGTTCAGACGAATTCATCGAGAATCAAAATGGTACACTCAAGTGTGCCTGTTCATGGCCTTGAAATTTGTGTTTAAGGGATAGAAACTATCAAAGCTGCTGTTTAGCATAGTATGTGGAAATATCTTTGTTCAGCAATAGTATGTCGCTTTGTGCTCCTATGGGTATAGTTATCAATTTAGGTTATAACATCTTCTTGGATTTACCAAGCTGTTGATAAATCACAGCATCAGCGTTAACAATTCACTGAATTATCGGACGTAGCAAGATACCCAAAATCGACTACCAAATTGGTTGGTAGATCTGTCAACTCAATAATAATAACTGCTCCCTTGCTGCAGGGCACGAGCTCAAACAAAAATTGCGACAACGAAATATCCATGTACTCATCTAAGACAGCGAATTGATGTCTGTATCAAATTGGAGATGGTAATCGGTTTACCTATTAGACTATACTCTCCGCCAAATGGAAAAGAAATGTGGCGAATATTACAAACCACATATTTGTCTTACGGCTTCATAATCATCCGGGCACAGGATTCACTACAGATTATCAGCAGCATTTATAGATGACATTGCCAAACACTTAACTCAGTAATCAGCGCCTGCATTAGCAAGTAGGAAAATAAAAGCCACTGATAGATATTGTACACGTCCCTCGCCTATCGAGGCACGATGCGCTTAGTATACCTACCAGTCGCCGAAATAGAAACATTGCTGCAGTTTGTGCTGAAATGTTACAGTACCCCGTGCCGATTTTAACTACCGCCATCTTAAAATTGAAGACAACATTCATAAGGTCTCAGCTTGGGACAAACCGATCTCAAAAAGTTTATCGACTGCTGCCAAGAGGCTGCTGGGGGCTACGTCTCTGCAGAAAAGCTATGGTATTGTTCCGAGTGCTTTGTGGTTATGTTCGTGGCTGCAAATCATGCCAATGATGCTGAAATAGGTTAGTCAGAGCCACGAGAGGACATAACATCACATTTCTATCGTAATACTAACTTAAAGTCTTAGTATAATGAATAATTTCTCTTAGTTATCAGAGGTGTATAAAGCTGAATTGCCTATTGAAGCATAAGAGTTAACTGGGTCCTATGATATACCGGGACTTTTTAAAGTCGGCCATAAAAATGAATCTTCATACCAAGGCGACTTTCAGCAATTCATGAATCACAGCTGCGTGATTTGATATATGAAGTCGTAAGGTTCTAGGACCAGGTTGAATTCGGAAATGTAATGAATGAATTTGAGGTAGGCAAGTTCTCGCTCATTCGAGGATGTGATCACACCACACAACATCGTTCAACTACACCGTCCTAAGAAAAGAGATTCGGGTCTAATCGGCAAACTGCAAGTCCCGGTCGGCAAATCCGTCTGGGTTGCGTGCCAGACCACCTTGTCTAAGGCTCTTGTCCTCCTAGTAAGCATTAGGTCAGCGTTCACAGTTGGACAAAAAGCCTAAGCCCGGAAGGCGACATTATTTGCTGTTAGGATACCTCTAGTGTCTTTTCGGCGTCTTACCACTTAAGCTGCTACCAACAAGTCTAGTGCTCCATGAATTGTATGTATTGTAGCTTGTACACTCTAGCATCAAATCAAGCTGCAATCTGCTCAATAGAAACCCTGGAGCTGACACACATCCAATGTATGGCAGGCTGTGAAGCCTTGCAGCAGAGCAATCTGGTGTATGTACATTGCGCCTAAGATAGCGAGATGGAAGATCTGGTGCGAGCTTCCCCAAATATCGAACCTTCCAGGCGCCAAGCGTTCTGGAATCCGGGACTATATGACTTTGTTAGAATTTGTTTTCTCTTAGGGTAAAAAGTAGAGTGGGCGTGCAGACATACCGCATAAAGACTGACTCCAATGCCATAGAGACTCAGTTCGAGTAGATACCAATACATTCCCGAGTATTGCAGCATGTATCTAAGCCCGTATCGTTGAACTCCATGTAGCAAAGGTATAGATGATAAAGCACCGAAGATAACAAAAGCGCCCACCTTCACTTTCCGCCAGCGCGGTGTTTTGAGCAAAGGATTCGAGATCAAGACAACGGTAACAATTCCTGTGACTAGAACCTAGAGCTTGCGTCAGGGTACGGTTGCATCCCACTGGACTGTCGAGAGGGATGGGCTGTGTAGAGAAGCGTATTAAGGGGAAGACTCACAATAGCCCAGTGCAATTTCTGCAAGCTCGCTTCGCAAAAGAAGATATAGTAGATACCGGACGAGAATGTGCCCATCGTCACAACAACAATCCCAAGCAGATCCATTCCATGCCAGAACTGTTCTACTCTGTGCGAGTGGGGTTGCATCAGGTGGTAGAGCACGCTGAGGACCAAACAGATTTCCGCACACCAGAAGTAGATCTCAAACATAGCGTAGTCCATTAATGACACACCGAGAAATTGAGGCTGTGCCAATTCTCGCCGAAAAGTAGTTGCAACGAGCGGTAGGAGCAGAGCCCCAATCAGATGAGTATAGACATTGCAAGACTCATTATGCAAAAAGGTCAGGCTGGTGAAGATCTCAAGATAGTCTGCTTTCGCGGGCCGGTAGCCACCGAGGATGTATTTATTGTCGAACTGCCATTCGGAGATCTTCTGCCACGTAACAGTTCGTGTTTTGACCTTGGGCTGGTTTGTAGGATCAATCCTGGTGTTCATATTGACTTTCGGCACTTACTGTCTTTTAAGTTTTACTCCTAATATAATATTCTTCCCAGGCGGACAGTGACAGAATGAAAAATAACAAAAGAGCTTAGTTCTTAGTTGCCGATAAAAAGAGCAGAGAAGGGGAGAGATGCCACCGAGGGATTTGTCATGTAACAGTAAGGCAGAGATAAGCGTCACAGAGCTTGCTGTGTTTTTAAAGCTTTATGTATAATTAACGAAGGTTTTCCCCTGTAGTGTTATCGATGCGGACAGTCAAATCAATCGCCATCTAAGTAGGAGTCTAAAATACAGTACATGTTAATGAAGTCCATGAGTGTTTAAAAGAGCAGCTATTGTAGGGACTCTTCGTTCCAGTCAGCTAATATTTTTTATTAAGCCTAAAGTGACCAATGAGAGGAAAGTAATGTGAAGATGAAATCTATAGAAGAGTAAAAACCACAAGCGGACTGCATTTTGTCGCCACTATCTCAACTAGACTATAATTGCGTGGCTTGATACACCGCCTGGGAGGTTCACCGCCCAAGGGGTCGCTACTTGATGCTGAGGCTCACTGCTCGGTTTTGTCCCTTTACAATAAGAGCAGGTACCTACTCTGTTACGCCACATTGTGGCTCACTTGTTATCAATAATGTCTTTCTTTATAACGAACGATAAGAGGATACGTAACGTAAGTTGATGATACAAAACAGTATGACAATATTAAATAATTCGCCCGTCTCTAGCCACGACGACTGTATCTCTACTTTGAGAGACTTCTATTGCCCCTCTTTTCTGAGCTAAGAACTGATCTATACTGCGCTCTTTTTATTATAACAATCTATAAGCGCTAACCTGTTATTCACATTCGCCCCTTATATTGAGATATCAAACTGACCGTTCCACAGATTATCTGTCCTTCACAGGCGCAATCTTGAGAGAAATTTGATCGTAATAAGATCATTGAGATCCTAAGAAATGCAGCGGCCTTTATTATCTCCCTAGGCCGAAATTCAGCTCAAGCACCCAAGACTGCTCTAGCTGTCATGGGTACAGGGCTTGCCGTAGTCGGACCGAGTGGACTTGGTGGGGGCATGTTTGGTCGGGGCTTGCTTAGAAACCTTATCGTATGGTACATGAAATTGTGCCTTGTTCCTGTTGAACAAAAGTAGCTGATATGCCCGATAGCTTGAAATTTGCTCCGAAGCTGAGATTGTGAGCTTTGCGATCAATATTTAGATAATTAAGACTCGAAAAACTTATTAAATGGCTCGAAGGTTCTCGTACAGCGGTCAAGTGCTACAGGATGCTCAGGAGTCGAATTGGACAAAATCATTGCCCGATGCACATGGCGCACCATACCTGTGCTGAGTATCGGTAACACTGTTGATGGAGAGGGAACAAAGTCTTAAGAATCATTGATAAAAGTATACTACAGTAAAAAATCCCATATTAGGTAATATAATGAATATGAGATAATAACACCGACAATCCGACAGAATTGCATGGCGAGAGAAGTGCTTTTGGAATTGTTAAATCAGTAGAGAGTAAACAAGGGGAGGTTTTAAACTCGACACTGAAGGTGAGACATTCATCAAGGACTCATGTATATGTAGAAAATGATGATGAAATACTAGACTATGGAAAAGCACCAAGTCAAAGACACACTATACCAGACCTGGAAGGTTCAAACCCACGGAGGCAAAGCGGGTTGCGATCAGATAATGTAAGTTAAATTGTTATATTAGAATAGCTGAAGGTCTTCTGCCAGATATTCAAAGCTCTAATTGATAGTGTGATGAAACTACCAGAATTTCAAACAGTTTGAAAAGCCCGTACTTAGATATCTTACTCAAGCTTTCTCTTTTTTCCGCGCAATGGTAGAACACAGTGGACATCTTCCAAATGGTGCCGCAAGTCACGCAAGCTTGTCAAAGCCACTGAACATGCTGGATGCCTGCAGTGATGCCTGTTACATAGTATGTGAGAACTCAGGTGGGATTCAATATGGTCTAGCCATTTGCTGCGATCGAGAAATTGACACATACGCTGTGACGGCTCCAAATCAGTACTACCGAGGCAGAATGGACAATAGGCCGCCTTTGCTATGGCATGTCGAAATATTATAAGGTCGCAACGACTTAACTCATGAGGCCTACTTAGATGAGCCTCGCAATGTGAGTTCCAAAGTTCTGGATCTGAGAACCATTGACAGCATGCAATGCAAGCCTGTGAAAAATTGTAACGGCTATTTTCACGAGTCCGTTTTTCATAACAACGGTAGAGGTGAAGCCAGCGGCGATGAGGATGGAATCTGGATAAATTAGTCTAAAGAATACACATAATCTGAAGGTTTCTCACGCGCTGAGGGCGCTTCCGCAAAAGCATTCCCCATCAACAGCTTGCATGCCAGCGCCGTAAACGTTTGTGCTGCTACCAGAGCATATAGATTCTAGAGCTGCAAGAACTTTCAACCCCGTCGCACTTCGCAAACTCTCATTCTTTGGGAGTAGTTGTGCAAGCAGATCACGCTCGGGCATCACTTTTCTTGTAAAAGAGAAGAGGGTCTGTTCAAATATGCTACCTTGCTGAGTGGTCGAACCTTTCCTTTGGGTTTGCTGCAATCTTCGAAGCTCTTGCTTGTAAAGTATCTGCTTCTCATTGTATATCCGGTGTTGTTCCACTCGGAGTCTACATTTCTCGGTTGATTCCCTCGCCTCTCCCATTTCTCTGGTGAGCTGATCCATCTTGTTATCAAGAGACATAACATCTTCTCTCTCGAGAAACTCAAACTCAGCTTTAGCTGGGAGTGATTGCCAAAGTTGCGGAATTCGATGTATTCCCATGCTTCGACGGTTTTGTATATGCTCATGGCGAGTTAGGATGCCTAAATACGTTGCGGGCCCATCAACTTCACTGAGGGGGTGTGCATAGGATCTGCCGAAGGTGTCTCTCTGAATATGGCCTGCAAACTTCATCCTTGCAGTCTCTGAATGATGCTTATCTATGCGAGAGGCTCTATCAGTCAGGTCCAAACGAAAACATGTGAGTTATTTTACCGGTCTCCATCAAAGCCCATCGACGACAAGCGCGTGCAGTAACATTCCGTGTATATCCTGCACGGTTCCCAAGCTCGGCAAAATCTTTTCCAAAGGAGTCCGCGCCACGAGACCTTCCTGTTGACTTTTGTATTTCCTGTTCATTGTAGGGTCGAAACAGAGGAATGTCCTTGACTTCTGGCGTGAAATCTATAGTAGCCAGAATTTTCTCACTTTCGTCGCTTTGTATAGACTCAGCTAGAGCCAGGATCTCGCTTACAGATTCGAAATCACGAAAGGCTCGATCTGCAGAGGCTAACGGCAAGAAGAACACCAAGAGATTGAAAAATAGAGGCGTGTGTTCTCTATACATCTCGTAAAAGCCGTGAATAGGACGCTGCCAATGCTTTCTTCTCCAGAATCCCTTCACATATTCGCGGGAGTATGTAAGAACTAACATCTTGATACCATCAACCAGTTCAATAGTCAGAGTAAAGTGCTTGACTTGTCAGTAAGAAGTAATTCTTACGTTGGATGTTAAGATATACCTTGTAACATGCTGCAAGAGCCCTTGCTTCGTACTGCCCAGCTGTAGAGGATTGCTTGCGTGACAATTCTCGGCGGGCTGTTGACTCATGTACCTCCCCAGTTCTTGCTGATGTAAAACAGTATAATAACAAAGAGGCGCTTAGTTGAACTCGTGAGCGATCAGGGCAAGTTCCCCGGTACTCCTTAAAGTCTCGACACCAGAGCTGTGTGAGAAGAACCATTAGGTCATTTGGTGAGAGACTATCTTTGTCCATTTCCGCATCTGAAAGGTCGACGAGATCCCTGAGATCTTTTCTTATCCACTAAATATATCTGTAAGCTACGGTAAACATTGCTGTTTGGGATACTTACTTCCTTAATAGTGGTCGACATGTGCTCTTGGACTCGAAAATCACGGCGCAAAAGTAGACCAGCCTCAAATTGGCGACGAAAGGATTCCATTGTCTCCAACGTCGGGTGCTCTCCTAGTCGGCCTGGCATATTCTTGCTCACAAACTCCATGAACCCCTTATAAGTGCGAGTATCAAGTGGCCAGGATGCCCCTGGATGTAGCTCGAGAAAGCTAGTACCAGTGTGTGTGAATAGGTATATGGGGACTCACGTTCCTGAATACACTTACTCATCAAAAGTCGCCAATGCCCGATCATAAGAGGCCTTGGTTCGGTCTAAGACTGCGCGCTTGGTTTCTGAATCATCATGGTTGTCAAGATTTATTGTCTGGTAGTGTTTTGCTGCCTTTAATCCCATTTTTAATCGCAGAGTGCCTCTGTAAGGGGCAGTCTAAAAGAACGAGACAGAACGTAAAACAAGCGATTGTCACCTTCGAGAGGAACAAGAGGACATGGACTTACTTGTATTGCCAGCCTGTCATCGTGGCAGCCGGGAGACTAAGATAGGTGCCAGTCGCTTTTTAGATGGGTGCGGGGACAGGAAAGGTAGCCATTATTCAGGGTGCTGACGGCCACCAGAAGCTGACCTGAATAACCCCGAATAAGGCGGCACTTGACCACCGCAGCCGCTGGTTGAGCACCGACTTACTTGTGCTGTTGTATGTTTTACATTTTACATTTTTTTCTTACTGCAAAGAGAGCCCAAAGAATAAATAAGCCAGTGCAGTATAATATAGGTTACGCGCCGTGGCTTACTGGACATGATCCGGTTGACATGCTCAGGAACCCTGTCAAGCGCCCGAGTACTGCCCTGTCCCCTAATTGCACCTTGCTGCACCTGTCTAAGCGAAGCCATAACTACGGACAGCGCTGAAGGTACACTTGACAAGCCCCATTCTACCCTCCCAGCTCCTCCATAATCTTTCTGCACCAGCGCGACGGGGGGCTGTCATATCTGATTGATAAGAACCAACCCACCGCCCCCCTCCCCCCCCCACCCCCACATTTGTATACCTAAGTAGCTACTATAATATATTTATGAGTTGATCTACTACAGTTGATCCTGTGAGATATAGTATACTAATAATAGTGAATACTATACTAATTCTAGTACTACTTCTGGTTAGATCTTTTATTAGACTAGCTAATACTAATAGAAAGAAGCCCTAAATACCTGTATCGAAGATTTCGAAGAAGGTCATCTAAACTATTTTTCATATAAATGAAAGCATAAAGAGCTATAGTATATATGGAGACAAAGAGTAGTAAAGGATACGGCAAATCAGCTCGACACGACTCCATACAAGGGCTCCAAATTATAATTTATACACCTACCGAGATCTGCCACACATCCGAGCCTATTATTCCACCTTTTTAACAAAAAATTTGACCATTGCGAGGCAAGCCTTGATGACTCTAAATCTTGGCAGGATGATCCGTGGGATCGAACTTTGCTGCTTAGCCCAAATGCTGGCAAAGGCGCGAATAATTATGGATCGCGCAAATAGCTTGTTTTTCTCTTATCCTGCGCTCGGACTCGAAGCAACATGGCTCATGGTGATGACGACGCCAGACGCAACTTGGACACTCTAGATACTAACTCTCACTAGCTTTATGGTTGCGCCAGACGGGTCAGTTTACAATGAGATTAATACTTGGATATCCGTGACGGCGTAATAACGAGATAGCCTCGGGTCGGGGACACAGCATCCCTGGCGTCCATGTTAAATAGCCTCAAGCTAACAAAACTGTGTTGTTAATATTGGCTTCTTGCAAAGTGCTTTCGGTATATAGTGTGTAGCCTATGATTCCTAGCTGCATGCCGCTATCCGTAACTTGGCAGATAGAGCATAGTCTCCTGACAATACAACGACGAACAGAGTGGATGCTGTGTGAATACTTCATAACACAATAGGTTCGCAATCGACATGTCCATTCGAGCCCTAGAGCGGCTCGAATCCTCATTTCATATGATGGGATACAACAATTGAATCCACGTGACCGGCAGAGTTGAGGATTGGACGGAATATTCCTCAATATTCCACCGTGGTTCTTCATCAATAGAATACTAACCAATAGCTGGCACTTACTGGGGCATGGGCGAGAACCTGCTAAGGTAGTATACTCTAGCGTTGGTCAGTCGTCACATCGGACAATGCGATAGCTTTCAACAAAATAGCAATTTACACTGCTGCTAGCTCGCACACCAGTCTCCCCTTCGGCCTTTTGAACACCTCCTTGGACATCAACACCGAAAGAGAAAGTACTGAAAGGGTTTTCTACAAGAAAAGCTCCTGTCCTTGCTCACCAGCATAGTATAAGGACACGGTCTGTCCGCTGTATTGTTGAGTTTAATCAGAGTACAGCTAATCTTTTCTTCATTTTCTTTCTTAGAGCTTCTTTATTCCTTGTCTGTTTCTCATCACCCCTTCATTTAAAGATGTCTTCTTTATCTACTCTTGGTGATCGCTCTTCTAGCCCGCTGGTGACTAATGCCAGTAGTATCTGCAACACCACGACATAACTGTCTTTGATATGCTTATCTACGCCGGTATGGAGACCTAGTTATTTCTGTTAGAGAAGTTCTTCTGGTAGAACTGAGAGATGTGGACTTACTTTGAAAGAGAAGGATATTTACTTCTAAAGACAGTGCCTATATCCGTGTCGGTTAATCTTTGCTATACTTATGATCTCTAGGAAAGAATCATATATTAAAGCAACGACTACCAGGTAGTTCTGTAGGAATAGTTCTAGTTCTTGCAATTTTTATGCCCAGAATCGCAGCAACTATCTTGACAGTACCGAAGATGGGCTGGAGAAGAGGGCATTTGTACCAAGGATGTAGATGAGATGAGGCACTCGGCACTAACCATACTCAATCACATTCGCTGAAAAAAGTCTTCTGCTTCGACTCATTCACCTTTAAGACTTTTTAAAAATTTATGTTATGATCCTAACTGATGTGTACTCTTTTCCACCGACTGGCTCACCGGAACCTCCGCAGAGCTACTTCATAGTGATACTCTACCATCACCTACACGTCGTCACTTCCCTTTCTGAGTCACAGAATCCGTCTCAGAATTCCTAGTATTTCTGACTGTTTCTAATCCTTCGGATTCCCTTTCTCGTCCTCTCATCTTCACTTCAAGGATTATTCACACTCCCTTCCTCATCTTCCCTGTCTTCACTTGGTCGAAATGGACAAAGGACCTCATTTCAGCAGAATAAGAAGGCACAGGGAGAGGTCGGAGTCCCCTCACCAAAAGCATCTTGCTGGTCTCTTCGAAAGCCTTACCATCACACCCGCGCCTCACACCCCGATTAGTATGAAAAGCGCAATTTCAACCGCTTTTCACTCCAAGGGATGGCCTCCGTCCATCTCGAAGGGTTCCCGCGTGAACGACGGAGGCTCTATTACACCATGACTATGGACAGTACTACACGGGCATACATCCCTCTAGACGAAGAGCTTCCGAAAGACCTCTTCAAGAAAGTAACAGACTTTTACGGGGTGATTCAGGCGAAGCTGGCGGAAAAAGGGAGCGAAGGAGTCACCGTCCTGAGCGAAACCATAACGAGGCATCTGCCGACAATTATATTCGGCAGCAACTACATTGAACGGGCTGGCCTGAACCTAGAAGAGACGATTAAAATATGTGAGAGCATCTTCCGCGGTGAGGGTGTGGACGCGGAGAACATTCCCGAACGGTAAGTAAGCCCTTCTGTCCTGACCACTCGAATGTGACTTGAGGAGCAGGACTGACACGATTCTCTATCTGGTCTATACGAAAAAGGACTACGAGAAGAAACTGATCAGTATGAACCATTCGAAGACCGCGGCGTCGCACATCGTCCGCAGTCGCAGGGAGGTGGTCCAGCATGCGTTGGCACTACACTATATCGTTACGGAGGATGGTGGTCAAGGACAAGCCTCTTTCAGAGGATCTGATCCGATGCAACCATGGGATTCTGACAGAGAAGGTTGATACTATGGGTGGCATGCCTTGGACGGATTACTCCGGACAGTATCGCAGGATTCATGTCCACGCCGGAAACACGAACTTCGTCGTCCCTAAGTTCGTGCCGGAGAAGATGCGTGGGCTCATCGCGGAACTTGGAGAGGGACGTCCAGAGAATAGAGACGAGCCGTACACTGGATCCGTTTACTATGGCCGCGAAATACTGTAATGAAGTACTACTGGCCTAGATATAGCCACTCTTGGCGTCTAAGATGTACTTATTTAGTGTTGAGTTATGTATTTGGATGATAAGATCTACGGGAATTAATGAAGTAGCAGGTATCTTGTTCTATGCGGCGATCAGGGGCTGTAGATAAATGGAAGAGATCTTGCTGATAATAAATCATAAGGACGGGGCGGGTTTCAAGTAGAATAGAACAGAGATAATCAAGCCCAGGGATGTCTGTGCATTACTCAATTCGATTCAATTTAATTCAAGTTCTATTAACCTCGGGGGCCCTGAGGCCCCGTGGGCCCACCTATTGCGGCTAGCTATGAAGGCGCTTCCTTGAAGCCCTAGAAGTTGCCCAGCACACCAAATCCCTCAAAAACATGAAGCAACGCAGCCCACAAATCATAAATCAACACAGTCTAAAACCATGAATCAACATACACCGCCATATATAGAGCAGCAGCCACCCAGCTGTTCCTAGTCCTTCTGTATATACTGTATATAGTCTATACCCTTCCTGTAACCAACAGATTAGCTGTTCCATACGCAGCATCTTCAGTACCGATGCCCATTACCCGTGAACCTATTATTATTCATCTTCCCCGGTGAAAGCTACGCTTACATGGCTATTTTATCTAGTAGGCCTGTTTTAATCACAAATTCGGCAATATAGCGGGTTATCTGTAGGTGTAATGTTAGTATATTATAGTTAATTATCTATGTTGTAGTTGCTGGCCTCTAGTATCTATAACTATTATCCACGTGAATATAGCTCTGTGGTCTACTGTAAACTGTATTTTCCAAGTAGAATATACTTCAGTATCTATAATCATCCCTACTTGTACATACATCTTCCCGTCTCGTGGGCTTTAATCTTCTAAAGGAAGCGGACAAGTCTAATTTTTTCGCTGCGAAGCTTTAAAATCACCGCTGCGTATATCTGGATAACGTATTATACAGGCCTATATTCCGTCTGTGTATAGCTTTGATTAGCCTCCGTGTCGGGGCGACTATATATTCAGCTTCCCATTGCCTCTTCTACTTATTTCTAAACCTCCCCGTGGACCCCTTGCTTCGCCGCTGAGACGAGGCGTGTGATTGGCTCGCTTATAGACTGGCTTAGTAGCCCCGCTAAGCTTAATCCAACCTCACGCCCAGGGCTCAGCCGGAGGGACCGGCCCAGCCATCCCATCGAACTGTGATTTTTGCTTTTCCTTACTTTTGTTGTCTTGAAACCCCCCTGGGCAATGCCACAGGACATCGGAAAGGGGCTCTTATGATGACGAACCCCTGAACTACGCTTGGAGAGATTTCTGTATGTAGAGTTTTCTTTACGTAACATGTACTGTGGAAAGCGGCGTCGCAAGATGAAGATTAATCTTAATTGAATGGAATCAGAACAAAGATCAAAAGGTGCCGTGCAGGTAAGCTAGCAAATAAGGCTGCTTTAAATCAGTATGCACAATTGAAGGTACAATACAAGGCCAGGCATTTGTATGCGTTTGCTCCACAGGGCTCAAATCTTCCGCGGGATCGTCGCGCAAGGTACGGACGGTACCTTTCACACAAGCCTACTTTGAATCCGATAGTCTCTGGGATCCGGCTGTGGACCTCTTAGAAGAGCTAACGTATCCGTACGTAGTTTCCAGTACGATTGAGTTTCCTGGCCAGACTCATCTGGAAACGACTAGACTACGTTGTAGGCTGCCCAACCAAGCGATCGTCCAGGCAGGGCAGCACGTTCAGCCGGAGGCGACGACTGACTCGTTTAGACCATCGATACTTACTGCTTCACTTAGTCGTCACTCGTAAAGAGCAAGGACACTACAAAGTAACGTTTACAAGGGATCTATCGGTGCAGTCTAGGTGGAGACAGCGCAGGTGACACAACACTTAAGACATTACCAGCGTAGCATTATCCCGCATTCTGGTAGGTTATTCGGATATGGTTTGCAGTATACCAGTCATTGTAGTTTAAGATATTCGCATCCGTTACTTCCAGTTACGGGGTGTTGCCCGGCTCTTGTTCGCTCTGACCACCTACCTCCAGCGCCTAGAGTTGTGCATGAGAGTCTTGAGAGTCTCGACAGCAGCGAAGCAAGTTTCAGTTGGTTGTTTGTGGTGAGAGAATGGGAGCGAGCATCACTTACTGCATTGCATTGCCAGATAATATTCTCAATCATGTATGGATGGCGTGTGTAGCTACTATATATAGGTGATTGTGCAAGACTGCGGGGCTACTTACCGAAACAACCGAAAGCTCTCCCAACTCATACCAGCAGCCAAAGTCGTCAATACAACTTTCATATCCTCGAGTGTCAGTCACTGCTCTTCCAGGAATCTACTCCAGTAGCTCACTCACACTGACGTATTTCGAGGCTGGAAAGAAACATTGCGACACCAAGTCGGATGGTTGGATTGGACTGAAAACAGACAGAAGGTAGGAGAGGCTGAAGAAATAGTGGAATTAAGGCTCTTTGACTACTATTACAGAACTGCTAGTAAGTAAGCCCTCTTACTTGTTTAGAATATATAGTATAGTACAATATATCGGAGCCTGAGGGGGCGGAAGATCTTATGATTAGCATTCTTCAATAGTAGTAGGAGGATATCGATCTCAGTCTCTCTGATTCAAATCATTAGGAGATTCATGGGTTTAATCCCCTCTGCTTATGATTCTAATAGTAATATTCATTGTAACAGAGTCGCTACTATATCCTTCCGTATGATTTCATAACACGTAACCTCGTTATGCATTCCAGCAAATCAGCCTATTACTATTAACTACATCCTCATTCACAATAACATGACCGAGCCCGGATGTACCTCTGCCCTTCGACTGTCGCTTGCTCGTGGCTACATTCCCATTAATCCATATCCAAGGTGACCATTCACACCCCAACCCTCCACCGGGTATCTCAGCGATCTAAGCCCCCACTTTCTCTGGATGATTCGCCGGCAACACATCGGCAATCGTCTCATCCGTGCCCGCCAGATCGGTCTCAATGTCGATGTGGTCCCGGATCTTGAAGAAGATGATCGGGGCGGCGATGACCAGCGACCCAGCCAGCAGCACCCAGTTGCTGATGAACTCCGTCTTGTACGAGACCTTGCGCGCATCCAGGTTGTTCATTACCGCGGCGCCACAGGATTGGATTCCCTTGTACAGCCCGACGTAGTTGGCGGAGCGGCGGCCCGAGTTGGAGAGGGCGCCCATGAACCTGTTTATCTGGTCGTTAGCTATTGTCGGAGCCGGGGGGGGGGCAAGTGGGCTGGAAACTGTAGGGCAAGCACATACCAGTAGATACTCGCCTGCCACGCCGCATCGTAGAAGCCGTAGAAGAAGTACAAGAACATGGGTCCCACGTAGCCGGATGTCGACCAATCAGTCGACACGAAATCCTCGCTCGCCGTGTCAGCGCGCGTGTAAGTCTTCTCGTAGGCGTAGCCCCCGCCCCAGATGGCGAAGGTGAGTACGAACAGCACCACCCAGGTGATCCGGGCGCGCACAGAGCGGCGCAGGCGCTGCACGTCAAGCAAAAGACCCCAGATGGCGGCGGCGATGATCTGGGCCAGGTAGTAGAGGAGGTTGTTGAGGGCCTTGGTCCGTGTGTCAAAGTGCGCCCCGTTGACCGAGTTCTGCTGGTAGACATAGAACCAATTGGAGGTGAAAAACATCGGGAACAGAAGCACCACGAAGGGCTCGAAGCGCAGTGTCTCCCAGAGTCCCAGCAGCTCCGACTGCCAACTCGGGTGCTTCATCAGGACCACGCGGCTGCCGTCCCGGCGGACGATGTCGCTGGCGTTGCAGAGGCAGAGCGCCAGCAGCGCCCCGACGAACATCAGCACGATGAATCCAATGTAGGTTCCGTCAGAGACCGTCTTGTTGCTTGTCACGTGGATGTTTTGTCCCAAAGGAATCTCAGAGGTGGTTAGTGGCGATTTCGTCGGATCGAGATGCACGGAATCAACATACCAAGCTCCCTATCACCGCGCCCATGTTGAAAATACCCCAGAACCAAGCAAAGTACTTCCCCTTCTGTTTCTCGTCCGGATAGGAGATCATGATTGTCCCCTGTGCAGTCCAAAGCAGACCTGCGCAAAGACCGAGAAAGACCCCTGCGAAGATATTGAACCCGGCGACGCTGGCGCTCATCAGTACTTTGCTCATTTCTCAATCAATTGAGTCTAATGGAACATACCTTGCGTGCACCGAGACCAACAAGCTAATAGCATAGATGCAGTAACCAATTCCACCGAAGGCCAGTGTCCATTTCACCCCAAGCTTGTTGACAAAGGTACCACCGAAGAAGCCAAAGACAGCGAAGGTGCTGTAGAGCGCGGTGTTCATGTTATCGGCGAGTGTCGCATCGGTCTTGCCGCCACCGCCCATGCCTCCGAGCGCATTGAACATCCCCGGACATAGAAAGCAGACAAACGCCACGAACCCGAGCTGAACACTAGGCGAGGCATACCAGGGAATGCGGAAGCCGAAGATGCGACGCTGTCTGTACATCCAACCGGTGGGCAGATCCGGGGTTCCATGGACGCTGTGGATCTCTGCGATAGGAGCGGCCTCCTTATCGGCGGGCTGGACGCCCTCGTTGGCGGTAGACATGGCGGGCCGATGGGAGGGTACAGCAAACGGGTTCGGTGTGTTGCTGTGAGAAGAAGTTCAAGAAGAAAAAAAAAAGCCGGCGGGTAAGGTTAGTATTTCAAGGCGCACAAATCGATCCTTTGTTGTCGTGTGAGAGCTATTGCGGAGAAGCTGATAAGACAAGCGGGTGGACGAGCGGGTGAGAGCGAACGGGATTCACATCCGACGCGCTAAGTGACCTGCCGATAGGCTGAGCCAGTGGGCAATTGGCAGGCGTTATCAGGTGTGAGACCAAAGGTAGCATAGAGGGGTTGCCCCCAACTGGAGCTTTGATGGCGCCACGATACGAGTCGCAGCGGATGGAGATGTAACACTGCCATCTGACTCAGCTTCCCCCATGGTTACATTCATTGATCATCCATCAAATGGCTTCTCTCTCAGCTCAACGACTCTCACCAATCAATCTCGAACAAGACATCTCCTCGAACTCAAGAGGTACCGAACATCCCCGGATTTCCTCTGTTGCACGACCCGACCCTTGGTATTTTTCCTTGGTCCAGTGGTGGAGCCGGACCCGCCTTCACTGACTGCATCCTGCATGACAGGGGTTGGAAATAACTTTTCTGCGGTTTGTCTTCCATAAGACAAGAAAACTCGAACTTGCTTGTCGCGTCTGTCTCCTATTCACTGCTCGTGTGACTTGACGGGTCTGTAAGCGCTGCAGTTGATAAGAGACATCCAAACTTAACCTACATGCAACGATGAATTGATACAGACGAGGCACAAGATTGTAACCGTTTCGAGCGAGCTTAACTAAACAGGCGCCACAGCGGATACCATCGGTAATGGGACATGCCCTTCGCGCTATCTCAGTTAAATCCTTCTGGAACGCAACATTCGGGCGTTTGCTGCAGGGCAATCATTATTGAATGATCGAATGATATTCCATCGCATCGAGGTGCCAGGCAGGCATGTGATGCTATCCGATTACCGGCAATCCATCACAATACTCTTGCCGCCAGCCACTAAGATCCGTGAAATTGCTTGTGCTCAGCTTCGCACAAAATCCCGGTCATTTATCCCACGTGTTACTTGAATCATGTGTCATGCGTGATCTGCGCAGGCCATGGAAAACTCCGAGATGCAGCCGCATCAGCAGCTTGTCTGTCTGGACTGTATTCAATTAATGTACTGATCAGTAAGTCATGCATCAGGATTCCCTGGAATTTGGCCTGCAGGACAACGCTGCAAGTATGAAGCTCAGCTTGCTCATCGTCGGAAGCAAGATCCCGCCAGACTTATCGCTGAAACGACGTAAACGGTTCTGCATAGTGGCTTAAGCAAGGGCGTTGGTGTGTCTTGGGTGCTTCGAATTCGATTTTCGACTCTTGGGGATATTTGGTGAAAAGCATGCTCAAGTAACACCAAGTGGTATGATACTCCGTGGACCAGGGATTAGTCGAGTAAGCATTCTGACGAACGTAGGCTAGTCAAGTCAGTTGTGCGAGTTCCCTAATTCATTCTTCCTTGTACTACTGAACACTCACCGCCATTGCTTCTGTATCTTGTCTATCATCTTTCTTCTTCTCTGCTTCCTCTTCGCAAAGCTTCCCTCAATCGGTTAAGATCATGCAGCCGGGCTCTCCTGGTTGCACAACTTCTCTGTGCACTTGCAAGCACACATACTGGTACCCAGCGCGACAGTATCTGGAAGCGACTGGTAAATTTCCGAGTCTAAAAGATACAAGACTCTTTGGAGGACTGACAGCCAGGGAAGCAGATTTCAGAATGAGGGACGGTAGAATCATTTTAGTAGCTGAGGAGACAAGATCGAAGATAGATTCCGACATGGTTCAAAAGATAAGTGCAAAGCTAACAAACAGTGTTTGCACCAGCGGGCTCTGCTGCGGTCTTTAAATTGTTGAACGCGCTTCCACTGGATGATACTACAAAAATTCCTATGAAATTTGATCAAACCGGCAAACTTGATTCGTGGTTGGTGCTGTATTATCTACAGGGCTTGTCGGAAGACATTGTACCCTGACAATACTGCCCAAAAGCTACTTCACCGACCCAGGGCTCCGGTATAGCTGCGAATATGGGTAGAATGGTCCAGGTCTCTAATGATACTGTAATGAGACTCTAGTGGCAGAGCTTTGTAGAGGGTCCAGCCTATTCCAGCTTTTGGCCGGCCAAATCCCACTCCACTCTGCTGATTCCTCCAGTCCCCATCAGCCACAACGTCTTCAGTTCCGGACCCGTCCAGGCGAAATTCTGAACAGTGTAATTCGTCTGAATAGTGATTAGCAGTTCCCCAGACGGATCAATCACGTCAACTCCACGCCCACAGCCCGTAACGATATAGCCATTCGCAGCAACCTTTAGTCCATCGGGCACGTATCCAGGTGCTAGGTAGATAGGCCGCTTGTTGTAGGCATGAGCTCCATCCTGGCTCACGTCAAAAGCATAGATGGTCCTCCGGTAGGTGGTGTTAAATGTAGTGCCCGCATGGCCGTACTTGGGATCGACTGGGCCGCTGACAGCAGCCGTATCACTAATGTAGACAATTGATCCGTCCGGAGTGAAGGCGATGCCGTTTGGCTGGCCTAGGCTATCATCAATCACAACCACTGCGCCAGATGAAGTGTTGTATCGATAGCTAGCACTGGGCAGCTGGGGAGGTGTGTCCGTGAGACCGTTGAACCAGGAATAGTCTGATATCATGTGTTAGCAAGTCGCACAAGAAGGTACCGCTCTATTACGTACCTGGATCAGTGAACCATATGTCTCCTGTTTTAGGATGGACGGCAACATCATCAATCGTGTTGAAGTAGTATCCAAAATAATTGTTCACCAAGCTCACTGTCTTGTTAGTCTCCGGATCCAAAGACCTCAATCCCACCCTCTGCTCGGAGCCTCCAATTGAGTTGTTACCGCCTGAGGCACCCCAGATGATCTTGCCGTTGTGAAAGGTACCGCCATTTGGGGCGTACACGGGGGGATCGGAGAGAAATTCGGATAATGTTGGAGGGTCCTGGTTGAGGTCGATCACTAGTTGCGGCAAATAGCCGGCGGGAGGAGCCAGCTGCGACAAATACAGCTTGTTTTGCGCTGGTACATAGACAGGAGCCTCGTGCACAGCCTCATTCACTGCAAAAACGTACTCGTAGCTGGGGTTTGACCCAAGAGCCTCGAGGCCTTTCTCTTTGTTGTAGACAACGAAATCGGCCGACTTGATGTCATTTAATTTCGTACCGTTCGCTACAGTGGTGTCTCCAAAGGTCGTTACGGCGTCCATGGTGCTTACATTGCGAAAGAAGTGGTAGCTAGTTATGCATTAGACAGATGATCTATGATCTAGCTCTGTGCCATGTCACTCACGGTAGGACATTGCCGTAGCGATTGACGCATACAACGGAAGGCCCACAGTTCTCTGAAATGGGCTCTGTGACTCCTGTTTGGGCTTGAGCTAGCCCGGGAGTAAGCAAGACTAAAGACAGAAGGATAGACTGCATGACGACTACCAGGACAGAGATTGAAGAAGGCAGTCTCAGCTAAGTGGCAAGAGATTTTGGCGGGCCAAGATCAGTACTTATAGACGCATGACCACCACGCATCCAAAGATGGAGAAGCGATCACAGAAAAGGGAAACGGTGCTTGACAAGTGTGCCTGGTTTTTCCCCGATGACCAACTTCCCTGCCAGCACATCCGAGACACGGTGAGAAGGAAGGGCCCGGTGTAGGAGAAAGGGCCGACTTGGCGGGGGAGATCCGAAATCTGCAACAGGAAACCTCGGCTGCGGGAACTGGCGAGCGATTGGCCTCGCGGTTGGCCCGAAATGATCTGAAGCTATTCAAGCAGGCTAGCCACAACACGGTAGTGTCTTTGACTATCAATGGCTTTAGCATGTGGGGGACGACCTCGAATTGGCTGATTGAGCAAATAGGGTCGGAGAATCTCCGATTGAGAAAGCAAACGATCCGTTGCCTCTGTTGCCCAAGGCAAGGCCACGGCATCCCTTGCAGAGCCATCCGGTAACAATCGCGGACTTGCAGCAACGGGGTCCTTAATGCCGAATACTTAATGAACTGATGTCTTCAATGCTGCCTGTCCCGTCACCTGCAGCTGCAATCAATGTCTCCTTTGCGTCCGGGTGGATGTCCGAATTGTCTTCTCTTTCACCCAGCGCCCGCTGAATGAGCTTGGCCTTCATAACCGCGCCTTTGTAGCGTTCATCCACATCATTGACAGCCTCCTCATCGTTCACCATCGGCAGAGACGCCGGGTCGACTAATTCGAGCAGGGTGTCGAGGTTCTTGGCCAGTCTGGGGCTCGCCACCAGCTTGGGCATCTCCTTGCAAAGCGATGGGTCCAGCAATCCTTCGTCCGTCGTCTTCTCCGTTTGTGATTCCGAACCGGCCTTGGCAGAGACAGAGGGGTTGGAGTCTGCAAGACGTTGAGCCCAAACCAACGCTTTTCCGTACAGTCGTCCGATCTCGACGAATTTCTCGAACCCTTTCTCGACGGCAAACACACTCCCTTCGGTGTAGCCAGCTAAGGCACCATCCGCGGAGCCCAGGTTAAAGCCCTCTTGGTAGAATTCTTCCTCCAGGTCCAGTAGACCGTCGAGCAGATCACCGTCCATTGTGGATTTCTTCGCTTGGTGTGGGGAGAAACCCGTAGCGTGAGGGAGGGACAGCCACTGCGCAGGAGTGAATGTAGACAAAGAAAATGCAAGAGCAACACAGAGAAAAGGAACAGAGAGAAAAAATAAAAAGTGTGCAATGGAGGGGAATCGCAGCGATAAAGTGAGCGATAAGCAAAGTTGTTGCGGAGAAGAAAGGCCGAAAGAAGCGATGAATCATCCTCCTCCGGCAGCGGAAGACATTTTACTTACCCCTCCTCCCATTCAACCAACTTCCCCATCAACATCACTCCACACCTTCTCCCTCCATCTCACCTACAAGCATGGCGTCCGAGAAGATCCTCCCTAAGAAGGGCCAGCGTAATATCCTGGTCACCAGTGCCCTGCCCTACGTGAATAACGTCCCCCACTTGGGTAACATCGTGGGCTCCGTGCTCAGTGCCGATGTTTTCGCCAGGTCTGTCTTGCCCATTGTTACAACGAATCTCATGATTTCTTGATCTAACTTGTCACTCCATCAGATACCACAAGGCTGCCGGACACCAGACCCTCTACATCTGCGGTACCGATGAGTACGGAACTGCGACGGAGACTAAGGCGTTGGAGGAGAAGGTGACCCCCGAAGAGCTGTGCGCCAAGTACAACAAGATTCACCAAGAAGTATACGAGTGGTTCGAGATCGGCTTCGACCACTTTGGCCGCACCCCGACGCAACAGCACACCGAGATCTCCCAGGCCATCTTCAAGAGACTCTACGAGAACGGCTACCTGACCGAGAAGACCGCCGAGCAGCCGTTCTGCGAGACCCACAACTCCTTCCTGGCCGATCGCTACGTCGAGGGCGAGTGCCCCCGCTGCCACTACGACGATGCCCGTGGCGACCAGTGCGACAAGTGCGGCCACCTCCTTGACCCCTTCGATCTCATCAACCCCCGCTGCAAGCTCGACGGCGCCACCCCCGTCCGCCGCGAGACGAAACACATCCACCTCCTCCTGGACAAGCTCCAGCCGCAGATCGAAGAATGGTCTTCCAAGGCCATTGAAAAGGGTGACTGGCCTAAGAACTCCCGCGTTATCACGGAGTCCTGGCTGAAGGAGGGTCTCAAGGACCGTGGCATCACCCGTGACCTGAAGTGGGGTGTGCCCGTGCCCCTGGAGGGTTTCGAAAACAAGGTGCTCTACGTCTGGTTCGAGGCGTGCATTGGCTACCCGTCCATCACGGCTAACTACACGCCCGACTGGGAGCTCTGGTGGCGCAACCCGGAGGACGTGCAGCTGTACCAGTTCCTGGGTAAGGACAACGTGCCCTTCCACAGCGTCATCTTCCCCGGTTGTCAGATGGGCACGGGCGAAAAGTGGACCATGCTGCACCATCTTAGCACGACTGAGTACCTGAACTATGAGGGCGGCAAGTTCAGCAAGTCGCGCGGCATCGGTGTGTTCGGCAACAGCGCCAAGCAGACCGGCGTCCCCCCTGATGTGTGGCGGTACTACCTTCTCAAGAACCGCCCGGAGACGGGCGACACGCAATTTGAGTGGCGGTCGTTCGTGGACAGCAACAACAGCGAATTGCTGGCCAAGCTGGGCAACCTGGTCAACCGGGTGATCAAGCTCGTGATTGCCTCGTACGGCTCGGTGGTGCCCGAGTTCACCGTGCCCGAGTCCTTCCAGCCTACCCTTGACGAGGTGACGGCCACGCTGCGCCAGTACGTCGAGGAGATGGAGGGCGCCCACCTGCGCGCTGGTGTCGTCAGCGCCATGAAGCTGGCCGAAATTGGTAACGGGCTAATCCAGGCCAACCGGCTGGACAACTCTCTTATTGCCAACGAGCCCGAGCGCGCCGCCGCCGTCGTCGGCACTGTGCTTAACCTTATCCACCTCCTTGCCAGCGTTTTCGCTCCCTACCTCCCCGCCACCTCCAAGTCGATCAACGAGCAGCTGGCCATCCCCTTCAGCTTGATCCCGGCCCTCGACGACCTCAAGGACGGCTGGAAGCCCGACGCCGTCAAGCCCGGTCACAAGATTGGCAAGGCCCAGTACCTCTTCTCCCGCATTGACCCCAAGAAGGCCGACGAGTGGCGCGACCTCTTTGGCGGCTCCCAAGCCGACCGCCAGAAGAAGGAAGAGGAGGCCGCCAAGATCGCCGCCAAGAAGGCCGCCAACGCCCTCGCCAAGCAGAAGAAGAAGGAGAAGAAGGCCAAGGAAGCCGCCGCTGCTGCTGCCGCTGCCGCCGCTGGCGGCGTCGAGGCCACCGCCAAAGGTGGTGCGGAGAAACTCACTGATGCCGACGAGGCCGTCGACAAGGTCACCGACGGTGTCGCCCAGGTGACCCTTCCTACCTCCTAGATGTGCACTTGTTCCCGTCCAATCATAGAAGGTAAGTGAGAACATGTCTGTTCCAGGGAAAGACAAGCGGAAGCGCAATAAACCCCTTTTTTTCCCTTTATCTTTCAGTTGTTGTTGCAAGTCTTTAGAAAGCGACTTGTGCAAAATGTGTTCCTGCGTTGTGTGGTTGGATTAGAACCCATTTACCCCTTGACGTACTCCTTTTCTTTTTCTTTTCCTCTGCTTTTCCTATACATACGCGCAGAGTTGATACGAGATATGATGCGGATTGATTCTTTTTTTTTCTTTTTCTCCATCTTTTGCTATAGCACTCGGGCGATGGAGATGATGTATACGACAGGGGAAGGGGGGGCGTGGGCGTGTGGCGTGAGTTAACATGGCCTGGACCCATGTAGTTTCGGGGTCTTGCGCGGATTTCAACAGTCATCGAGGCATTTAACATGGATCTCTCTTGCGGCCAATATCATAGAGTAGTCTTAAATACCCGTCATGGTAGAAGACATAGAGATGAATTTTCTTCCCCTTTGTGTTTCCGCGACAGGTCGGGGACTAATGGTGATGACTCCACCCTTTCAGAGTACATCGCGTGACAGCGTCTACTTTACAATGCTTCCCTACTTCAACCCAAATGACAAAAAAATCGGACCCGATTCTAACCTGAAATGAATCGCTCAGATGCATTATACTCAGAACCAAAAAAGAAAAGATCATAGTGAGGAGACATACATAAAATGGTGAAAAAGGAAAGGGAGAAAGGGAAGAGAGAAATGCGGATAATGGCCTGGAGTGCAAATTGTTTGATATTTCTGTCAATGCTTGTTGTTTCCGCAATCTCTAGATGTCCCGTTGAACATCGGGTATACCGCACACATACGCCTTTGGCATGCATGATACACGAATGCACGCAGCACTCTTCCTCCCCTATCTCTCCTCGCTTCCTTCTCCCGGCGTTAGACCACTTCTCCCCACCTATTTACCGCTTGCGAGTACCCGGTCTGGGCTTGACTTCCTCCTGCGCGACGGGGTGCAGCATGACCTTGTTGGGGAGTTGTGGGGTGTTCGCGGAGTAGCCCTTGCTCCAGTCATAGCTGACGGCGTAGGCGAAGATGGTGCCGCCGCGGTTGAAGGCGGTGGTGGAGATGGTGCCGCCGACGGAGGGGTAGCCCTTGAGACGGTGTTTGGCGTCCTTGTCCCAGAAGTGGAAGGTGCCGTCGCTGCCGGCGGTGCTGAAGGTGCCGTGGACGGGGTGGAAGGAGATGGCGTTGACCGAGTAGATGTTGCTGACGTCGCGCTGGTTGGGCGGGGTCTCGCGGTGGCACTTGAAGCTGAAGTTGGAGCTGGAGTCCTTGTCATCGACGTACTGGATGGCGCAGCGGCCCTCGACGCTGCCGACGGCGAAGCCCGTGGAGTCAGCGAAGCAGCTGACTACCCGCGTCTGCCACTTAAGGGGGGACTGCATCGTCTTGAAGAACTTGGTCGGCTGGTCGAGGTTGATGATGTTGATGTAGCGGTCCGCCGTCCCCACCACCAGGAGCTTGTTCTTGACGTCCATTGTGTAGACGCGCTCCTGGCACTCCACCGTCGCGATCGGGGTCTGTTGCCGCAAATCCCAGTACTTTATCGTCTTGTCCCACGAGCCGGTGATCAGCAACGGGGTGGCTCCCTGCGGGTTGGGAATCATGTGGCAGCTACGGATCGGGGCGTCGTGCGCGGCCACCTGGGTTGTCTGACTCGAGGCGAGATCCAGCATGCGCGCCGCCTTGTCGGCACCTGCGCCGACGACTTTCGTTCCATCCTAGACAGAGACATTGAGGCGTTAGTTGCCCAGTCGGACGGATGTGTGATCTGTTGGCGAATGACGGGGAAAAACGTACCGGTGACCAACAGCAGTTCAATACCGGGGCCTCGTGCTCAAACAAAGCTTTTCCTTCACTCTGTCCCTGTTCGTTGATCTCGTAGATGCGCACCTTCTTGTCCCACGAGGCGACGGCCAGGTGTTCAGCAGCGGGGGAGAATCGGATATCCGAGATACTATCTTCCGGAGGTTGGTTCAAAGGGACATCCTTGGAAATGTCACCGGTGGTGTTGGAGGCACCGGCTGACGACGAAGCGCCAACGCCACCAAAGAGTGCGGCCATGGGGACGAAACTTGTGTATTAAAGAGTAGTAGAGGTGGGTGTAGCCGGAGACGATGATAGCGCAAGCTCCGACACGCGAGACGAAAAAGGAAAAGCAGACGCGATGGGTAGATTTGTCGGCGGACGGCAGGATTTGGAGGGTGTTATCCTGAGCGAGTGAAGTGACAATGAAATCAGCTTCCCTTGATCCCTGCAAAGAGAAGCAAGAACTAATTACGTCGTGAAGGGAAAGCGTTGGGCAGTCAAGCACTGGAAGATCGACCAGAAGCGATGCTCTTTCGCCGATTGTCGTTGACCTCCAATATCTTCCTTCCTGCCGGACCACACCGCCTTCCGCCCAGCTCAGCTGCTGAGTCAGCCAGCTTCGCTCCGTGCGGCATCTGGCCCTCTCGATTTATGCACGCCTTGAGTGCTTCGACAAGTTGTTGATATATCCAACCCCATCACCATGGCCATGGACTGCATCTCGAAATTAACTGAGAAATTGGTTCATTCCATAAACACGACTCAATCTCTTGTCCTGTACACAGTACAAACCTGCTTGTAGTAGACTGCCAGTCACATTGTTGAAACGTCACGATACTCCACCATCGGGGTCGACTTTCTACTGGTTTGTATACCTCTACGAAGATGTACGCGGGGACCCAGGCCAGCACTCGGCTCAGAGTCCAGAATGTCCTTCCGCTCCTCTCCACAGACAAACGAGGCAGGCAGGCGACAGCATTGAGCATGAAACCGCAGGGTGAAGCTGATCGTGATTCGCAGCTCACGGCAAACCCCGCCCGGGGCTGCAAGTTGAGACTGTCTACAAACCAATAGCAGACCTTCCTGACCATGCGATCGACCGGATTTGACGGTCTGATGAATCTCCAGACCGGTCGGAGCTCCAGTGTTGCAGGAGGGTCCGGAGGCAGACGATGGCAGGGAAGTATCAGCGCACACATCACACCACCACCACCATTGACGGAGGGGTTGCCAGTCCCCGACCAAGTATGCATCCTTGACATGATCTGTCGTTGAGGAATCCTCGCACTTGTCCAGTATTCGTGTCCTCTCCCTTGTAGTCCTGATAGTCGTAATGTAACCCCCGACTTTTGACTCACGTGTTGCTGGACCCCAAGATGGATTGTACCATGGGAAAGCTGGAGTTTCGTGGTTGGCGTGTGGTGACGGAAAACCACGCATTTTGGTGAATGAAGTCATTCATTTTTGGAGAAAGAGGCATGATTGGAAGATGGACCGGGGGGGAAAGCAGATCTTCTGGTTTCATCACCCTTTGTGGTGTCATAAGAGATGTGGGTGGGTGGCAGTAACTATGCTAGACATGCTAGTAACTAGTTAGTAAGAAGTACTTTGTTCTTTTGGTGTCAGTGTCAAGTGGAGAATTTCCTCCCGCGGTGGGAAATGCGGGGTGCAGCTCTTAGTCTTTCTTAGTGGCCGCTTCCGACGTCAGGAGCTGCTCGTGTGATCTCACGATTCACTATACTCGGAGTACAACTTATGATCGATAGATCAATTGCATTCTGGTCGGGGGGAGACTCATGCCACCAGGGGGAAAGATCAGAGGGGGAAATGACTGTAAATGCTGTCACTAGATGCTGTAGATGTTGTGTTATACTGCTGTACTGTTTTATTACTTGTGGTGACTGAGTTTACCCCCCTATACTGAGTAAGTATCCATAACGACCAGTACTTACTAGGTACCACTTACCAGGAGGCACCACAGAGTATAATTCCGTATTGACTGATGACTCGTTGATTTTCGTGCAATAGACATGGAACCTGGATGTGGTTTCATGCGTTGAAGAGGAGGAGGAGCCAGTCAGCTCACTGTCTCCCCCTCCCTCACTGAGTCTCTCCGCTTCACTTCATCCGGTCTCTTAAAGTTCCAGGACTTTCCCCCTGCCCTTTTCCTCTCTTCTCTTCCTCTTCTCTTCTTCTCCTTCTCTTCCTTCTTCATCCATTGTGAACTATCCATCTCTCATCCACTGCCTTTCTATCCGCTACTTCCACTCCATATCACTGTTCGGTACGTTCATGGCCCTGACCCTGGTCCTGGTTTCCATCCATCCCAAATCATCTTGCACTGTATTATCCTCTTCCCTTTGTAGCTTCACTCTGTCGTCTGACACCATCTTCCCATTGCCAACATATCGACAAGACTAACCGAACACCCCTCCCCGTCACAGTCAGTGACCCCAGACACATATCTTTTCCAACCATGTCGGAAGAACTCACCAGAGTCGACTCTGCCGTCGCCGGTCTGACGATAACGGCCAAAGACGAGAAGCATGTGGTCGTCGACGACAAAGCTGCCGCCAAGGACAAGGACAAGAAGCACAGACGTGCCTCCTCCACCGCCGAAGGCGTCTGCAACATCAAGGAACTCGGTATGTATTGGAACCATTCACTCCCGCCCTTGCCAGACTATCCACTAATCGCTCCGAATAGAGGAAAAGAAGATCGAATTGACTCTGCCCATCGAAACACAACGCACGGGATGGTAAGACTTCCTTCCACTCCACTTCACCAGCCACGATAGAAACCCCCATTGCTCACCTCTTTCAACAGGAAGCTCAACACCTCCCCGTCCACTGTCGAAGACAAGGACATTCTCAAGCTCCCCCTCGTTAACCCCCCTGTCAAGAAGATCGACCTACGCTTCCCCCTGGGGCTGGAGGTCACGGCCCGCAACATGAAGGGCGTCACGATAAAGGATGCGCTGGACGCAATCTACAAGCATTTCAAGAAAACGGTACGTATTGCCTTCCCGTCACCCCCTTTTTTCCAAAGAGCTAGTCACTGACCACCGACAAAGCCGGACGACGTCATGACCGATCCCTACCTCAAAGGTTTTGAGTGGGACAAGGATGAGTGCTGGACACGCCTCATTGTCCACCAGACCAAGCAGGGACCCCCCGTCCAGACCAGCAGCAAGAAATCCAAGAAGAAGAAGAACGAAGACGCATAGAGAAGTTCCGGCAACATCCCTTCACCCCGTTGCCTCCCCTTTTCTCTCTTCCTCAATCTCTCCGCCCCCGGCGTACCCAATTTACCTACCGTACCATCTTCTCATTAAAGTTGGTCGCAAGGGCGGGGAAGACGCCATTTAATACTTTGTAATCCGAAACTCTCTCTCGATCTTATGTGTCTTTTAAGGTGTTTTCTCTATCTCTCTCTCTTTCTTATGATCTGATTTGTGGGTCACATTCGTTTTGTTCTCGATCGTCATGACGTGTCTCGTCCTGTTGTGGGAGCCTGGGTGTTACAAGGCTGGGATGGGAATGGAATGGAGTGTGACGTGAACCGCACTACAACTGACTGACTCAATATCGAAATGAAGCTCCTTTCGGCCAGTCACTTTTTCATTCAGCGTACACAGTCAGACAGGATGGATACGTAGCTTTATTCTTCTTGACTGACTGGTACAGAGGATGTACCCCGTCGTTGATAGATAGATAAGCGTGCGTAGATGATAAGTGCGTAGATCCGATCGCCAAGACCAATACTAGTAGGTACAACCCATCATAGCGGCAAGCACTATTGTACTATATTGTAACTTAGTCTCCACTTTCCCCCATCAGAACCCCATTTTTGATTCGTGCGAATCGGGGTTTGTTTACCCACGGCCAAGCACTAGTGCTTCGATGTTTTCCCCCATTGCTTCTATATCTTGTTCCCATTGTATCGAAATGCAAAGAACTGTGTAGTGTAACACGCATCTCATATTCAGAAATCCTTTCACTGAAGGATGACATTTCACCTGTCTGGAATACCCAATCGCCATGCAACTCTTTGAAATTTAGTATCAATGTTAGTATTCTAGGCGGAAAGGGACCCCAGCAAACACCCAATGACAAACTATGCTTATTTGCAGATCGAGGGCCGGGTGTTGAAAAGAGAGCAAACACTGGAGGTAAGAACCGACGGATTGAAACATATGCAGAAGGACTCAATTCAGAAATGGGAACGCCCGCTAAAGTCAATGCAAATGGACTGGCAATGTATCCAGGAGAAACGGGAGAGAGAAGGGCAACGGGGAATGGGTGAGAAGTACCCCGGGAGGAACTGCAGATATTCATGCTGAAAGAACAACATTAAGCCATTATCATTGCATTGGGGAAGGAGACTTGAGATCTTTGGTTCAACGCCCTCGTCCGACGCCATCAAGACCACCGACACCACCGCTCACTCCCCCGAACAGCACCAACACAATCTCGTCTAAGATTGTAAACACGAGATGTGCGTTCAAACGCGAATTGTTCAAAGTAGCGAAAATGCGTCGCGCGGCCGCCTGCGCGTTGGCCCGCCCGACCACGTTTCCAGCCAGGTCCGGGATCAAGGTCGCCAGGACGAGGCTCGCCTCGGTGCGGCTGCGGAGGCGTTCGGGCCCCGTTCGTACTTTACTCTGTCGTAGGGTCCCGCCGGGCCACATGGTGTCTTTGGCCAGAGCCAGATAGCGGAGAAGGGAGTCGTCCTGTACCAGGGCGCGGGCGCCCTCCCGGACTTTGCGCTCGATGGTGCCACCCAGAAGCTGGTGCAGGACGACGACTACGGCGCGCCCGCGCAGCCAGTTGTTGCCCTTGTTGAGTTCGAAGCCCTCGAGGAAAAGGTCGCAGATGGGTTTGATGAAAGGTTCGAGGTCGCGGTCCTCGAAGGCGTTGAGCTCCGCCTCGGCCTCAGCCGCAGTAACAGCGTCTTCTGGGGAAAGGGGGACAGTGCCCGTTGCGGTTGAGGTGTTGGTAGTGGTGTTAGTGGCGGCGGAGATGAGGTTCTGGCCGGCCGTTGAGAGCTGATCGAGCACGCCGAAATTGCCAAGGAAGTCGTCCATGCCGTCAGCGACAGAGTTGTAGATCCGGGTCACTAGATCTTTAGTCTCTCCGTCGCGAGAGCTCTGCGACTCATCGCGTGAAGTGATGGCTCGCTGCGACAAGAAGGCTCGCAGGTCCCGGCTGCGGCAGACTTCGGGGAGGAGAAGCAGTTTCTGCAGGTAGGTTTCAAGCGCTTGGCGTCTCTTCTGAAGAAATTCTTTCTGGAGCTTAAGGACCACCCGGCGGCGCGGGAATTCCAAATGTCTCACGGAAGGGTATCTCATGCGCAGTTTGGTGTGGAGTTCATGGAACTCGCTGTAGCGCCGCGCGACCGCCCAAGACGCCGCTGGCATTTGCTCCCCAGCATTTCTTTGCACTTCGATCACGTCTAGGAAGTATGTGAGCTTGCTTGACATCTTGGCATAGAAGGCGGGGTCGAGAATGAAGACTTACACATGGCGAATTCACGACCATCCTCCTCTTTACCCACTACGATGGATTTGATACGGACCGTGGATCGGCCATATAAGCTGTTGTCGCTCTCTTGAATGATGTACTGTTGCCGTTGCATTTCCTTACGATGAATCTCACGCTGGATGCTTGCCTTCGACTTGCGCAAGATTCTCAATTCTGCGGTGTTGTTCGTGAGTTCGGCCTTGCGTGTGAGAGTGTCGACCACGGATTCTTGTGATCCCAGCTTCTCAATCTCGATCGTGAGCGCCTCGATGGCTTCTGTCAGCCCTAGGTCTCCTGGGGCAGCTTCATGAACCTCATCTGCGGGATCCTTGTCTGTTGCCAGGGGTTCTTCATATTCATCTTCAATGAACTTCTGCTGGTCGGCGAAAAGATCATCGTCAAATACGCCATGACGCGAGGAGCGGTCAATGAGTCCAAGGGAGGCAATGCTCGGCTTAGGACGCTCGTCCATCCGATTCTCGGTCCGAGCAGACTCTAAGGAGCTGCGCGGAGACCGCGGGACTTGATCACCGGCGGTGAGACGCGTTGGAGATGCGTCTCCGCTCTTGAGATCTTCCAGCCTGCTGTTTTTGGGTTGGTTGGTAATAATGTCGTTCAATGCAGCTTCCATGGTCTCAATAACTTGGTTCTGGTTCGCCTCGTTATCGCCATTCTGGGATTCCTGACCAAGACTCTGGGTCGACATTGCGAGAGGATCGGTGTCATAGTCGTCATCAAACAAGGGAGCCGATCGGTCAGAATCAAAGGAGCGTCTGGAGGAGTCATCATCTTCGAGCTTCTTTCCCATGCCTCGTACATCGCTTGACGAGACAGCTGCTCGTCTTAGGTCTTTTGGTCTGGCATTAGGCTGTGATGAGGTACGGATCATCAAGGGAGGGAGCGGCCGTCTCTCAGGCAAGTCGGCGGCGCTTGGGGAGTGAGGCGCATGAGACACAGATGATGAAACTTCATCCGATGCGAGATATTTATAGTAAAGATCGGACTTTTTGAACTTGGGATAGTAGATGTTCTGAAGCTCCTCGAGCACAGCGGATTGGGTGGTCAGGATCACGGTCCGTGCTTTGCGGTACTGATCCGCCGTGGCTCGCTTGCCCGCGCTTAAGAAAGCTTTGACTGCCCGGCGTGAGTCTTCCGGCACTTTCAATTCCGGTTTGTTCAGGTAGCGCTGGCTGATTAGAGCCATGTCATTCTGATCGGTGGACGTCCACGTTGTCGAGCTTGGAGAATCCTCGTCTCCAAAGTCATCTTCCAGCGGATTGCGAAACCCATCAACAACGATCCAGAACTGCACCAGAGACATGAGTTTTTGTCGGTCCATAAACTCCATGAAATACGATAGACCAGAAGCGTCGTGCATCACATCGACTAGCGATGCCTCCCGTGATGCGCTGTTTTTGCGCCGGAAGTGCGATGCTGCCGCAGAAGCGTGCGATAAATGGCTGCCTGCCGGAGTGGAAAGCTTGGCCACTTTCTGATCCAAGACCCTCTTGGCCGTTTCCAACCGTTGTAAATAGGTGACGTCTTGTCCTTCAACCATGGATTCTCGCTTGAGCTGGCTTACAATGAGGGCTCTGAACCGTCTAGCATCGGAGATGTTGTCGCAGCGCCGAATCGCTCGTACAAACCTCTCAAATGCTCTTTCTGAATCGTGAGGACCCAGGCGGGGAAATTGACTCCCACGCTTCGATCTTGGTGCCGGTGAGGCATGCTCATCTAATGCTGCCCGCAGCTTTCGCACCGTTTTTCGATCCTGTATGGCCGTACGACCGTAGGCCTCCACTAGCTGGTTCCAAGTGTCCGGGTCTGACAGAGCCGCGGTGATGGGATACAATACCGCGCAAGCGAGGATCTCTCGGACCATGACGGAGACAATGCGACTATTAAGCACCGAGGCAGGAAACAGTTTAGGCAACAACCCGACGGTGATTTTGCGGAGGTATTCCTGCTCGACGAGTTTTTGATCCGTCAAAGAAAGTTTGGCCGCTGGGTGTAGATTGCCTTCCCGATACTTGCTCGCTATAGCCAAATCCAGTTCTTCCGACTCGGTGACATTCCGAGTGAGGTTTCTTCCCCTCACCAATCGCTCAGCGACGTCAAATTCCTTGAGGTGGGTTGTAAGTATGGGGAAAATCCTGGAGACCAGAAGTGAGACCAAGTCTTCTGCCAGTAATCGCTCGCGCAGGTTCTCAACGGCGGTTCGGATGACTCGGTCGACCTCGTTCACGAATGCGGGGTTCGGACTGATATGTCGGTACCATGATGCGACAAAGTCGCGCGTGACCAGACTCAAGACTTCATCAATGCCCTCCGAGACAACAAATGATTGAGGGTATAGCGATTTGGGTTTGTAGGTGGAACGACTTCGAACGCCCCGCGCTTCCTGGTCCCAATGGCGGTGGGTGAGGAACGCAACGGGGCGCTTCTTGAGGGAGGGGGAAGCTGCATCGGCTGTAGATCGCGTGGTAAAAAGGACAAGAAGAAGTAGCGTGGTTAAAGAAAGCAGGGCACCTAGTACCAGCGCATAACCCAGGTATCTGAGCACGGGAAGCCACTGGGTGGCCAGTCCCCACGCTATGAAACCTCCAACGGCCAGCAGAAGGTACTCTTGTCGCTTGAGGGCCATTGTCCCCGGATTAGTCGTACTGCCATGCCGGGTTCACGTAGAGAAAGAAAACATATTGCTGCTTAATCAATGTCACAAAAAGTCCGGCGAGCTTCCCCTGACTGGGGGAGAATATTGAGGGGATCGTATTATATGATCGAGATAACCACAGAGAGATAAGTTAAGTTAATGCATGAGACGATGATGATATGCAGGCGGTGAGGAAGTATGGTTGATCCGGAGTCCCGGGGGGGGGGGTCCGGTATGTATGATACAATACAATACCACTCTTCGATACAGTACAGAAGCCGGCTATACTGGATTCGGATTATTGTCAACAATGCAGCAGCTATACTTGGGGAAGACACTCAGCGCGAACATATTCACAGTTGCTGTGAGGGCTGTGCTAGAGACAGTAGAGCTACCCTGTACTCTCAGTGACTGTCAGTTTAAAGAGCATGTCCAGTCAACCTGTCTCAAAAGCGTTGGGGCCTCGGAGCCCTGAGCGGAGCAGCTGCCGGTGGGCATAAACGACGTCATGCCGTTTCGGGAGAGGGAGGGTTCGCTCTTTCTCCACCTCACATGCTGTTCTCTTTCTCTTCTCTTCTCTTCTTCTCCTCTCCTCTTCACACCTTCTTCTTCTTCTTATTCTTCTTCTGAGTTCATTATTCTTTTCTTTCTTTTGTCTGCTTTGCGTAGCTTCTTGGTTTTTCATCATGGCTTCCCTCGATAACTTCGTCGACTTGTCCCAACCATCTCTACAATGTATGTTTCAATGGCTGCTGTCCCCGGTTCTCCCCGCATGTGATTCTGACCTCCACTCTCTGTGTAGGGGCTGCCTTGTCCATTGCCTTCAACCCAATTTTCTGGAAGTAAGTACCAGTCAGAAATCCTCGATTCTGGTTCTCGTTCGACCAAACTAATCTAGATCTTGAATTTAGCATTGTCGCACGTGCTGGTTGGTCCTTCCCTCTGCTTTCACCTTCATCACTCGGATCTGCTGCCAGACTGGCGGCAATCCTAGAAGCCACCTACGTGTCTTCCTCGGCCTTTCGAATGACTGAGCCTTATTTCCATCGCATTCTGTAGAATACCGCAGTCACTTCCTGACCCGTATTTTCGGTGGTAACCCTTACTACGGCTGCTATTTCCTCGCCGTCACCATTTTCAGCATTGGTATCCTACGCGACCACATCTACCAGACAGCCCTGGCAGATCAGCCCTACTATGCCCCAGTGCACCAACCCGTCCTCGGCGGGCTACTCTTCTCCGTTGGCTCAATCCTCGTTCTATCCAGCATGTGGGCTCTTGGTGTGACCGGCACCTACCTGGGAGACTACTTCGGCATTCTCATGGACGCCCCCGTCACGGGTTTCCCTTTCAACGTTACCGGCTCGCCAATGTATTGGGGCAGCACCCTCAACTTCCTGGGTGTGGCCCTGTACAGAGGTAAAGTCGCGGGGCTCTTCCTGACAGCCGAAGTCTTCATTCTCTATTGGTTCGCTCTCCAATGGGAGGAGTAAGTATTCCTCTTTTTCATCCGCTGTGCCCCAAACATTCCCCACCCCCCCAACCCCAAACATCTTCTTCGAATGTACAACACTCCGGGTGAAAGCTTTCATACATGGGAAAGCATAATCAGGCCCTTAATCGACCATCCCAACGCGCCAATTTCGAATTCCCCCGCGAATGTTCCTGGCCCATATGCGATCTTTGCTGAACTTGAAGAATTTGGACATCCGTGATCCAACAACTAACCACAATATCCTCCTGTAGTCCCTTCACTGCCGAAATCTACGCCAAGCGCGAGCGCGAGCGTGCCAAGGGCAAGCAAGGTGGCAAGAAGAACCTGTAACTTCAGACGTCTCATATTGTGGTACTTCGAGACATCGATGTTCTGTCGAGTGCGGTCCTCCCATCCAGGGCTTTCCTGACATGATTTCATCCACGCCGGAATGCGATGGGGCTCTCTTCTTTTCCCAACGCGCCAGTGAGACGAACAATACAATTATGAGCTCCGGGACCTCTTCAACACTTATTCTCCCCTTCTTTGCTCCCGCATGGATTGAATCGCCAATTCCTCGGACCGCAAGCCCTGCCCTACCAATAACCCAGCCACATGTTCGTGTCTCTGGGTTCACCCTCTTCGAATTGCAGAAAGAGGATAAATGTACTCTGTACAACCCGCTCCACACATGGTCATCCTCAACGATACTTGACAACCTTATCAGCCTACCCCGAAAGAGAAATTACAGTACAAAAAAGCAACCAAACCCCACGAAAACGACGTCCGGTGACGAGCATAGTACAAGGAGAAAAGAAGATTACTAGATCACAAAATTGAAAAATCCACGGTGAAGAACGGCGGGGCATGATAAACTGTTTATTGTTTCACTTTTTCGTCCTATGTTATCCATTCCTGAGCTTCAATAAGAGTATCATGGTTATCTATCTATAGAATTCATTACTCTGCATACTACTCATCGCCCATTGGTCCCATAAGCGGCGTTTTCATGTCACCCGTAACAAGGCGGGGAGGGGAGAATTGAAGGGGGTATCATGTGTATGTATGGTGTGTGTGTGTGTGTGTGTGTGTGTGTGCTTACAATGCAATGTTGCAGAGACATTTTGACGGTATAAGGAGGTGGGTGCCGGGGGTCATCATAGGCCATGATCATGAATCTCAATATCTGTCCTCGAAAACTTCAATGTAACACCGCTAACTCCGCGCTATAGATCTCTAAAATGTTAGAAGAAAGAACCGATGCCTGCATTCGTATGTGAAAAGAAGAGCGGTAGGCTGTGCATGAGCGAGAAGAATTGGGCAAGGAAAGATAAGAGGCTGGACTAAGCCCGTCGACCTCTGCCTCGCTTGTTCGACGTCCGACTCTCTTCGACAGGCTCGATTTCGTCCTCATCCGCGCCCTTCTTGAGATCTTCTCCCTCGGCGAGACCCCATTTCTCGCGGTCGTACCAGTCTTCGCCGTCGCTCAATTCGCCGACGTGACCTTCCGCTTTGCACCATTCAAAAACATCCTCTTTCATACGGCAGGCGCGGAGGAGGCATTCCAGCATGTGCTCGAAGCCGCGGACTGTCTCCTCTTGCTTTTGAACATAAGACCAGAGAAGTCGACGTGTATCTTCTGCTTCGTTGGGAGGGAGGCCGAAATTAGGGTCGGGTCGGACAGACTCCGGTATGAGGAAGAGCGGGTGCGGTGTGGGTAGGCTACCCAGTGTGTCATCGGACGGCGATGGAGATAACGGCTCGGATTCATCGTCCTGTTGAGGATTGGCAGCGTTGGTCTGCGCCCGTGTTGTCATGCGTCGTGGGGGCTCTGGCGAAGACCCATCCGCCATCTCTGCATCCTTGTCTGTATCGTCTGCGGCATCGGGACGAGGTTCCGTGTCCGGATGTGCAGCTGTCGTACCCTCTGTGTCTGCCTTCTCCTTCCGTTGTCGGTCGGAGTCCGACGTTCGATCCTCAGCTGCCGTGGTGCTGTTCAGAAGTGTAACCCCATTGACTTGTGTTTCTTGCTTGGTTGTCTCTGAGTGATGCGGTAGGTCGCCGACGGGCGTGTCCACTTCCTCCGATTTGGGTTCTCTACCCTGGTCGAGCTTTGGAAGATGACTGACTTGTTTCGTCTGCTGATCTAAGGCATCAGCCATCTCCACATCTCCATCTGCGGCAGGAGTCTCATTTTGAGCAGCAGGAGACGGCTGTGACGCTGCAGTGACCGATGATGATCCTTGTGCACCATTCTTTTGCGCTGTCGATTCACTCGCCCGTAGAGGTGTAGCAATGCCGTTGGGTCCGTACTGTTTCAATGAAGGGGTGTGCGTAGTGCTGGCCATGCGGGGCTCGAATATCCAGCGATCTCCCGGTGTCTCAACCATTCCACACGACATCCAGGAACTGTCGCCCAAGAACTGTCTGTGTAGGTTTCTTGCCCGCCAGAGCAATGCTCTTTCCTGGCGAAGTTTGGCTTCGATTGCCTGCATCATGTGCAACAGTGCTTTCGACGTATAGGCATGCGACATGGAAGGATGGGTAGGGAGCTCTGAAGGATGCTTTAACGGGCACATAAAACCTGCAAACACATAAGAAAGAACAATTAGCCATTGATGTCGTCCCAAAGATCGTTTTGAAACAGCTGAGGGAGGAGTCTCACTTTCGAGCGCAATTTCAGAAAATGGATTCTCTTCCGCTGCCGCGGCATCTGCCTCAGAGTCTTCATCGTCGTCATCGAGCTCATCGCCTTCCGAGTCGTAGCGCACAGGGTTTCGCTGAAGAATGTAGCGCGTATGACCTCCGTGTTCGATTTTCTAGTCAAGACAAACCGGATGACGATCAGCCTTCTTGCTCGCGCCTGCTCCGCGTCTGAGCTTCCTTCCATTCTTCACGATCATTCCGGCCCCATGAACGAAAAGGAAAAGAGAACCGGGCGGAGAACAAACTCACCTGCTTGTAAAGATGCTCAGGGTGTATGTATCCTAAGGCTCCCTCTCGGACGAACCTGGCGTTTGCCCGGAGTTTGTTGCCTCGATTTGTGGGTTGGGTGATAGGATCGTCAGGGCCCGAATCTACCGCAGCAAGACGGAAGGAGGATTAGCCAAGTTGCCGGTGGTGAGTTGGTGGTAAGAATTGAACTGAGAAAGGAGAACGCACAATCATCTTCCTTGCGCAAGGCCCTTTTCATGCCAAGGATGGTATCGAGAATTAAAGCCTGCTGGGTCGTCATGGCTGCGGTGGGGAGCGATCACACGGCAGTCGCAATACCAAGCAGCCACACAAGCAGGAAGAGGGGGACGGAAAAGAAATAGTTTTTCAAATGACGATGCTGTTGATCGAGGGGATTTCTGGAGCAGGCAAGCAGTCCGTTGGCGGATGCCCCGTTTGAGTTCCAATATTGAGGAATGAGCGAGAGATGTGTGGGGAGGGAGGGAGGGAGGAGTGAGCGAAGTGGAAGGAGAGGGTCGAAGGTGAATCTGCGCAGAGAGCGAGAGGTAGACGGGACTCACTGGGCACTCACTGGCAGAGAGACTCGCTCTCCGCTTGGGGAAGCTGCGGGCGCTCCGATCGCCGGCACTAGTCTATTACAGGCAATGCGTGATAAGGGTAGGTCACGTGATTATTCATCGTCCTTACAATGTCATCATCATCATCTTCTTCTTCTTCTTCTTCATTGACTTCGTCTATCAATCTCTTCATTCACAATGTCTGTCTGCAAATATCCCCACTCAGTGTCATTCCAAAGAGAAGGACATGCTGGAGTGCTACATCAGCACCCTCCATTAGGCGAACCTAAGTATTTTATCTAGCTATCACTAATTACGAATCCACCTAGATCAGTTGTACAGCTACTACTAGATTCTAGTCGTCAGCATCTACCCAAACCAGAATCCCTTTCTTGTCACTCCGCATATCTTCGGTGGGAAGAACTCGGAGAGTCTTGTTGAAGTATGTATCAACCACAACAAGCTGTGGCTGAATCCACAACCCGCGTTTAGATGCCAGTAAGTTGTATCGAACCGTCTGTCGGCTAAGAGGCACCAACTGGACGACTATTGTCTTCGGTCCACTAAAGGCAAAATGTTCGCTGGCCTCCATCGTCAGGTTGAAAGTGAGAAAATGCATCGAGGGATTCTCCAAGGTGTATTCCAGGTGAATCAGACCCGACAGAGCGTTCGAGGGTTTCGCGGAGGCCAGCACACGAGGCTCGCCGGTCGGGATCATGAACCGAGGGACAGCAAGGGTCGATATGGTGGCAGCTTGGTCGGTGCCATCTTCTTCAGTCGCACTACGCCGCCAATGTATCTCAAGCGCCAGATTTAAGGCGGTAGGTCGTCGGTCGCCGAGGATCTCCTTCTGGAAATCTAGAACGAAATTGGACTCTCGAAGTTCTTCGGGTTGGAGCTGTACAACGTCGGGGCTAACAATCTCCTCTGAGCCAATGTGGCAGGTTGACGCGCCACCAAGTCCGAGCAGTACCACAGACATCTTCTCAATAATGAGCGGCTCCAAGGCAAAAGAGACAACCTTTGCATTCAGGCACCATCGCTGCTGAAGACCTCCAGGGGTCGATACTTCTCCATTGGGTAGCAGATCGTCATCAATGGTGAAGAAGTCCGGCCAGGGCTCAGGATGTAGGCGTGGAAGAAATTCATAGTTGGCTTCAAATGGTCGAATTATGGACAGAGTGACCTGTGTCGTGGCGATGATGGGTGTCTGAATGTCAGACACGAGGTTGTAAACCGTGGAGATCTCGAGGTCATAATTAGCGGCGTCGTTCGTATCGGCTAGGACAATCGCCAACTCTCGATGACTTGAGCTATCCATCAGCCCTATTGGTCGTTTGATAAAGTGCGATACCCCTTCGATCGGTGTACTCTGGCCAGAGCTTAGCGTTTCAGAGGACGCTGTCTCGTCTAGCCATTGGATTTTGGCTTTCGAGTCTGGGTGAGCAAAGAGTCTCGTTTCCGCCGAGACTTCCGCAGCCTCATCTTCTTCGTTGTGAATGTCAATCTTGAGAATTATTTGCTCGTTTGTATAATATGTGCCTCGCATGTTTAGCATAGAAATCCTTATCTTCGGTGGCTTAGGAAGTATCTTGCAACGACCGGGATCTCGTCCTTTGCCGACACGACGCCGGGTTGGACCTTTTGAAGCCGTCCGCCACCAAAATGCTTCGGCGAGATTCAAATCAGTGATGGCTATCGCAAGGTCAAACTTTTCTTCTTGAACGAGCAGTGTAATTGAGGCCACGCGCGATTCTCCTGATTCTCTGGGGATACTTGTCAATTCGTACACCCTCGTCTGACCCGGAGCAATCGTGAGGTCTGCAATGCCAACTAGCGCTGTTAAGCCACTGGTAGGTGACTGAATGGTGGATTGGTCTGCCGAGACACTTGGATCTTGCAGCGAAGGTGACGATAATGTGCACAGCGTCTCTCTATCAACTTCCTGTTTGTTGTCTGACTGGAGCTTGATGGGACGCAGACAACCTTCGAAAGCTATCTTTATTTTAGAAAGCCTAATCGGCGCGGATGATGCGTGAGCGCATGAAGTGACTATAAGCTGCCCCTTCAACGGCTCGCCAACGTTGCCTTCCGACTTTTCAAAAACGAACGTTGCCGTTACTAGTCAATAGGGCTTAGCATGTTGGTCCTTCGAAAATGGAAATTCATCTTACCGCATGAGACAACATCTTCCGCAAGCAGGACAACTGATGGCTTTGGTTTCACCAGGGAAAGGTCCTCAAGGCTTCGATGTATATCGTAATGCCAATCAGGCCGGGGCGTGAAAGCTGGTATATAACAAAACATCAACAAATAAGGAGGAGTTCAGAATTTCAGACCAGCAAGCTGACGATAAGCAGATGGGTGTGCTCGGCGGGTGTCTTACATTTATGGAGCAGCTCCCAGTCGACTCGCAAGATTGACTCGGCGTCATTGACATGCGAGGCACTCTCCCTCAATGCCCAACCGGCCTTCTCCATGAGCTGCCACCAACACGTGCGCCGCCAAGTCAAGGTCGACCACAGCGATTTGAGTTTTGCATGGGCTTCCGCCCACGACCCCACGCGCATATACTCTTCTGCTATTTCCAGACTTATACTTTCCGTCTTTCGTATTTGATCGCGCTTTGCAAACTCCTCGAGCGCTGCTTTCAGCGCATCCAGTCGAAATGCAGAGTGATCGAACCCGCTTGTTCCTGACCGCGGTGCTTCAACATGCGGGTCGGGTACCAGATATGTATCATACATGTAAGACTTATTCGCTATCTGGGAGGCAGGGGACTGGCCGGGTGGCATCCGATCTTCTTCTGGAATTTGCTCGGCCAAGATACGCCGGTAGTTGGCGTGTTTTGCTGCTCGATACCACCAGTAGCCCTCGTGATGGAGCTGTTCCCATGGTACTTCAGCATCCAATGCGGTATTTGTATTGGTCAGTGGCACGAATATCGAATATTGCTGCTGGAATTGATCCTGCGGGATCCCCACTGAGGTAAATTGGGGAATGCTGGCCTGGCGTATCAGCTGCGCCATGACCATGGACCATCGAGCTTCCCACGCCTCCCATCCATAGTTTTTAGTGCCCTTACCCCGACGATTGAGAATGTCATGTGAGCGTGTTCTGTGGTTGGTCCATGCGCGCACCGCAAGTGCGGTTTGTCCCGTCCATAGAAGGCAGCGTATGATACGTATGGCCAAAGCATCTCCAAGTAAGCGTGCATCGTTGAATCGAGGATTCCAACCAGCGATAGACTCAAAAACTTCTTGTCCGAAAAGAGTTTCGTACGCGCTCTCATAGTTCCGCAGCGCTGCATCGATCTCGCGGCGAAATTCCGCGAAGATGCCTAGCTTGAATTCATATCTCACATTCCAGCCTTGACTTGACAGGGTCTGGGAGGTGCCGCTTGTGGGTGGTGCCGTCGGTGCAGGGATCGTCCCTCGATTGCGTTTTCTCCTGGCATGCTTGGACAGATCTCGATAGTATTCTATCACGGATGGCTGGAGGTGAGACAGTAAAGATGTCGCAAACTCTTTGAGCTCCATCGGCGTGGCATCCGAGGGTAGCAGGAAAAGTGATTTTTGGTCCAAATTGGTAGCTCTCCGAATGCCCGCTACCCGGTCCTCGGCGTCCCCCTGATGAATGTCCTCGCTATCTTCGGATAAAAGAACGACTAGGAACCGGGTCTTGTAGCCAGAAGACTGCCATTCCTTCTTTAAACCATTGATCTCGATTTTGAGTTGGTTGTCACGGAGCGAGCTCATATTAAGGTCTCCGCAGAACGGAAAGAAGTTGATGACTGCCGCGGGGACAAGCCCTTGGTGTTTCGTCACCCACAGGGAAGTAAGGAGACCATCTGGAAATGTGGGCGACGATGGTGTCAGAGGTGAGATTGGCGAGTGAAGTATGAACGAAGTTCCGCGTGGTACATCATTATCTCGGCCGGCTCCAGGACTCGTCGGAGGAGACACAGGTGGGGGATCAGCTTTGCGCAGCGGTAATCTATAAGACTAAATCATCATTGGTCAAGTCAGTTCACGCACACAGCCATGGGCAGAGTTTATTGTGTCACAGAGATATAGTCGCGTGGTAGTGGCATGTTTTCCACACAGTCTGTTTGACGGTGTTGACAGATGAGGTGAAGCGGGGAGGGAGGGGCACGGCTTGGATTGCCGCACTGCGATGGCTCACCCGTCCAACACTCTTGATCTTGTATTGGGCTTTCGCTGGGTCTGCATGTCCCTCTTCTCTAGAGCTCCCTGCTAGGTGAGATGCATCTTCGTCTAGCAATACCCGTCGTAGTTCCTCTGCAACCGAGCCACTCAATGGCGGGAAATCCGAGTATATCTTCGAGCCTTTCTCCTGCAGAAGAGGATAGTTGGTCCAGGCATCGTCTAGCTCCTCCTCGGGTCCTGACTCGAGGCCAGAGAGCAGTATAAAAGGAAGGTTGTGGGTGACGTAGTCTTCGGGGTAGGCGTCCATTGCGGACAGGTGCTTTTTCGCGGTACCTTCGGTCACCGCATTTCCGATTGGGATGGAAGTTCGAAGTCACACGGAGGGTGACCAGTCCAGAGAAGAAGAAGAACAGACAGAAAGCGAGAAGGTGAGTACGATAGATAGAAAAAGCGAACTTGATCAGATTGTTGTGGGCTTCCACCCGGATGAGCTGCTGGCACGTCAACGTCAGAGAGGAAATGGATTTCACCGAAACATGCCAAGCTTGCCTTTGGTCCTCCTCCCGCCGCCGCCTGATAAGACTATCGCGAGACATCACTGCACAAACACTACACTTGCCTATAGCGTTGCAGTATGACCTTTCAGCTATGCCAGGCCAGGTCATCGGAGAGATGACGCTCGAGAGTTATCTCAAGTTTACTCGAGTACCTTTTATTCCCAAGGTGCGTTGACCAAACTACTAGGACACATACCATAGCCTCAATCCGCACTCATAAGCTGGTGGGTGCCAATTATATAGTTATACCCATCAGACTTATCAACATACTCAGGCCATTCACGGAGTATAATTTACGGCGCTAGTACTTCATGCGAAACAAATTGCCCTTCCACGGTAACTTACCGATTCACGATTTGAAGAAGCCACCTGTGATACTTATCGCCAGTATAAAAGTCCCTGTCTCTGGAGTATACCTACGAGCATGATCACCATCAAAGAATAATGCCGATCCTACATCCACCTGATATGCATAAAGTCTACAGCTTCCCCGCGTCCCCCTGCAATGCTCCTACCTTAGTAGCAAACGGTTCTCGCTGGATTATCGAGTGCGTCCCGAAGAAGGGCATGGAGGATCGATCGTCGGCTCAAAAAAGTGGTGGCCAAAGTTATCCTTGCCTCGGGACAAACACGGGCGTAGCTTAAATCGCAGATACCGAGAGTGCGGATCGAGAACAGCCGACCCTCATTTCATGCTCAACGCTGCGATGATTCGGTCGGTGGGGACCTCAAAACACAACCACCATCCATGCCTCCGCTTTGGGAGATTCTTACCGAAGAAGTCGGACACTGTTGACTTTCAATCTACGCTGGACGTGGAGTGAGTGCTATATACTTTGATGGTCCCAGGATTGAGAGGATCTCGTTGCAGGGATTGCGATGCCTCATCAGCACTGATTGAGGAAAGAGTAATCTCTTCCTGAGTGCGAAGAGACTGTAATCCATAGGGACTGTCCCCCCTGATGGTCGAGGTTTGATACGACTGAAAAACTCGGATCTGCGAACCGTGCGGAGGAAGGCAAAGGAAGAGAATCCAGTCGGATCGAAGGAGTGGATTCTCCCTTCCATCCAATCCATCCATTGTCTGCGGGAGACCCGCCTTTATTTTGATTGCCTTTGCTTGGGTCTTTTTGCTCGTCTTTCTCTTCCCTTGGCTTGTCCTAGCCTAGTACGTCGTTATAAAACTACCTACCTACCTACCTACTACATTAGTTACCATTGCGAACGAGAGGATATAACCCTGAGGCATTCAGTCACTTATTCGCACACATCGGATAAGAAAGGTGGGATGTTAGCCTGATATACTTCAGTGCGAAGAAAAGTGATCGGTGGAAACCACAGCTGTAGAGTTATTAACAGTCTCCACCGGAATCGTTCCATTATTCCATTATTCCATCATACTCTCTCTACTCTCTCTCTCTCTCTCTCCTCCCTCTTTCTTGTCTCAAACCATCGACCCTCTCTTCCTAAGACCATCAATCAAATCCAAATTTGCCCCTGCTTTCTCGATTGGATCATTTCTATTCACTTGGTGACTGATCCTGAAGCGATCGATACTGCGCATCCCTTCTTTGCTCTTCTTTCCTGATTATTGTCTCTCTATTTCCACAGCGGGCAGACCTTCACTTGTTTATCTTCCCAGTTTCGGGATTAGTACCTTTTTTTCCAATCCTTGGGCCTACCACTCAATCATCCAACCTTTTCCCCTTTTTCTATTTCCGTTTTGTTTTTTCTTGTCTATTTTGCTTTTACACTATCTGATCTTAAATAATTTTTTGTCTGCACTGGCAATCTCCAACCCCCTTCGGTCTCTTTTCCTGTCGTCCTTGTCTGCATGTGTCGCAAAGAGGTACTGGCCGTCTAGATCGACCATACATTGATAGCCCTTGAGACAAAATAAACGTTCGGCAAGGGGTTGATCGGGGCTTGCATACCGCAAGGGCAGCGATAGGACCGCCCTGGTTCCTCCACTGCCCTCCCCTCCTCACTGCTTCTCTCTTCCCTCCCCCTCCAGGTCTCCTGCATGGTGACTGGCACATGCGTCAAGCGCCCGCGGTCTATTGATTTTTACCCGTTGCGCTACCAAAGCTTTGCAGACGTTATTCTGCCCTCTTACTGGATCATGCACGCGCGTACTACCATCGACCGCATATATCGTCGGTGAATGCCAGTCTCTTACTTGTTGTGTGCTGGGGCCGAAACTTGCTGTTGGTCAGCCTGATTCCCTGTCAATGTCCGCCATGGATCGCGCGGAACATTCCTCGACTTCCCAAGTTGATGCCCCTTTCCAATCCTCGGCTTCGCTGGATAACCGTCGCAAATCGATTCCATCGCGCGCTCTTGCTGCGAGCCCTTCGCCGGCTTTTGACCCTGCATCTCCCGAAGTAATATCCTCTTTACTTTCGTCGCTGTCGACCATCTCAATACCCCTCCAGACGCACTTCGACAGCGTTCCGCGCATTGACACCAAGACCGATCCCGGCTCGCCCGCCTACTTGGCCCCCGAACAACATCGCATTCCGGACCAACGCCCGCTCAGCGCGCATGAACTGGGGTTAAGTCTCGGGGCGTTTCAGCCGCCCGTGGAGACGTCACAGGGTCCCTTCTTGCATCCAGATGATGCAGCAGTTGCTCCCATCATCCGTATGGCCCGCGCGCCGCCCCCTCCCAAATCGAAAGCTGCCCTAGATACGCCCTTGTCTCCAGGGAGACCGACATCAAGGGGCTCCTTCACTTCGTCCAAGGCAGCCTACGAAGACTCCGCCTTTGGCATGATCACTGCCGAACCAGGCCCACGACTTTCCACTGCGAACAGTGCCGCCTCGACTGGTTCTAAGAAAAGCCTCAAACACCAACTCAGCATTCTGAAACGAACTTCACGAGAATTTTCTAGCGAGAAAGAGCGGCAGGTTGATCGATTACGCAAGACATACAGCTTTAACGACGGCCTTCGACATAACATCCCGCGCAATAGGGCCAGTGCACGCTCTTTGTATTCTATGGTCGACGTGGTTGAAGAAGGACGCACCTCACCGAATCGGTCCGCCACTGAGACAGCTACACATTCGTCACTGGGCGAGCCTTCGAGTAAGGAACGCCATTCATTACAGGGTGCGCAGGAAAGCACACCTATTACTCCTGGTGGAATCGGGAGCGGGCGTATCATACCTGCTCGTGAATCGTCCTTGCGACACACTCTTTCTTTGAGTCCAAAGCACCGCAGATCATCGACCCGGCATAGCCGATTTTCTTCGACCAGCAGTACAGATATGAAAGTGGACAGTGCAGTTTCAGGGGTAGGATGTGATTCCGACCAGGTGACGAAGAGAATCCAAGAATTGAAGGACCAGCAACAGAAGATCAAGACCGAACTAGAATTAGACGGTGCCTCTTTGACATCCCTCAAAGAGCCTATCGCCGTACCCGCGCAGCAATCTGCCTCTACGGGGTTTGATGGAACTGCAGATTCCCAGCAAATGGGGCAAAAATCTCGCTTCAGCTTCGATGAAAGTGCTCCGGCTCCAGCAGTTTCAACAGGCAAAAGCCGCTCTACTACCCGTATTAGCCCCCCGTTCCCCTCTAGATCATCTACTGCATCTATTCACTCCTTCGACAAGTTCGACTCATCTGAAAAGTCCCCATACAAATATACCCCGGAGCCGCCATCTCCCTTTCGACATCAGCGTTCTCCATCGAGCGCAAGTTCCCCCACGGGTTATTTCGCTGTGGAAGAGCGCCCATCCAGTGCTGATTCCATCGACCTTGCAGTTCAGGACTATGTTACGGCCGCTAAGCTAACTCAAAGGGTCACTCACCCCACGTCAGGTCGCACTATAGCATTTTCAGAGGTTGGGGACCCAAATGGTCATGTGGTTCTCTGTTGCCTTGGCATGGGTTTGACAAGATACTTGATGGCCTTTTATGATGAATTGGCGAGGTCTCTCAAGCTCCGCTTGGTCACCTTGGACCGACCGGGGGTCGGGGAAAGCGCGCCTTACATGAACGAGCCGGCGACCCCTCTCAGTTGGCCCGGTGAGTTACCACACCAGTATTTTTTTTTACCTTTTCTATGACATGGTGGCTAATTGTTCTCTAGATGATGTTGCTATAGTATGTAATCATCTCAGAGTGACAAAGTTTTCAATCATGGCACACTCCGCCGGTGCTATTTACGCACTAGCTACTGCCCTGAGAATTCCACAACATGTTAGGGGGAGAATTCATTTGCTGGCTCCCTGGATCCCACCATCGCAACTGTCCAGTTTCGGCTCACTGAAAGCTCCGGTCCCGACCCATGCCGTTCCTTACACCCAGCGAATTCTCCGGGCTCTTCCAACGTCGATCCTCAAAGTCGCCAATTCCAGCTTCATGAGCGCAGCAAGTGCAAGTCTCACGTCCAGTCTGCCCAAGTCTCCCCGGCGAGCCAAGCGCAAGGCGATGCAGAGAGACATTTTAAGCTCTGCTGTCATCGAGCTCAGCAAGCCTCAGCAGCTTCCAGGCAAGATTCATCAGCAAGGTGGACTCAAGAGCTTCGAAGATAAGAAGCCAACGCCTATAGTCGTTGGAGCGGGCCATCCCATTGATGAACATCTATCGAACCAGGCCGCGCTGGCTGCCTCTCAGGATCGTGAGCGGCAGGTGGACTACGACAATCGGCTGACCCACAGGATCTGGGAATTAGCGACGACTAATGCAAACCCGGCAGTAGATTTACTGGTGTGTCTGGAGCGTCGGCAACCGATTGGGTTCCGCTACGTGGATATTACTCGGAATGTGGTGATTCATCATGGTAGCAGAGACACTCGCGTTCCCGTTGACAATGTCAAGTGGCTGGGAAAGACGATGCGACGCTGCGAGGTTCGTGTGCTCGAAGGTGAAGGGCACGGGTTGATGGCCTCAGCTACGGTCATGGGCAACGTGTTGATGGAAATAGCTAAGGAGTGGGAAGACTGGATGATTGTGGTCCAAGGAAAGCGAAAAGGGACCATCGGGCCGCGCTCCGGCATCGCAGTTCAAGCATGAAGGCTTCAAATATGACATGCGCGAAGGCTCAAGGGCAAGTGAAGAAAAGTCAGATGCAGTGGTTGGGAGACACTCCCTCTTGCTGGTGACTTCCCAGGGACGGGCTTTCTCACAAAACCCTCCAGTTGCTCAGTTCGACCGCTGCAGGCTCTGCGGTATCACGAAAAAGCATCGTCATGTTGGTTGATCTGCACTTTGAGTGATTTCAATCAGCAGGTATATGCTCTCATGTACCCCGTATATGATCATCTCCGACGTTATCTCATGTTTGGTTCGTTTGTTTACTTTTGTTCGCCATGATACCACCCAGCTACATACCCAGCATATAGCATAGCATGAGAATCTTTCATAATATAATTCTTAATATACTTATCTAGAAAGAATACCTACAAAGTACCAGTACATTGTAGTTTGCCGTGTTTCTACCCAGTAGTAGGGCACGGTGTAACCGCCCGACCCCGTGACATGCTTCCTTCTGTGGAGGTCATCAGCATGGGTTTGTCATCGACCCTCCTCCCCCCGCTCCTTATGGAACCCCCCCTTAGTTTGAGCAGCTGAGGAGAAACTCCTTAACCTTTTATCCGGTCGCATGTATTTTTAGACCTTGCAATCGATAATATCCTCGAGTAGTGGGTGTGCTCCGGAGTCTTTCACCATTGACTTTGCCACGTCTTTCAGTCCGGATCTTTCCCAGAAATTCTGATCCCTTGTCCTCGCCCAATGTCCAGCCAGCGTTGGTCTTGGAGCTGCATCTATGACTTATCGGCTCGACACAATTGACTGTTGAACCATCCCAGCACTGATGCGTACAGTTGCTCGATAAGTCCGCAACAAGCATCCTCCTGTGCTACCACACCAATTTTCACGCGTGTTGTCCTGAACGGAGCGTAGGTAGTCAACTTCTACGATCGATTCTACCATCTTGCATTCGATTCCAAGATGTTTTCTCAACGGCGCATGAGACTCCTGGTCATTGCCGTGCTGGTCATCCTCGGCGTGACCTGGTACTACTCGGTATATACCTCTCCATCGTCGCGACTTCTTCTCCATGGCGACTCAAACTGACGCGATACCCTCGATTGTCGTTTAGAGCGAGTCGCGAAGCGTTCAGAACCAGCAATTCTACCGCTCCACGGTGGCTGCTATGGATGCTCGAAAGCAGGCTCAGGAAGGCCAGGCCGCAGCAGCAGCCAACATCCCCGCGCCGAACCGCAACCCCATCAAGGAAGACACGAAGCATCCCATGACCGATGATAAGATTGCGCCGGCAATCCCCAAGGCCAACCCGGCGGCTGAGGTAGAGGAGATCCCGATCGCAGGGCGGACCAAGATGACCGTAGCGAAGAAACCGGAGGAGCTGGAGGAGGAGAAGCAGCCACAGCCACAGCAACAACAACAGGAGTCGCAGCCGCAACAGGCACAGGCCGAGGACGCTGAGACGGAAGCGCATGCGCATGCAGTGGCCGAGTTGAATGAGATCCTGAAACGGGCGCCGAGTAGGTGGTCTCCATTCGCCCCTTTAATGCTCAGGGGATGGTTTACTAATGTCCTCCGTCTTCCTTGCCAGTTATCATCTTCTCTAAATCCTACTGCCCGTACAGCGCCAGAGCCAAGGCTATTCTCAAGGAGAAGTACACCATCGTTCCTGCGCCGTACGTCGTGGAGTTGGATCAACATCCGCATGGCCGACACTTGCAGGCTGTGTTGGCGGAGACTACGGGTCGCCGCACTGTCCCTAATGTGCTGGTCAATGGCAAGAGTATCGGAGGTGGTGACGACGTGACGGCTCTCGATGGGAGCGGCGAATTGACATCGACCTTGAAGGACTTGGGTGGCAAGTGGGTCCAGGAAGTCCACCGTAAGGAGTGAAAGTACTCCGTACTGCGCTAGAATATTGCGGACCTGGGAAGCCGTTTTTGTCGCTTCGACCAAAGCACATGACTGACCCATTTGCGATGCGCATGCACCGCATGGATGGGGTTTGAATGTTCTACAATCCGCACCGGACTACTGCTACCGGGCAAGTCCGTTCTATTTCGACAAATACGAGGTTTTAGTCCAAGAAAGATAAGGACTTTATGCATCTTCTCTACGTATATAGTTGGATAGATTCGATAATTTAGCATGAAATAATCATAATTCCATGAGCGAGTCTGAGATGTGCTTCCAGGAGAGGCGGACAATCGCGCTTCATGCGAACAACAAAGGGGAATCGTTCTCTCACAATGGCGGGCAAACCAGAAATGAGAGCCTCGTCTCCACCGAAACCATTCACATGATGATAAAAGCCCACCGATAAGAATTGTTGATATTCTGCCGGGCGGGAATGGCACTAATCCCAAAGTGGGCAACCCTAGGCGGGAAGACCTAAACTAGATTGGGCCGTAAGCGACGCACAACCCGTGATTTTCGCTCCACCACTCTCGACTCTGGTTTGCCTTGAGGAATTTCGATCCTTTCGACGACCGACCGCACGACGATATCGACAATTCCCCCCTCGGACACACCACAGCCCACGCAGTCAAGATGCGGTACATTCACTCCGAGGAAACGCTGCCCGTCCCCGAGAATGGTGAGCCAATTCGAAATCATTTTTCCTGAGCTTCTTTGGGAGCTCTATACTTGCTGGTTTCGCAAAAGTCAAGTCGCTGGTTTATCGCAAGAGATGGAAGAGAGGAAGGGCACCCCGGAGGGACAGGCGTGGCAGAGGATGCATTAAAGGATACGACTCGTGGAGAGAATGGAACATGATGCGCTCGATTGTTACGACTCCGTCAACGCAGGAAGAGAGGGAGAATGGAGTTGGGGGGGGGGGAACTGGGAAATGCATATCACGATGCCTGTCTCTCCGCGGAGGGCAAAAGGGACCAGCGGCGATACCAAGACTGGCTGGCTGGTATACTTTCGAAAGAGACCTGGGCTGATACATATTTTCGTCGTATAGTGAAGGTTCACATTCGCTCTCGCGTTGTGACCGTCGAGGGACCCCGAGGTATGCAATTACCACTTCTCCAACAACATCCACCACAGCCCACAGAACGGACTTGAACCAGACGGACCTTTTGGATCGGTGCTGGCTTCGACGTTCCGGGCCTCTCGTCCATGTGCGACTGCAGCAACCGCTAACATGGAGTTTTTTTTCGCTTCCGCTCAGGCAAGCTCGTTAAGGACCTTTCTCACATCGCCGTCACCTTCGGCCGCCCCGAGAAGAATGTCATCAGCATCCAGCTGCACCACGGTGCTCGCAAGGGTGTTGCTACCCTCCGCACCGTCCGCACCCTCATCAACAACCTGATCATCGGTGTCACCAAGGGCTTCAAGTACAAGATGCGTTACGTCTACGCTCACTTTCCCATCAACGTCAACCTTGAGAAGAACGCCGAGACTGGCCAGGTCGAAGTTGAGATCCGGTATGGCAACACTCTTTCTCTCCGACATTGCATTGTGGTCCTGGGCTGGTTGGATTGGAGCCAGTGAATCCCGGCTCCGAGCAGCATGGAGATCCGAATGCGTCGCTTGTTTTATCCGTTTTGGAAAAGGACTATCGACTGACGGTTGTTATTTTCTAGTAACTTCTTGGGTGAGAAGTACGTCCGCCGCGTGACTGCCCAGCCCGGTGTTGAGATCGTCACCTCCGCCAACGTCAAGGATGAGCTCGTGCTCTCCGGTAACTCCCTTGAGGGTGTCTCCCAGAGTGCTGCCGACATCCAGCAGATCTGCAGAGTCCGCAACAAGGATATCCGTAAGGTGAGTTTCGAACTAGCGCATTTCCACAGCCCCACTGCGTTACGCCACCCTTACTGACACCTTGTGCCTTCTAGTTCCTTGACGGTCTGTACGTGTCGGAGCGGGGTAACGTTGTCGAGGAGTAAGCGGTTGGAAATGTCCGCCATGGTGGGTAGTGAAGGAATGTTCGAAGAGAATACATTTTCGCCTACTTGCATAGGGAAGCAACGCGAAATTTAAAACCCAAAATCATGGAATTTCAAAATGCCCTTTTAACGTGTCCACGGGGGTTTGTCTGGTATTTCCTTGTCCGCTGGCGAAGCGTGGCGTGTAGAGAGAGACTCGAAAATAATTGGTTCGTCTTTATTCTTTTCTCCAGCCCGTCTGGGTGCATTTGGTCTTTTGAGAGAGGGTATAATAAATATATCTCGATGGTTGGTCAGTCTCGCCTTGGCTCTTATTGTAGCTCCCAGTATATGAATGGGCATGCACTATAGCATGCAATGCTTCGAGGAGTTAACTCACTTTGCCCCATAGCATGCAGGTGAAAACTGGGTCTGGCCATATGGAGGTTCTGTTACCCCATGTCTGGACGTATCTCCACTTTGTGGACTTTGTGGTCTTGGGCTCACTTTGTAGGACTGTGGACCGGTATACATCATTTGGGGGGTACGAATCCTATACTTTAGAGATTAATAATGCTGGAAATGGGATACTGGGCTCCTCTATCTTCACATATCCGATCTCTGCAGCAATGCTAAGACAAATAAGTCGAATATCATTGGTATCCTATGTTGAGCGTGGTGGTGACGATGATGATGCGGGATGTATATAAGTAAGTGTGTATGTCATCCCCTCCCGTCGAGATGAACCACCAACGCTCTTTCGATGTCTTTTTCACTCTCCTATCCTTGATGCAATACATTTTCCGCGCCTACATCCGGCCTCATCGTCTGTCTGCTTCTGCTTCGGAGCGAGTCGAATTTCCTGCTGTCATCCTTGTTCGATCCCAAATACCTTCAACCTCCTGACCAGGTTGGGGATCAAAGCATGTGAAAGAAACTCGACATGTGCCGTCATTCCCCCCCCCTCCTCCTCCTCTTGACCTGCGATTGATCATTGATAAACACCCCCTCCCCTCCCCCTTCAATTCATCATGGCATCGTTGACGGTAATCTATGATCTGTTCACTGCCGTCTTTAGTATGATTCTCGACGTCGCGCAATTTTGGAAACAGGTAAGCCATTCCCATTCCATCTTATAGTCTCTCGAGTCTACACCCAGGTCCCATCGAATACCGCGGGGTGGGTCTCCGACCTCGTCAACGAGTTTGTGAGTTGGAATGCTATAGACTGCGGGTGCTCACCAACCGTCATCTTGTCATCTAGAGATTATGGTCCTGGTGGAATACACAGTCCCCCCTGGACCGACTGCGATATGCCCTCGAAAACGCAACCACCTACGAGGAATGGGAAGAAGCCGCCTTCGACCTTGATGAGCTCCTTAGCAAGGACCTATGGTACGAGTTGCGCTAATTTCAGAGTGGATAACTCGTTATTGATTATGCATGATAGGCGCCAGAACCCCACCAGCCGTCACTACGATTACCGCCTGATACTGGGGAGATTGGAAGCTCTCATGCGTGCCCGCGAAGAGGAGGATATCCTGACATTAGTTAATCTACTCCGATCCGGACTGCTTCGGAATCTGGGCAACATTACGTCGCCAAAGCTGTTCACACAAGCTTACGCGGGGACCAAGCTCCTGATCGACGACTACATCACCCAGGTGGCGCTCTCCATCCAACAGGTGACGGCGCTGCCCACGGCACCGGTCCACATCAGCGGGTTTGGGTCGCAGGCGAAGCTCGAGCTGCTCCACGACACCCGGCAGGCCTTTGGACGGACGACTCTTCTGCTGCAGGGCGGGTCGATCTTCGGGCTCTGTCACCTCGGGGTCGTCAAAGCTCTGCATCTGAGAGGCCTTCTGCCCCGAATCATCATCGGCACCGCGACGGGCGCGCTGATTGCTGCGCTGGTCGGTGTTCATACGGAGGACGAGCTGTTGACGTTCTTGGACAGCGACGGCATTGATCTGAGCGCCTTTGATCGGCGTCGGAAGCCCACGGACTCTGGAGAGGGGAGTCCATGGCTGCCCTTCGACATTGGCGATAACTGGGCGGGGACCTTGTTACGGCGCATCAAGCGATACATTCAAAAGGGCTACTTCCTCGATGCGGAGGTCCTAGAGGAGTGCGTGCGGGCCAATCTGGGGGATTTGACGTTCGAAGAAGCATATGCTCGATCGAAACGCATCCTCAACATCACCGTCGCGACCTCCAACACCAATGCCACGCCAAACCTGCTGAACTATCTGACTGCACCCAACGTGGTACGTGCCCGCCCTATCCCATCTTAACCCACACCCTGCTTCCCTCCATGAGAATCCAGCTAACCAAAGACCCAAACCAGCTCATCTGGTCCGCCGCCGTCGCCTCCAACGCCTCCAACACTTCGCTCTACCGCCCCGTAACCATCTACTGCAAAGACGAGACCGGCTCAATCGTCCCGTGGCCGCACTCACAGGACGCAACCTTCGCCTCCTGGCGCCACGTGCAATACAGCGAGGGCGAGTCCCCACTCTCGCGCGTCGCCGAGCTCTTCAACGTCAACCACTTCATCGTCTCGCAGGCGCGGCCCTACCTCATCCCCTTCCTCCGCTCCGACGGCGGCGGCAGCGGCGGTAGCAGTAGCAGCATCAACAACAACAATAACATCCTCATCCGCCGCCCTGCGAGCAGCCAACCCAACCCGGCCGTCCGCTATTTCACGCGCCTCGTCATGGGCGAGATCCGCCACCGCTTCCGCCAGCTCGACTACCTGGGCCTCCTGCCCACCGCCCTGGCCCGCATCGTGCTCGAAGAGTCCATCCCGGGCCCCAGCATCACCCTCGTCCCCGACCTCACCCTCCGGGATTTCACCAAGATCTTCGAGAACCCCAGCAAGGAGAGCCTCGCGCATTGGTCGCGCAAGGGCGAGCGCGGCGTCTGGCCCGCGGTTAGTGCGCTGAAGGTGCGGTGCGTGATTGAGATTGAGCTGGATAAAGGGTACCAGGTTGTCAGGCGGCGACGGCCGGCAGACATGCTGGGCGGAAGTGGGAGCTTAGTATATAGTGGGGGCGGAGTCGCGGGCAGTAACGGAGGTTCGGTCGGTTCGGTATTCGGGGGTGGTGGTGGTGGTGGTGTTAGCGGGACTGGCGGTGGGAATAACAATATCAACCCGCGTAGGGCGGTGGTTCCGAATGAAGGGCTGCCCCGACGACGACGCAGCGGTAACAGCAATAATAGTGTTGATCCCGGGCATGAGAACTCGTTGACGACGAGTCTGATGGCGGGGGAGTTGGATTGTCAGGAGGATTCGACCTATTAGATGGAGTGATGCCCGCTTGCTCTCGTTCAATTAGTTCAATTCATGTCCTTTTTTTTTCTTTTCATACAGTGTGGCAGGTATCTTCTTTGGTGACTGAATGCGAGAGACGGTTGCTGTTGGCTTGGCCCTGCCGAGAGTGACTTGGAAGTATTTATATAACTACTTGTCTTGGTGCTAAGTTGAGACGGTGTACTGGAACTATCTTGCTCTGGCCCGGGCATGCAAAGGACCATCACACCCCGATTCTACATCTTAAGACTGTCCAATCTAGTATCCCCCCCCCCCCAAAAAAAAAAAAAAAAAAAAAAAAAAAAAAAAAAAAAAAAAAAAAAAAAAAAAAACCCCCCCCCCCCAGCTTACGATACATACAAACAAACATGCATGGTCCATTGGTTTGACTTCCATATTTAAACCCAACTATGCCGACTGCAGCATTTCAAACCTCAGAAAGTAAGCGGGTCCCCCAAACTCCGTTTTTCGTTCAACCCGACAATTTGCTATCGGTCTATTACCTCTCTCCCCAGTCAATCCGTTGCCAGGTGTATCCAACCCCTGGCTAGGCCGAGCCACCCTCTCTGTTGTTGTCTTCCTCCAAGACCAAGATCTAGTCAAACCCTCCTCAACTCGAAATCACCCCCTTCCAACGGAGGACCTTTATACACTATTATCCCCCAAAGCCATCAAGTCAGCAAGTGTAAACATAAGGAACTCCATTTGACAGCCAACCAACGCAACCCCCCCGGACGGAAGAAAATGTGATGATTTCCAATATAAGACAAGGGGGAAAGAACAAACCTTTCCTTCCATGAATCCCAAACCACACCGCCGCCAGTCCCCACAGCCCCACGAGTACGACAGCCGCATAGTTCATTGAGGCGGGCGAGACCGGCAGCGCCGTGGGGAGACTGAACAGCACCAGTCCGAGCCCAATCCACGCCAGAGAGACCACGTTGATGAGCGGGCCCCAAACCGGTCCGCAGGTCCACGGGGCGCGGGACACTTCGCGGCGGCGGTGCAGCAGACTTAACGCGATGGGGATGGCATAAGCGACGGAGAGGGCGTTGGTGCTGACGGAGACGAAGGCGGTGAAGGTGCTGGTGCTGCCGAGGTTGATCAACCCTAACAGCATTTGCAGGATGGTGCTGCCGAGGAGGGCGTTGAAGGGCACGGTGTCGGGTGTGGTGGTGCTTTCGTCGTGCTGGGCTGAGGTAGTTGTTGAGGATGAGGAGAAGAAGGAGGAGAAGACGGCGTACGGGTTCTGGACCTGAGACCAGAAGCCGGAGAATGGGAGGGCGTTGTCGCGTGCAAAGGCGTAGGTGGCTCGCGAGGCGGCGACGGTCGAGCTGATTGAACCGAAGAGGATGAGGACTAGTAACAGAATGATGAGAGCCATGCCACCCTCGGGCGTGCCCATCACGCGGTGGAAGATGTACGGTAGGGCTTGGCCGGCGGGAGCCGTGAGGATCTCTTCCATAGGGGGCAAGGTGAAGCAGATGGGTAGGATGAAAAGGAGGCCCGCGGGCCCGAGGACGGGGATGGTGAGACTGATGACTTGTGGAACCGCGCGCGCTGGAGACACGCATTCCTCGGTCATGGAGGTGATCATTCCGATCCCACAGAAGGTGTACGCCGCCGGGAGGAGGCCGATGAAAAAGGTAAAGCCACCCCAGCCGGAGAATTGCGTGTCGTAGTGGCCTAGGGCATAGGCGGCCGTATGGCGGCCGGTGGAAGCAGTGGTTGACAAGGCGATGAGCACAACAACGATGGTGACGGCTGTGAATACGGTACATAGGAGGTCAACGTGAGGCAGGAAGCGATTGCCAAAGGTGCAGATCAGAAAAGTGCCGATGCAGACGGCGTAAAAGATCAGCAAAAGTTCCCAGCTGTTCGGTTCCCACCCAGGCTGAAACATGGAGATCGAGGCCGAGAGCATGGAAGCAAAGCCAAAATTCATGGAGAGGATGGCTGTCCAGTTACCGATGAACCACACCCAGCCCGTGAGGAAAGATAAGAGGGCCTTGTGATCCTGTGCTAGCTGGTGCGACCAGTAGTAGGGTCCGGCCGAGGTAGGATATCGCGAGACGAGCTCCCCCAAACTCATCGCTACACACTGGTATAGAACGCAGACGACAATCCAGCCAACAAAAATCGACATTGGGCCGCCGCCGTAGATAGCCCCCATGAGCGGACCTCCCTCGCCATACGGAACGGCGGTCATAGCAAGTGTTTGAAAGAGCAGTGTGGTCAAGGAACGGTTGCGACGGAGCTCCTGCTTGTAGCCTAAGATGTCAAGCCGGTCATCGTCAGAATCCCTATCTGCGACCTGCTCGTGCGTAGTTTTGTCTTCTGAGGCATCTTGAATTGTCTTCTTCTGGGGTTCTCTCATTGCTAATGTGCCTGCGATGAGCCGCTCTTCTTGGATGCGAAGAATATTCAGCTCTCTGGCTCGGTTCATTTTAGGAACTCCATGACCTTTTCGGTTGCCACCCCCCTCCCTTCCCCTTGAGCTGAATAAAGTCGCCGTACTGGGCTAACCCTTGCAGGGCTGAATAGGAGGTAACAATCTTGATGTGACACCGCAGATAAAATGGCCCATTACATTCGCTGTGCAGTGCCACTCGTGATGCTTTTGCACTCAAACAGCCCGCCCTTGCATGAGTTGCATGCCTGGGAGCATGATAAGTATTCGTATCTTGCAGCTTGACCGCATCGGCATTAAGATTGGTTGAACCGTCGGAGATCCGCTGCGGACTAAGAAATAGCGAATGGTATCGAGAAGCTATGAAAGATGCAAGACTGTTATTGGAAGTAGTCGAAAAATTTGGTATTCGAAGATAAGAAGAAAGCAAAGAACATTAGAGTCAAAGAATATATCGGGGAATCAAGAAGAATGCCAACAGAAGCAGAATGAAACTATCATACATCGATACTCAGCTACAAAGCTAAGTGGAAGCCGAGTTAGAGAAGGACCAGCATCCTAACGAGGCTTATGCATGCTTGAAGCAAATCCCAAGGTAGTGTTTAATTGGCTGTCTGAGGCCGCGCAGATTGCCGCGAAGGAGGACGAAGGGATTGAGGTCGCAGAGAACGGGCGCGTGAAGTCGGGCGAGAAATGTCCTTCGAAGGGTCATAAGCCAACGCGGGAACTGTTGACATGTCAGCGACGGGTAGAGATTGGTTATCGATAATTTGACAAACTCACTGCTGAAGCCATAACCATCGGTGGCACCCTCTGTATTCTGTGGGTTAATCTCCACTCGAATCGCAATGTCCAACCCGCCGGGCATGCTTCCGCTGTTGGTATATCCATCGGCCGCCGGGTGACCGGAACCGGCGTCAGCTTCACCCTGGTGAAGTGGCGAGTGACCGTCTTTCGCCAAAGGAAATGAAGTCGTCTGCGCATTCGCAGCCGTTGCATCTCCATCAGTGTAAAGAGGTTCTATCTCAGTGATGCAGGCAAAGTTTCGTGAAGGCATCGTAACCTTATTCCATGAGGCACTCTTCTCCTGCCCACCCGGCTGTCGATCAAACATGCTCATCAGAGTCTCGTCTGTGTATGGGTCCAGATGATGAAGTTTATTTCTGCGCGCCAAGAGATTGGCTACAGCCTTGGGGGGTGGCTTGTTAGTGATTGCACTGCTAATGACATTGACCATATAGCGCGGATCCAGTTCGCTATGGAGGTTAAGAGCTGGATTGGAGTAAAACCGGCCAATTGCTGCCAGATGCACATCTCCGCTCAGGATCGTCACACGAATAGAGTGAGTCCTAGCAAAGTCTTGGAGTCGTTGAACGAATACTCTTCGCTCCTTCTTGTGTTGACGTGCCGTGTAGTGGTCATCCAGGTCGTCCAGAAGGTCAACCTGACCGTCAAACTGATTGAAGAGCCCGCCCGCAAAGCCAAACCTCTTGTTTAACAAGCGTATGGGCGCAATTAGAGGGGAACTTAGAATGTTTTCCAACCATGCAAGTCGAGGATACGCGATCGGGACCCCCAGTAGCACCACTAAGTGTTTAATGTCTCCTTCCGCTGCTAACACTTCGCTTTCCAAGCGGGTGAAAATGAGATCGTATGTGTCTGGGTAGTTCACTTGGTGTCGCGTGCGCTCCGTCCGCGCATCAACACCGATGAAAGCGAGCCGCTTGCCGAGCCGCATGTAGAGGCTTCGACTCTTCTCCTCGACATAAGGCCCGGGTCGGTTCCCGATGATCCAGCTGTCGTCTTCCGACTGGCCCTCCAGAATATGAGTGTTCTGCAGCTGCCGAGGATCAGCACCCGCGGTTCCGTTAACTGCATGCATTGTTTGCGGAGCGTCCGTCGTGTACGTTGATTTGGGAGGCGCGATGTGGTGTTGGAACAAGCAGTAATATTTGAAAGCCACGCCGCCAATTCCACGAAACACAGAACATCGCATGAAATGATCTGTGTAGGAACCAAAGCCGTCTATGATGTCATGGTCATCCCAGATATTGATCTGAGGTATCCGGCCATTTGCGGTCTTAAACGGCTTGATGGAATACCACCTAACGTAGTTCGCATAGTAATATTCATCGCACTGGGCGCGCAGGTCATTGTCAAAGGAATGTGCCCGCCTCTTGTGGGGATTTCCAATGGCCGTCCATGCCTTTAAGGGTCCATCGACGCGGATTCCGTCACAGTAAAGCTGGTCACCGCCACCAATCATGGCATGAAACGGCTTCTGGCCGTGGATGCGCATAACATCGTTCCATAAGTTGGGTCCGACCCAGGCATTCATATCAGTGCCCACGGAAAAACCATTGCATGAATGAAACATCAGGCGCATCGACTGGTGAACGGATGGAACCACAAAGTCCCATGGGGGAGGAAGCTCATCCCCGTTCGCATATCGAAAGCCCGGAATAGTGTACTCCCAGCGAGCTTCGTACTGCTCCAACGCTACAGCGATTGAGAATCTCCAGAATGCTTTGTCGGGATCTTCGTACAGACGAAGTCCGTCAGCAACAAGCCTCTCGGAGTTCGGCTGAGTGCCACTGGCGAGGCCACTGCTATCGACCGGACCCGCCTGTCGCATAACCAGCTGGGGCTGGCTCAGGCCGGGCTTGGTCACAATTAGAATGCTTCCGCGCCATACGGAGGAAGAAGGAGTGACATCCATATTCTTGAAATTGATGAGAGGGCCGCAGACAACGTCTACGGACATGTCAGACGCTGAAGCATGGCCATTGACAGCCGGAGCTGTTCCATTGGCTATTATTCTTGTATTAGTGTTGGAGCGCGTGTTATAACTTGAATCTGGTAAGTTACCTTGGAAGGCCATCGTGAAATGACGGGCCGGATCGGGTGTTCTCAGAGACACAGGCTGGAGGTCAAGAGATCGGTGAACACTTCAATAGGCAAGGAAACAGTCCCAGATAATAAGCACTATAGATTAGGGAAAAGATGAGCTAGATCAGTGTATGATATGTGATTACAGTGAAAGGAAGGATGCGGCAAGTCGTGCACGTCGCGTAATTATCGGATAGCCAAAATAATTCAAGTAAGGAAGGAGAAAAGAACGTGACAGAGGTTGACGCGAAGAGAGGGATTAGGGGATTATGATCAAATGCCACCCGACCAGGGAGACCAGGATGTCTGTAAATCGGATCCCCTGGAAGGAGTCAAGGGGTTGTTAATTGTGGACGGGGGACGGTGGGACGGAAGGAAGATTTGGAACCGAAGTTAGACCAGTAGATCCGTGTCCCGGAAAGCCAAACTGATGATCACTTTGGAGTAGAAGTAGAATGGAAAGGAGCGGCGACAGGTGGTTAGCATAAGACACCAGTCAATTTGTCTGTCAATCAAGCCTCACACCGTACACATCGGGATCTGAGAGTAACTGAGCAGCACAACAGAATCTCAATAGGGCTGCAGGGCTGAGAAAGTTAAGAAAGGAGAAAAAGGGAAAACAGAGAGAGAACGAGAGGCCACCGAGTCACAGACGGGCAATCCGATTCAACTCATTTCTTTGCTATTATGGAGAGCCAAGAGTCCAAGAGTTGCACGGGTCATTATCATTTTTCATGTCTCTGGTCATTGGCCTGTTGGCTCCTCTGCTGGCTAGTCGAATCTTGGCAGCATATCAGCATCACCAGCAGCAAGCAGCATGGGCGTCAAGGGAATCCACAGCATCCATGGTTCCAAGCGAGGGTCAGCCCCAGTATGATGTTCGTATCTTCGTATCATCAACCGAGGACGGGTTCCCATCATGGGTGGGCTCAAATAAATCCTTTCGATCTTGAGCTGGGAACGAGGATCGGATCGAGCATGCAGAGCCCCACGTTCACAGCCACAGTCGGTTGACTCGGTTCTATTCTGTGGCTGTGGATCGCAATCTCCTCAGTGCAGTCAGTATACTGTGCTCCAGACCCTGTAGTACGCACGGGGAGTGCTCAGGGATGCCGTGCTATTATGCGGTGGCCTAAATTTGCTGCATCTCTATAGTAGCTGGCGTAACCCTGCGAGAACTCAGAAATTAGTCATTGTTTAATCGGATCAAGGAATTGCCCGCACCAACCTGTCCATCCATTGCTCAATTAGAAGAAGCTGAGAGCTGACCTCGACGAGATGAAGCCAATTTAAGACTTGCACTTATCAGATCTTGCTGCAGTAGTTGGTTACTCCGTACTGACTGACTGACTGACTGAGAGAATCGGTACTTCCCGAAAAGGCAATCAGTTCCGTACGGCAGGTCCTCGGCAGGAAGTCATGCGTCTGGCTGGCAAACCATTTTCATTGCTATTTACGGAGTACAAAACGCCATCCATCAATGCTTTACTACATCTTCAAGCATGCTATCTACTTACAAACGCATTTCCTCAATCACATTCCCCTCACAATTCCCCCAGTCACGCTCTGAACCTGTGACATAATCAGTGACTCCAGACCATACATAAAAGCACATCTAGAACCCTGCACAAGCGACAAGCATCACACAAACACCAAACATCACAGAACAATCATCAATCAAATCACATCAGCCGATGGTGATCATTACATTCTTGAGCTAAGCTCCAGCACTAACACCCTTTGTTTTTGCTTTTCCCACCTTTTTTCCGAATCATCCAGCCTCCATTCTTCACATTCCCCGCTCACACATTCAAGTCTCTACCTTTCTCTTTACCGCCCCAGCTAACATCTCTCCGAACAAGCTTCATCTTCTTTCTACCTAAAACAGGAAACAAGCGTTCAAATACCCCAGGGTTTTACAACCAAAGGATTCGGACTGTTCCAGTGATATCGGGTTTGAACAAAGTATTTTTTGAGGCCAAAGCACCAGGCTTTCTTGCCGCAAGAAGGAGTCATAAAACATGGCTCGATCGCCGGCGATCTGAACAAAGTAGTGGATCCGGCTAACGGGTCTCGGCGGCTGTCAGCAAGAGCGGCGGTCAAGCATTATCGGAGAATGCTGCAGCTTGGTAATGGACCTGCCGGTGGTGCGTGTTGATGATAAGAAGTGGTGTAGTCGTGAATGAGGAGGGTCGTTGGGGAACAGACTTGTAAGGACGACACCCCCATTGCGTCGCCTATGCTGACCATTCACAGTCAATTGACTGTCATGTCCTTTTTTTTTTTTTATGATGATTTGGCGCAATAGAAAGGTAACGATCGGAAAACAATGCACACTAAAATCGACATGAAGGAAGACGAGAAACAATAAAAGAAAAGTGGGGAGAAATAACGAAACGCAGAAAGAGAGAAAGAAACGAGTGCACCTGAGAAGAAAAGAAAACCCGAGCCAAGGAAAGATATCAAACTCTGACAAAACTAAGAGGGAAAATATCTTAAATAAATACCAGTAAGACCAGATGGATCTAGGGCCCTAGAAGAGATAGTTTGAGAGAGGCTAAGCCACAGTCATCAGTCATCTAGCAGGTATCTCCAGGTCATCAGTCTTCTCTGATTTCGCTAATCGATGGGGCTAGGAAGCAGGCCCGAAGCACCGGAGGCGTTGGCTTGAGACGGATCGACAACCAGCTGCCAGAGGTCGCCATTTTGCGGAGTATCAGGCAACTGGGTAAGATGCTCCTCTGGCTGTTGCTTCACTGAAACACCCATGTTCATCAGAAGCTTGTAAAAACGGCTGCGGTTCGTGGGACTGTCCAGCTCCGGATAGTCCAGGGTGAGATACGCTAGACGGCGCGCAAGCCACTCGATAGAGACATCAAATTGGTCGTTGTCCTCTTCTTCACTTGACACGAGTTGGTCTAGGCACTGGCTAGCAGCGCATGCTAGTAAGTGATGTGCCTGCTTCCGTCCGACCATGGCGGTAAGCTCCTGAAGCGCAAGTTCTTGGGGGTTGATGTGTATAACTCCGTCTGCCTCGTCAAACAGTCTCTGGAAACGCGCATCGGCGGAGGTTTCGGCTCTTTGGGTCCTGATATATCGCTGTCGAATTTCATGCGCAGTCCTCAAGCTAGGAGCGGGCCAGTCGATTCTACTCTCAGCATACATGGAGTCACAATAAGTGTATAGATCGTTGGTCCATGCATTAAGCTCCAGGTTGCGTGCAAGATCTTCCGGCACATAACCGTCGCGGATATAAAACCACGCTCTAGCGGAAGCACGCTGCAGCATCAGGCGACACTGCTGCTCGTAGAAGGCAGCTTGCTCCTTAAGATCTCCAATCCGCAGATAAGCAGGACCGAACAGCGGATCTGCGGCGTCCCTGATCCACTGACAAAAGAGGGCTGTCATGACCAGTTCCATCCCAGGATCATCGAACTTCTGGGATTTGCGAGAAGAACCACGATTGGGGCTCATGCTCAAGATACCCTGGCCTGGGAAAAACTTCTCTTGGACGAAGCACTCATTGAGGAGGTCCAGCAAGCCATGAATTGACACCTCGTATATGTTGCATCCATCCTCCCACACAAATTCAAGATCTTCGATGTGAGGAATCCAATCGAAATAACGAGCATACAGCGTCTTCTTCACATGATTATACCCGAGGATATAGCCTGCATGGCATTGGGATGCATCGCGTTTGATGATGGGTAGGATATTGAACACGACCTGAGGGTCATCCCCGACATTGAAGGGTGCAAGTACCTCGTGGTCGAAGAGCTCTTCATAGGAACGTATGGTGCATTCAGTCCCGTCGAAGATGTACATGCTGTTTCTCCTGGCATGCTCATCTCTGCCCCGCTCATTGCTGAGAAGATACAGGTGATAGTCTAGGATATTCCAGCCGGGACGAGACACGAGGCCGGGGACAACTCTCTCTTCGAGATCATCCAAGTCGATAGATTCATCAGAAGACACAGATCCTGTGTCATCACGATTGTTGCTTTCAACGAGCTCTGGGACGTCTGGAATAGTCTCTTCAGCCAGGTGAACTGGGTATCCTTCATCGTCTGGACTCAGAGGAGGCACCGGGGATACGGGAGGTGTGTCTTCAACGCCCCAGGGCTGTCTCTTGGCCATTTGCCAGTGCAGCATCGTGAAGATTGGGGATCTGGCCTCTCTAAGTCGAGAAAGCTTCGAGGTCATCGGCTCTTCCGCCATGGAATGCTGTCACAACTCGTCAGTACTAAGGACTTTGACAAACCGAAGGTAAACACAGTGGATAGCAGCCTATCGCATGTTTCAATGAACACAAAACTTACCGCTCTCACTCTCTCCATGACGTTGCAGAAGATCCGATGTTCTGAAGCGGACAAGAGGACAGAGAGGGAGGCTTGGATGCTTCTGAGGAATCACTGAACTCATCGGTGTGGATGGTCTGGCTGGTCTGCAGGGATCGACAAGAGTCAGAGACGTGATGAAAGGAAAAAGGTGAGAGAGGAACTCGATGGATGAGAAGGTGAAGAAGTCAAGAAAGTGAGAATTTATCAGGCTTGACCAGGGGGAGAAGTGAGAGGATGTGGAGCTTTCATCAACATCTGTCCAGAAACATTCACATTCACTCACTTCTCCCACACAAATAAGGTGTTACGAGTAAGGCCCCAGCGGACCCTACACAAGTCCAGCTTCAGGACTTTTGAATGAACTCCAGAGTAAAAAGGGTCGTCTATCTAAATATCTAGCTCATGAAGAAACTCATCATCTCATCCTCCTATTCGTGGTCTACATCATAGAATCCTCGCCGAGAGACAACCCCCGCATAAGGTTGTGAGGTTATTCGGTTCATCACGATCCTCATCGCACTTAATTTCTCAACCATGCGGTTCCTGCAAAATGAGCCATGCGGGACCGGGGAAAAGCCGCATGGCCAACCGCACAACTGAAAGAAACACACGAACGACATCATAGGTCTTTTTGAGCAATAACACAGAAGATTGAAGAAGATTACTGTTGGTGGTGAATACAGAGCCAATACTACTCGCTCACTCACACACTCACTACTGATATAAAGCTGTGTTTGTATTGGTGCTGTGGTTTCCTGTACAGAACCTCCATGGCTAGGCTGCTGTGCGTTCGTCACTTCTACAACCTCAAGGAAATGTGATTGGATTGTTTTTGGAGTTAAGAGGGTTGTTCCCCCCTCTCCAAGTCGTCCTCCTTGTCTGCCCCTTCGAGAAGAAGAAGCCCATTCGTACTGTGCTGGATGCTACCAGAGAGATATCCCAAAGGCACAGGTCACCCCCTTTCATGAGGACAAGATGCCATTAAGGTCACGGCGTGTGTTGTCAATTTCTTCACTTGACTTAGTTGGCGAGGATCGGCCATTCCATGGCATCTACACTGCAAGTAAGAGAAAAGGTGAACCTGCTATATTGCCGTCGAAGGATGGGGGTGGGTGTTTCTTGTCGATATTTATCATCTGCTCGTACACTACAAACCTGGTAGATGGAGGAGAGGAGGAGAGATGTACTTGACTTTATTGCACGAGGAGGCTACCTAGTAATTCGAGCTCATGATTCCGCCACTAGGTCGTCTTCTACTACTACTACTACTACTACTACTACTACTACTACTACTACTACTACTACTACTACTACTACTACTACAACAACAACAACAACAACAACAACAACAACAACAACAACAACAACAACAACAACAACAACAACAACACCGGGCTGGCGACCTCGTAGGAGCTAACTCAAACAATATCGTCTGGTAAACTCAAGACTTGGGCTCTACGGCGGACTCAATCCTACAGGCCGAGCCATCCTCAACGGATCTTATGAGAATTCATCAAATGTGCCTCCATTATCAAAAGATTTCCGCATCGGTGGGATTAAACGCAATCCCACATCATGCTAAAGTAATTCCCCCACTGAAAGGTAAACCCATCCGATCGTGATGCAACTCTGTTAATCTAAGCTAAGATGATGACAACTGCGTAGCCAGACGATGCGACCAGAAGACAGGAGTGACAATATGCAAGAGTAACACTAAGAACAAACGTGCACACCGCATGCTAAATGCTTGACGCCAACTGTGTTGTGTGTATGTGTGTATGTGAGTGGGTGTGGGTGTGGTATCATAGACGCGTCCTGGCTGGCAACCCACGCGCAAGACACCCCGGACAGAGCGGCCAGCAGAACAAGACAATTTCAAGGCCGTGCTACAATGAGAGGTTGCGAGTTCTAACGCCAGGTCAGAAGACGAACGAAACGCGAAACAGGTCAAAGTAAACGAGAGGGGACCTCTCTAGCTCAGCTAGAGGCCTGCTGTTGTTGGCCCCAGTGACCCCCGGAGAGAGCCTCGGGGGGGATTCTCTGCTGCTTGATGAACAGGTCGATCAAGGGCTGCATGGGCTCCATCTCCTTGTCGGAGACCAGCTTGTAGTATTTCGCCACGGTGACGAAGTGGACGAAGCACATATTGAGAATGTCGTGTTTGTTGATGTGCCAGAACGGATTCAACCAGTGTGCGTGATAAAGATGAGCATAGCAGCGGAACATCTGCTTCATGATGCCTTGGCAATCCTTGTAGAATGTCTGAGGGAAGCCGCTGGATTTGCCGATCCATTCCTCTCCCGAGGTCGCGGTAGCACCTCCGACTTCGTTGATTGCAAATGTCTCCGGCATGCCCGTGACTTTCTCCGTGGGGAACATGACTGGGTCATGAATTTTGCTGACGATCCATTTCTCAACCCGATTAATGAATTTCGGGGCTGAGATCTTCGCTGCACGGCCATCGACGAGCCAGGTGTATGTCAACCTGTCCAATCGCACAATCATTAGAGATGAGATACGTTCGTCTACCACCTCGCGTTCTACTTACCGACCAGCGGACATGGTGGGGCAAGTGTTTTCATTGCAGATTGGGAGCCCCGTGAGGCTGTTGACCTCCTGAATGACCTGAAGCATACCGTGGAGCAGGCGATATTGTTCAACAACTAGTCGAACCGATTGTCAGAATCAGAATGTTGCAAGGAGAGAATCAATCTCGCTGGTCCGCTTACTCTGATGAGCCAGCCATTCGCCCAGCTCCACGTTCTTAGGGCAGGCGCACAGCGTCAGAAAATTGCCCTTTACATTCAAGGGCGCGTATTTCTCCTGGAAGAAGTACTTGGGAGCGTCGGGATCGTAGGCGGAAGAGGTATCGACCGAGAAGCTCGACGTAAGAGAAGGGGAGTTGGGCACATGGCCCGCTGGGGGGCCCTGCGGCGTCGGGGATGGAGCGGGACTTCCATTGTTCATCTTCGGGGCGTTGTTGTTCTTGTTGTTACCTCCTCTGCCAAAGCCTTGACGACTAAACATGATATCCAAAATCGCGGGTCAGTGTCAATTACTTTCAACCATCCGAGGGGGGAAATAATAAAAAAACAAGAAAAGAAAATGCGCAGAAGATGCAGATAAATAAGGAAGCGCATGGCGTGGCATATTGACCGTCCAGCCAGGGGGGGTGACCAGTTCGAGAATACCTCTGACCATGCTGCGGCAAAGGGAATTTCAGGGGAGAGAAGGTAACCGTGCGGGACACATTCTTAGGGGAAGAGGGGGAACCACATACACACTCTGGAAGAAAGTCGCCATGATGGGAAGCGGTGTAGACTCGACAGCACGAGGGGGGAAATGATGGTAATCGCAAGTGGTGAGCGACGAAGGAGGACTAGAATTGGGGTAGAAGAAAAGGAAAAGAAGAAGAAATGGACACGCAAGAGCAGCGATGGACAATGCAGCAGAAATTCAATCACGACTGGGAGAGACGGAGGAGGGAGAGAGAGTGATTGAGATGGGATGAGATGAGATGAGTTGAATTGAGTGGAGGGAGTCAAGACTGGATTGGGGGGGGAGGGGGGCGATTGTTTCAGGGCAGTTTAGTTCTAGTAACTTACTTGTATCGTAGTTAGTAGTGCCTGAGTCCCTCAATTCGGTCTGGCCCGTTCAGCTGCCGCCCTCCAGTCAAGAATCCGGATCATCCAGTTGTTCCGGCTTGACGGACTGAAATGAATGGCATCCAGCATCATCATCTCCGATCATTGAAATTGAATTAACCACGAACGGCCCCGGCTTTATTCTCCGGTCCAAAAAAACTTTCCAGCTTTTACTGGAGTACTTTCGTCTTCTACTACTCTGATAGGTACTCAATTGCAGAAACGCGCCTATACACAAGCTCTGCTTAGCAGCGATCCTCTTGCTTTCGGCCACTGGCTGCCGACACGAGAACTTGAATTAGCACATCGACATGTCCTCTTCCGACGAGGACATTGTCCGTCGCCCCGGACGAGGTGCAGGAGGCGCTCCTGGGAGCCCGTCGGGCAGCGAGCTCGGTTCCGATGCGGGCAATATGAACACTTACGACGACGCTGACCTTTTCGGCTCAGATGCCTCAGATGGAGGCTTCGGTGATGGTGGTGGTGGTGATGATGACAATGAGTATGGGAAAAAGGCCGGCGCTGAACAAGATCAGGGGCATGAAAGCTAACCCGTCTCTAGCCAACAGCCTGAACGAACCCTCGACGACGAAGAGCTCGACTCGGGAGACGACGTGGATCGCTATGATCGCGCCGGAGAGCGCATGGACTACGAAGATGGGGGCGAAGAACAATTTCAGGAAACGGTGAACATCATGGATTTGACGCTGAGCCGCGCCCCGGAACCCTTGTCCTCCAATGGCGAGGTATGTCAGACACTCCAACAACTGTATTGCACGGACCTTATACTCACACCCCGCCCCTTTTACTCCTTAGATCTACACCATGCCCGTCCCTGCTTTTCTGTCGGTGGAGACCGAGGAGTTCAACCCGGAAACATACGTTGCGCCTCCCTTCGCGACCGCCGCTACTTCGCTTTGCTGGAGACACGATCCTCAGGACGAGTCTCTCCTCCAATCCAACGCTCGCATCATCCGCTGGGAGGATGGGTCGATGACTCTGCAGCTTGCCTCGGCGCCGAAAGAGCAATACCGGATCTCAACGAAGCCGCTTGCGCCGCTCAACAAAGCCGGTGAATACGATGTCAAGCTCGATTCGCACGTCTACCTGGGTGCCGCCGCGGAGGCTTCCTCCGTGTTCCGACTCACCTCCCACCTCACCCATGGCCTCACAGTGTACCCGACGACGATGGAGACGGACGATGCGGTGCAGCGCCTCCAGGAGTCGCTGGCCGCGGCCGCTCGCAGCGGCAAGAAAACGCTGGACGGCTCGGCGCCTGTCATTGAAGTCAAGGAGGATCCCGAGCTGGCCAAGCGGCAGGCCGAGATGGCCGAGCGGGAGAAGCTCAAGGCGGCGCGTCGGCGCCAACAGCTGGCTGACCGGGAGCTTGACCGTGGTCGTCGGGCTGGATTCGGCCACCGCACTGGAGGCGGCGGGCTCACCGTGGGCGGCTTGGAAGACGATGATGGTCTGATGACGACCCGGCCTCGCGCCAAGAAAGCGCGGAAGCCTAATCGCCGCGGCGAAATCTACACCGATGACGAGGAGGACTATGACCGCCGTGGACGCACCCGCGAGGACGAGTACGACGAAGACGATGGCTTCCTGGTCGGCAGTGACGAGGAGCCCGAGATCGTGGACGATGACGACGATGAAGACATCCTCGAAGACGAGGACATGGATGCCGAGGGTGACGACGATGATGCTCCGCCCGCCAGACCCCGCCACAAACGCCCTTCGCCTGATGCCAGTGCCAATACTCCCCCGACGCGGAAGAAGAATCGGTATATCGTGGATGATGACGACGAGGAGTAATGGCTCCAGTTCCCTCAGCGTCCTCATGATGTCATCTTTTTTTTCTTCTCAGATTTTGCATCCATCAACTCTGCTTGCATATGCTAATGACTTGTAACTATTATATCATATCTCTGGATACTTCATCGGCGTACGACTGGTCATATTTGCCTGGGTTTCCTTCTTCTTCTCCTTCTTCCTCTTGATTTTAACTCAACATGACAAATCCATAAAAGAAGAAATGTGCTTGCATCATATACCGTGTTTCTTTTTGCATTTGCAGACGTATAGGGACATTCGCCTGCTGGCGTGGATGGCTGAGTCTAAAATGAATGAATAGGCACTACTAGTAATTTTTAGTATAGTCGCGGCAAATGGGCTGTGATTTGGACAGAAGTGGCCGGATAATGCGGCAAGTCAGGTAATCATTATTTTGGTACTAATATATATGGTGCAGTCCTTTGTACATATATTCGGCCGCATGAATAACACATTGGTATCGGGAGAACAGATCTACGCTTGAATATCATGCACACAGGACGGTAGTGGTGGAGCAAGACCAAGCAAGCCACACGCTACCTCCGAAAGCGAAAAAACCAAACAGCAGAAGTTACATCATGCTACTCGTCACAGGCACCGTTCCTTGCGGGTAATCACACGGCTCAAAGCGGAACTTAGCGATGACCTCTCTCGCGCTCCGGATGACCCTCAGGCAAAGCGCTTCGCTTTCATCCTTCTCGCAGGTTGGTACAGGTAGAACCCGTTCGTCCGGAGGCAATGGTGATGACTGGTGCCATCTCCGCTGACGTGCTTCCATCTCCTCGATAAGAGCAAGAAGACTGGGTGTTTCCGTGACTTGAGGGCTACCGGCAGGGTCATAAGGTCCACCAACGACTGCGCCGCGTACAGTTTGCCGGAGCCAGTCTTTCCAACCGGCTGCCGGATTGGGAGATTGCTCGATCGTCGCGGCATACGCAGAAGACGTCGACTGCTTACCCAGGTCGACCGGGTTAGCCTTGTAAACACGAAGCCAGGAGTCGGCGATGACAGCCAGCAGGGTCCCGGTACACATGACGTTCTGCATCCCCGTGCCGAAGCGTCTCGGGCATATTCGACAGCGGATGACCTCCCGCGAAGTCCGCGCCGCGATGTATAATGAGCAAAATGTATGTTGCGAGATCGGAAACGGAGCGAGGGAGGATAAATGACTGAGGCAGAGGTAGAGACGCGATAGACATGAACATTGTTGGTCGGATGAATCCGTGGGATCGGGAGAGGGGTAAGACAGGTCCGGCGGAAGCGGTGTCAAACTAGCGGTCGCCGCAGAGACGCTGGAGAAGTCAGGCCAGGGAGTGGTTGTCGTAGGTACGCAGTTTAAAGGCGTTGCGAGATCCATACGACTCGGAGGGCTCTGGGTGTCGTCTGACAAGGGAGCAGGAGGGGTCGTCTGTGGGGTATAGACTCCAATCCCCGGCTGCAAAACGTCCCCAGAGGGAACCCCAGCCCCCACGGGGTCTATTGGGAGGAGGTGACTGAGATCCGCCTCTGTGGCCCATAACCTATTCTCGAGACCAAGCACTGAGGGGTCCTCTTCCTCCCGTAAGCGCTTCTTCGGCGGCCGTCCCATTTGTTTCTGTTCCGAATAGTGGCAGACGAGATCCTGTTTGAGACATCGCGTGCAACCTGTCTGTTCCCCGGAGCATTTCAGCTTGCGTTTCCCTATGTTTGTCAGCCTACAGATGATGAGCCTGGATCTCGTGCGTCAGGCATACTGCACTCATCACACGCAGCATGTCTTTTCACCGGCCGCGCCACAGTCTCATTGAAGGTGCTGTCCGAAAGCGTAAGCGGCGGCTGGAACCACTCGGGCTGAGGCTCGAACTGCGTCATAATAAGCTCATGAATCGATTCAGGGCTTTTCTTATCCAGCAGCAAGCAAGCACTAATTAAGCTGCGCCGTAGCTGTGAGCGCTCGTCCACCGATGTAATAATTATTATCGATAGCCTTGCGGAGTATGTCGAGCGGCGGAACGATAAGAGCGGGCGGTATGTCACGTGGGCGGTGGAAGAGCGCAAATCTTCCCGACGCAGGAAAAAAAAAAGTTGCAAGGAAATCAATTCGGTCTCCCAGCGGTTGTCGATTGTTAAGCACCGGACGCATTTTGGAAGCGTTCCACCGTCATCATGGTTGCTTCAGCAGGATCGAAGAAGCGCAAGGCTGTTACCCGAGATGTTGAGGAGGAAGCTGGCGCATTCTCCGGTGACGAATTGGCTGGAGACTTAAACGGCGCGCTTTCGGACAGCGCCAATGATCTGTCTAGCGATGAAGACGACTCTGAAGTCGAATTAGTGGACGAGTTCAGCAGCGATGAAGACGATGATGAGGAGGACGAGCTTGATAGCGACGAGATTCCCTCGGACGGCGAAGATGCCGTGCAGAAGAAGTCCGACAAATTGACTACAGCCCCCTCGGACGACGAAAGCTCGAGTGACGAGGCGGAGGTAAATTTCCGCATTGAAAAGGATGCCAATGGCAATGACCGCTATGTCTACGATGAAATTAACCCGGATGACAACTCGGATTACTCTGACGTCGGCGAAAACTCGAATACAATCGGCAATATCCCGTTGTCCTTCTACAACCAGTACCCCCACATCGGTTACGATATCAATGGAAAGAAGATCATGCGTCCCGCTACAGGTGAGGCTCTGGATGCACTTCTCGATAGCATCGAGATCCCGAAGGGCTTCACAGGTCTTACCGATCCTTCCACTGGAAAGCCTCTGGAGCTCAGCCAGGACGAGCTGGAGTTGTTGCGCAAGGTGCAGATGAACGAGATTCCTGAGGACGGATACAATCCTTACGAGCCATTGATGGAATGGTTCACCACGGAGAAGGAGGTCATGCCCTTGAGCGCTGCTCCTGAGCCTAAGCGCCGCTTCCTACCGTCTAAGCATGAGGCCAAACGCGTCATGAAGATCGTCAAGGCCATCCGAGAAGGTCGTATCCTCCCTTACAAGCCCCCAGCGGAGCAAGACGAGGAGGACAAGGACATCATCAAATATGATCTGTGGGCGGACGAGGAGGAGCGACCCGATCACATCATGCACGTCCCCGCCCCCAAGCTTCCACCTCCCGGCTATGAAGAGAGTTATCACCCCCCTCCCGAATATCTCCCTGACAACAAGGAGCGCAAGACCTGGGAGCAAATGGACCCCGAGGACCGGGAGCGCGAGTACCTGCCCACCGACTTCGGCTCTCTGCGCAAGGTCCCTGGTTATGGCGAGTTTGTCAAGGAGAAGTTCGAGCGTTGCTTGGACCTTTACTTGGCCCCCAGAGTTCGTCGCAGCAAGCTCAACATCGATCCCGAGAGCCTGCTGCCCAAGCTTCCCAGCCCCGAGGAGCTCAAACCTTTCCCCTCTATGTGTGCCACCGTTTTCCGAGGACACAAGGGCCGTGTTCGCTCCCTTTCGGTCGATCCTACTGGCGTTTGGTTGGCAACTGCTGGCGATGATGGAACTGTTCGTGTCTGGGAGCTGCTCACCGGTCGTCAGCTGTGGAGCGTTCAGCTGAGCGAAGAGGAAGCCGTCAACGTCGTCCGCTGGAGACCCGGCAAGGACGCTGTGGTTCTGGCCGCCGCCGCGGGTGACGACCTTTACCTCATGGTGCCCTCCATTCTCGATCCCGAGCTAGAGAAGGCCAGTCTGGAGCTCCTTGACGCTGGATGGGGATTCGCCGCCTCGAAGCCCGCTCCCAGCGCCGCGGAGGAAGGCAAGCGGGCACCTCCCCAGTGGATCCGCCCTTCGTCGACTCTTGCCGACTCCGGCGTCTGCGCGGTCATTCCCCTCCGCTACGTGGCCAAGTCTATCTCCTGGCACCGCCGCGGAGACTATTTTGTTACCGTCTGCCCTGGCTCCTCTACTCCTGCTTCGATGGCTGTGGCTATCCACACGGTCTCGAAGCATCTGACGCAGTACCCCTTCAGCCGGCGCATCAAGGGCGGTGGTCCCCCGCAGACCGCCCACTTCCACCCCTCGAAGCCGATCCTCTTCGTCGCCAACCAGCGCACTGTTCGCGGATACGACCTCTCCCGCCAACTCCTCGTCAAGATCGTCCAACCCGGTGCCCGCTGGATCTCCTCCTTCGACATCCACCCGACCTCCTCCACCGCCTCCGGCGGCGACAACCTCATTGTTGGTTCCTACGACCGTCGCCTCCTGTGGCACGATCTCGAGCTCTCGCAGCGGCCGTACAAGACCCTGCGGTACCACCGCAAGGCCATCCGCGCCGTCAAGTTCCACCCCAGCGGCCGCTACCCCTTGTTCGCCGACGCCAGCGACGACGGCTCCCTCCAGATCTTCCACGGCAGCGTCACGGGCGACATGCTCAGCAACGCCAGCATCGTCCCGCTCAAGGTCCTCAAGGGCCACAAGATCACAGGCGAGCTGGGCGTGCTGGACATCGACTGGCACCCCCGCGAAGCCTGGTGTGTCAGTGCCGGTGCCGACGGCACGTGCCGTTTATGGATGTGAAAATTCCCTCAAGCGCATACTGTCTTGGGATATTCTTCGTCTACTGTTTGTTCCCATCATATCTACATGAGAGGCGTTCTCGGTGTGTGTATATACAATCATTCTTCCTTCGATATCCATTCAAAAGTTATCTTCCATCTGTTGTTTCCGTTGGCTGTAATGTAGACTTGCCCTAGAACTTTTGACCTGCGTCTACTCAGCTCAGAAGCCTGCTCCGCTCATCACTACCTTCACAAAACACCGCCGATTGCATGACCTATCATGCAAGGTGCCAGTGCGCATGCTAGACTTGCCTACTGTATAGGTAGTCCTAGCGAGTCTTCTGATCTTCTTGATAGGCTGTGTCAATAGACTCCACCACATACCTGTCAACCTGAGGACCGTTTTTCCACATCGCACAGCAAGCATACACTCAAACCTCTCGGGATTATAGTAGTATCAAAAACCGTACCAACAATCTTCGATTCCCCAAAAAAGGAAGAATTCATACACTCTCTCTATGAATCTATGTACAAGACACCACCCCAGCCAACCGAACAAAAAACTAAACCACGCCACCACTCCAATCTCTCCGCAAGCGCTCATACTTCTTCAAATCCGTAACACTAGGTCTAATGAAAGCCTTAGCAGCGACAAAGTCCTCGAACTTGATGGTATCGCGGCGCTTGATGGCCGAGTAACCGGCGCGGCGCAGCAAGCTGCCGAGATCGGCACCGCTGAAACCCTCGCACTCCTCGGCGAGGCGGCGAAGATTCTCATCGAACTCGATGGGGAGCTTGCGGACGAGGGTCTGGAGGATATCGGCGCGCTCGAGGGGACTGGGGAGGTTGACGAACAACAAGGTCTCGAGGCGGCCGGGACGCAGCATGGCGGGGTCGATGATGTCAGGGCGGTTGGTGGCGGCGATCACGTAGATGCCCTGGCGGCTGGAGCCGAGGCCGTCGAGCTCGGTGAGGAGGGTGTTGACGACGCGGGCGGAGGCCTCGGAGAGGGTGTCGTCGCGGCGGGGGACGAGGGCGTCGAGCTCGTCGAAGAAGATGACGCAGGGGACGGAGGAGCGGGCGCGCACGAACACCTGGCGCACGGCGCGCTCGGACTCACCCACGAATTTATTGAGCAGTTCGGGCCCCTTGACGCTGATGAAGTTGGCGCGACTCTCGTTGGCGACCGCCTTGGCCAGCAGGGTTTTACCGCAACCGGGGGGGCCCCAGAGGAGGACGCCCGTGGGCGCGGTGATGCCGACGTTGGCATAGATCTCCGGGTGGCGGATCGGGTCGACGATCGCGGTGGACAGCTCGTCGCGGATGCCGCCCAGCGCGCCGATGTCTGCCCAGGTTGTGTCGGGGATCGTGGCGAAGCCCTCGCGCTTGGACGAGGGTTGGATTTTGGGGAGCGCGGTGAAGAAGTCGGCGTTGGAGACGAGGACGGTCTGCGTCTCGTCGCCGATCGGGGTGTCCTTGGCGTGCACGATCAGGCGCCGGATCTCCTTGACCTTGGGGCTGATCTCGTCGGTCACGCTGAGGTGGTCGATGTCCATCATTTTCTCGTCCTCGGGCCCGCTGTTGGATTTCAGGATCTCCAGGTAGCGTTTGATGGCCGCCGAGCCCGCCGTGGCGACCAGGTCGTTGAGGTCGGCGCCCACGAAGCCCGGCGTGCGTTTGGCGAGGAGCTTGAGGTCGAGGTCGTCCGCGAGGCGCATCTTGCGGGTCAGCGCGCGGAGGATCTGCTCGCGCACCGGCTCCGACGGCACCGTCATGTTAATCTCCTTGTCGAAGCGCCCGCCGCGGCGGAGAGCCGCGTCCAGGCTGTCGGGCCGGTTGGTGGCTGCCAGGACGATGACCGGCTTGCCGTCGGTCTTTTCGAGGGCGAGGTCGTCCATGCATGTAAGAAGCTGGGCTACGATGCGCTTCTCCATCTCTCGCTGGGCACTTTCGCGCTTCGGGGTGATGGCGTCGATTTCGTCGATGAAGATGAGGCAGGGGGCGATGCGCCGGGCCTCCTCGAAGTACTCGCGCAGCGCCTTCTCGGATTCACCGGACATGCCGGAGATGACTGACGGGGCGGAAATGGAGATGAAGGGAACGCCCAGTTCCGCGGCGAACGCATTGGCGATCATGGTCTTACCGCATCCCGGCGGACCGTGGAGCAGGACGCCACGCGGCGGTTGCACGTTGGATGACATGTAGACCTGCGGGCGAGTCATCGGGAGAATGACAAGGTCTCCCAGCTGCTCGACCACATCGTCTAGACCACCCAAGTCTGCAAGGCTGACGTGCGTAGGCGGGGATCGATCGACAGCGGAGTCGCCCTTGCGGCGCTTGGACGAGTGCGATTCGCCGCCATGGTGTCGTTTTTTCGTCGAGGATTTCGGAGCGGGCGTGGCCGTGTCTGTAGGATTCGTCTCGCTTTGCTTCTGGGGATTGGTTGCGCCGTTCGTGTTCCACATGCCGACGAGGCTTTTGTTAAGGCTGTTGTTGGGTTCCTACAGCTGTCAGTGCTTGCGTGGCTAGCAGTAGGTCTCTGCGCAGGTGGGCTCACCGGCACCGCAGGCTCCTCCAGTCCTTCAAAGTCACCCTCCACCGAGTCCTCCTCCTCTTCATCATCTTTCATCACCTGCACCACGCGCTCAATGCTATCCTCCAGTATTCTCTTGGGTTTGCGGTTCAGGCTCGAATTCGACCGCTTGATGGTGTCGTATATCGTGGAGACAGACAGCCGCACCGATCCGTTCTCTGCCTGCTCGTCAACGATTTTGCGCACAATCTGATAGACCTGTAAAATGACCATGCGGAGATTAGCGAATGGTACATACATCGCTGTTGCGGGATGGAAAAATGGAAGTCCACTCACATCCTTATCCAGGCCTTGTCTAAGGCTGGGCCTGCCCCCGCGACCCATGGCGTATCAGTAGAAAAAGCCCTTGAGCGTATGAATTAACCACAAGGCGAGCCAATGTGCGAGATCAGCGATCTGATAACCCATGAATTGCTGGGGATCTTCTACAATTTTAGACGGCCGGAGAATCAATTGACCGGCGGAGAAAACGGTGAGTTTAGTTACCGGAAAGTAATCGCATTACAGATCTTACATGAGCCTGATTGGGGGAGGTCTTTCACCGCCCGCAGCATCGACCGTACTGGAACCAGATACGCAGCGGACGTCATCTGTTATCGGCGCTTGACCCCATGGCCTGCATCTCGAAGCCGGACTCTCGACACTCTTTACAACAACGACACCATGCGCTGACAATGGGAAACGCTAACAGCTCCCATAAGATCTCTGCTCAGGATCGGTAAGAGTTTTCCCCTCGGTTTCGCTGAAATCCTCATTGCGATGCCTGCTAGTCGGGAACTCCACTGCGGCTGAAGCTCCCTCCCCCTCCCCTGGTCCCGATAGATAAGCTAAACGGACGGGTGCATGTGCCCTACAGCGCGATCCTCGACCTCAAGAATCAACGCGACAAGCTCCGCCAATACCAGAAGCGGATCACCGTGCTGACGGACCGGGAGACCGCCATCGCCAAGGAATGTCTGGCGCGGAACGATCGCAAGCGCGCCTTGCTCGCCCTGCGCCGCAAGAAATACCAGGAGTCGCTACTCGACAAGACGGACAAGCAGCTGGAACAGCTGGAACAACTTACGGGGCAGATTGAGTTTGCGCTCGTTCAGAAAGATGTACTCTTTGGGCTGCAGCAGGGGACCCAGGTTCTGCAGACCATCAACAAGGAAATGGGCGGAATTGAGGGGGTGGAGAAGCTGATGGGTGAGACGGAGGAGGCACGAGCATATCAGGAGGTAAGCTTGACGGCGATATCCATGGAGGGATTTTATGTGATATGGGTATGCTAAGCTGGCGGTTGCAGGAAATCAGTCAAATGCTCGCAGGTCGTCTATCCAGGGAGGACGAGGACGAGGTCGAGGAGGAATTGGAAGAATTGCAACGTCAAGCGCAGGGTCCAGTTGTCATGCCCAATGCTCCCGTCTCATCGCTTCCAGAGGTTGGGGAGGAGGAGGCGGCAGGAGAAGCGCAATCCGAGGCGTCGACTGGAGGAAGGAAGGCCAGGGCCGAAGAGCGGACCGCTGTCCTGGCTTGAGATTACTTAGCCACCAATTGTTATTCCGCATAGCATTTCTGGAGTTATAGGTTCTGTCATGTTCTCATAGTATTTCATCATATCGTTAGATAGCTCAACATGGTCAATGTTACAACATACATACATAGCTGAACTCCGACTGGCACTCGGTACGTGGATAAAGTCCAGCTCTATCACCAGAAACAGCATATTCCACGGTCAGCCTACACCACCCAACACACAGGCGGACTAGAACGACAAGGGCATCTGCGTTAAAGGTTCAAGTCGAGTCATTTGTACCACAACGATGCAAATAAAGAAAGCAGTCTCCCTATGCCTCACTGGATTCTACTGCCCACACCGTTGACACCCTGGATAGCCACATGATCATTCGGGTTGGCTGCTGCCTCGTAGAGGAAGTTGACGGGCTCGCGGTTCAGCGCCATAAACGTTCCCTTGAATCCGATATAGCCCACCTTGGTCACGTCTTCCTCGCCCTCACTCCAGTTATCTTCAAAGAACAGGGTGATGGAGGTTGTGGTGTTCCAATGCGCGCGGTTTAAGGGTATCTCGAAGACGTCCGCTCCGGCAACCGGCTGGGGGATCTCGAGCTTCTGGGTGGGCGACAATTCGGACGCGGTAGAGAAGTCTAAATCGTCGCGGTTCTTGAATAGTTTCAACGTCTTGGGAGCGGAGGAAGTTGGCGCGGTGTAGATAAGGAGCGAGTGAACCTTGACTTGACCGGTGAAGCTTTTATAGCGCAAAGCAATTATTAGTCGTTTGTTGCAAAGTGGTGGCAGAGTGATGGCAATAGCAATAGTAGTAGAGTGACGGAGTGGTCTTCATTCTTTGCGACACCGAGCGGGAGGGGCATTGGCGGGGTAGCAACAAGCAAGACAATCCTCTCAATCCCAAAACACCTCAAAGGGTAGAACTCACGGAATGTACATCAGGAGCTGCTCGTCAGCATCACTCTCCAGCTCCGGCTCGTCGTTCAGCCTCTCCGCCCATGTTTTTTTGACGATCGCCGCGCCGGACTTGGGAGTAGCCTCTGCAATGTTGATCAACATTCATCTGCGGAAAACGATCGTTCAGCTAAAGTGCAGATGCTGTACGCACCGTTGAGAGTTGTAATAGAGTCGAATTGAACTTGCGTGTATAGAAGCGATTGGATGGCCGGGGTTATATCATTGGAGTGGTCGTGACCGTCTTCGTCATGGCAATGCCCGCCGTGGCCGTGATCATGATGATGATGGCCCGACATCTCGCGATGCGATATCTGAGTTTCCTGACGATCGCCGGTAGAGATGAAAGCTTGAATTGAGTTTGACTGATGATGACTGATGAGCTAGGTAGAGTGCGAAGCGACGGTTCGAGAACCCTTGCTGACAACTTTGGTTGAGTGTGGATGATAGCAAGAGTAGAAAGATGTACGAGATCATACTGTGAATGGTGGAATCTTCGGTTAAGTCATGCATTAACTCATTTGGACCCATCAGTGCATCCTGACCACAACCTGCACTATTCCAATCTCTCAAGGTCTCTGTGCTTAGCAGACGGTTATTCTTGAGTTTCTCTTAGTTGGTAGAACATTTCTACTCTAATTAGTCGAAGTAAATTTGAGAATCGTCTTCAGTAGGAACCATAAAAAAGTAATTGTATGCATTGGGATATCATCATAGAAACACAGACTACCAAGAGTCGTCTAGTATACAAGAATTCTTATTTCAGAGTGACTATGCCAGAAAGCAGTTAATGCACTTGGTAGTAGTTCGGTGCATACTCGAGCAAATAGCCCTTCTCAATCTTCGTTATATCTCGAATGTAAGTCTTTTCCCCAGTCTGCAGTATCTCATGGAATATAACCCATTCCGCTTTGCGATTCTACACGACCAGTTAGCATCAAAATCTCGAGTCATTGGCAAGGAATTTGACTCACAAACATCAGCGAGCTCGGATGAGCATGCAACGTCAACCCGCCGCTCACCGTCTTGAATGTGCCGTCGGGCTGCATCTTTGCAGCATGCGCAAAATACCCGGTTGTGAGACATCTCTGTATTTTCTCGGGAAGCTTACTGGAGTCCTCCTGTCTAGCACGGGCAGAAAGGGTCTCGTCAACCTGGATCCCGAAACGTTCCAGGTATCGCTTGAGCTGGGCACGTATGCTCACAGCTCGCTGCATAGACCGGAAGTTCAAAAGATTATCTCGGCACCACTTCGAGTCCTTCTTCCCCTTGGTAACAAAGGCTTGGTAGACATTGAGATATGTCAGATGATCGCCTTCTTCCACTGCAAACTTCCTCCGCATGCTCTCCGAGGTTTTGCGATCACCGTCGTGTTGAACCCAGACCGAGCCTTGTAGACTAACCATAGCAGCAATTGACAGTATTTCACTCAGACAGCCGAAGCTCGGCGCAGATAGTAGAACCCTCGCCATCATAGGGTCCACGGCTAACTCGGCCATCCGCATGCCCTGTGGCTTGGTGAGCTTGGCGTAGTCATCGACTGCGCCCAGGGAATACAGAAGCTCGAAAGCACGGATCACGAGTTCGGCCGGGGGAGGCGTCAAGAAATCAAAGCGGACAATATTGTCGATGCCAAGAGCTTTCAACTGCATTATTACCGGCGCCAGGTTAGATCGCTGGATCTCTGGGATGGTTGCATCTGGGAGGCTCTCATATGCTTGCTGCGTGTAGAGACGGAAACATTTACCCGGCTTCGTGCGCCCAGCTCGACCGGCACGCTGGACTGCTGCAGCTTTGGATATCGGGACCGCAGTCAACGTTTCAATACCCGTAGTAGGATTGTAGGCTCTCAGTTTGGCGAAACCACAATCAACCACATAAACTATACCATTGATGGTCACAGACGCTTCGGCGATGTTGGTGGACACAATAACCTTACGAGTGTTTTCGGGAGCTGGCTCGAAAACGTACATCTGCTGGTCTGTTGTCAGACCGGCATAGAGCGGGAGTGGGAGCAAAGATTGCGCCTTGGGATGAAGGCTGGCAGCGCGTTCCGAGATCAGCTGTATGGCTGCATCAATCTCCTCCCGGCCGGTCAAGAACACAAGGATATCACCCTCTGCTTCCTGAAGGTGTATATCGAAGACGGTTTTAACGGCTCGCTCCACGTAGTCCTCTGCAGGCGACTCAAGAAAGAGCATGTCCACCGGATACATGCGACCCTCTAGACTGATGATCCTGCCGACCTTCCCACCCATCTCGCCAGATTCCGCCTCACTGTCGAATTCGTCTCCCGCAAAGAAGCGCAGGAATTCTTCAGCCTGCAAAGTTGCACTGCTGACGACAATCCTCAGCTCGGGACGTTTCTTCATGATCTTCTTCAAGATGCCCAATAGAATGTCAGTGCTTAGAGACCGCTCATGGGCCTCATCGACCATGATGACTGAATACCGCGACAGCAGAGGATCTACCAGTGCCTCCCTAAGCAGCATTCCATCTGTTAGGAACTTGATCTTGGTGGACGCAGACGTCAGGTCCTCAAAGCGGATTGAGTAGCCCACCTCCTCGCCTAGCTTGCATCGCATTTCTTCGGCTACTCTAGCGGCAACTGTGGTGGCAGCCACACGACGGGGCTGTGGAATGTCAGCTTTGCTGGTCAGCAGAAACAGGGCGGGAGTGACGCTACCTGCGTGATAGCAATCGCTTTCCCATCTGCACACCATCCTGTTTGCTCAAGGTACTGGGGCAACTGGGTTGTCTTTCCGCTCCCAGTCTGTCCAACGACGATGGTGACTGGATAGGTTTCGACTAGATAGAGTAAACTCTGTTTATGTCTTGCAATAGGGAGCAGTGCAGCAGGCTTGTACAAAGAAGGGATAAATGAGGAAGCGAGTTCAAGATCAGAAGCCATGTTGAAAATTGCCCCCGGCATCAGTGATCAGCCTTAGTCCAACCTGACTGGCTGATAGTTCCAGTTTTCAACCACGATAAGATTTGAGGATGAATTGATGATCCAACTGAGACATATTGTATAAGGCACAACAAAACAAGCGATGCACGAAGTCTTTCACTGGTCCTAACCTTACCAGGCGCACACAAGATCGCCTGGATAGCAGGACAGACACCAAACCCGATCGATTGTATGCGAAAGAAAGATATCAGGTACAGTATCCAGTATGTATGGCTCAATCGGGGCCGAAAGTGCACAGGGAGATTATGTCAGCTCCGCATGCACAGCACGTGATGCAACGTCACCAGGGACCGTCGGAAAGGGGGAGGGGATGCCATCCAATTGAGGCTTACCTTCTGCCTGTTGGGCAAATTCCGCTTTTCACGCATTCAAATAAACCCCAGGGAACCACTCGCTCTATTTTAGTCTTGGGCTGTATGCCTACTGATCAAATCCTTCTACGCGTAAAATCCCCGCCCTTGTTCCTTAACATACTAGTGCACTGTTCACCATGACGGAGGAAGACAAGAATGTAGGTTCTAGATCCCGCTTCCCCTTTCAGTCAACACTATTAACATGGAGGCAACCCAGACGATCAACAGACTCTCTGCAGAGCCGGCCAGCCCGAAACCAGAGTCGCCGACCACGGCGCGTCCTCTAGACTTCGATGATGAAGCCCAAGAGACCGGCGTCCCCTCGACTTTCCCCTCAGCGACCCCGATTCAGCCGCGCGCTGCGGAAGCTGCCCCGCCAAAGCCACCCCGCCCCGTGAGTCCCCGACAGCAGGCGGAGAACACCCTCAAAGAAGCGTTCCCCTCGATCGATATTGGAGTAATCAGGGCAGTGCTAGTCGCAAGCAACTGGGATGTGGAACGGGCCTTCCATGCTCTACTGGGTCCGTACTGGCCAACAAACAGTGTTGGATTCCAAGCCACCTAACCGCTTTTCTGTTACCAGGCATGACCGATCCTAATGCTGCTGAACAAGACGTCCCTCCACCCAAACCTCCCCGTCCCTCAGCCGCACAGAGACAGCTCGAGCAAGATGAAATGTACGCCCGGCAGCTCGCCGAACACTACAACCGCCGCGCGGCACCGCAGCCTCAGTATGAGGACGATCGCGCGTACCAGCGGCAAAGGAGGAGTGAGGAGTCGGAAGAAAAGGAATACAGCTTCTTCGATGGTTCGTTGTGTTCATCCGAAGCAGGTTTCTGGCTGCTGACCCGTTTATGACTACTGCAGACGACTTGCCCATCATCCGCGAAAACATCCGCAAGGGCTTCCTGGAAACTCAATCAAAGGTGAACTCATGGGTGACGAATCTGAAGAAGAAGCTAGACGGAGAAGAGTCGGAGGACGATGGCCAAGCGGCTCACAACCAGCGCGAAGATCCCTTCGGCCGTCCGCGTCGGAGCGGCGACAAGGGCCGCCGTAGCGGAGACCGCGAGCGGTACGACGCTGACCACCGCGTCTTGAGCGACGACTTCTCGGCTCTCGAACTGAGGGATTCAGAAGGTAGAGAGTCGCAATGGCCCCGACAAAGAGTATCACTGACACGTCGCCGCAGCTCCCCCAGCGCGCCCTCCCCGTCCCCTAGCCAATCCCAACCTGTACAAGACCTCTTCGCCCTCGCCCGACCGACGCAAGGTAGCCTTCCAGGATGGGCCACCCACGGAGATTGACAATCTATATGATGCTTCCGAACCGGTCCGCCGCGCCTCGCCCGCGACCGGCAAGTCCAGCAAATGGCAACCCTTGTCCACCGTGGAACCCTCCCCTGTCGGTGAACACGATCCGTTCAGTTTGGGGGATAGTGAAGATGAGAAGGATACCCCCGCCAAGGCGAAAGAGACTACCACGGAGGGTTCTTCCAAGGTTGCGACTGTCGAGACAGTACCGGAAGGGGAGTCTAAGGATAGCACAACAGGTGCTGGAAAGTCATAAGAGTCAGATCTTAGGGTTATGCATCATATTCTGACTTAGTCCCGCGTCACAAGGGTTGTGATGTTGATATGTCCTACATCAAATCGTGTCTTTGTCCTTGTGGCTAGAAGCAATGATACCAGGCTGAATCGATTCTCTGTTCAATTCTTATGTTCCCAGCCCATGGCAAGCAAATCCAACTCACTCTCGGAGTAACCAAATACATCACCATCAAGACTTGGAATACGACGGCCAGGCCAGCGTGATCAGGATTCGATCTAGTGTATGTAAAATTGGAAGCACGAATAGAATCATCGACGGGTATCTTTAAGGAGAAAACAAAAACCCAACACAGACTCAAGCAAAGCATAAATCCACCCGACATCCTCCACCACCCATCACTTAGTCTACGACTCACTTGATCACTGACTCACTCATACTGCTGTGCCTGCTCAGCCAGCCCCCTCGAAGCAGCACCGGTTTCCTTCCGCAAGTCCTTGATCACAGCCTAGATGTAATTAGTCAGTCAGATTTACTGTACTCGCACCATTTGAACAGAACAGCGATTGATGACAAGACCCAAACAAGAATGTGTGAAAGAACTTACGGCCAAAGCCTCTGGATTCACCCCATTCTCAATCAGCGAGACACAGAGCGAGAGTTCTGTTCGGTCCAGATGGGTGTTCTATAAGGTGGCGGTCAATTAACATCACATCTCAACCCGTTCTCATAATCCCATGATGGGAGTAGAGTTCAACATGGACATGAATGCGCGCAGCAATAGAGCAAGGCAATGCCATTTTCCAGTACTGTATATCCACAAAAGAGACACAGCGTAATCGCAAATCATGACATGTACAACCTAGCCCAACCGACACAAGCTGCAAGTTCACCGGTGGTGGTGGTGGTGGTGGTGGTGGTGAAGGTAGTGCCAAGATTCCAGCCTGTCTGCCATAGATCAGAATGGAGGGGCTGCGCTGCTTACCAGCAAGGTAGAAATCTCGTGAAGAATGTCAATGACCTCGCGGGCTGCTTGGCGTTTGTCGTCGGCTTGGGAAGAAGGAGGCATGATTTTGATAATGGATGGATTATTTGTTTTGCTTTGCTTTGCTTCTCCGCGTTTTTATTTTGTGGTGGCTTGAAGGAGAGTCTATTGAGCAGAGAGGGTGAGGAAGACAGCGAGGTGAAACGCAACGGAGAATGTTTGGTCCCCTGTCTGTCAATTCCTATCGATCATGTACTGAAAAAGGAACCGTTGAGATCAAGCTGAGGCTGCGGAGGTCGCAGTTGTTGCTGCGCGGTGCGGTACGGTAAAGCTGGGTACTGTACGCTCTCTCAATGCGGGCAGTAAATTACACCATGCAGTCTCTCTCAATTCAGCGTCAACAAAATTCACTGTAAACATACATTTCAAGACTGTATGCTAAGCAAAGTGCTTCACGGACTTTGTCTCCCTTCTATTCTCCATTTTTTTTTTCCTTTTTTTCTTTCTTTCTTTCTTTTTCCTTTACTCTGCCCTTCAACCTCCTTGCCCTTTCCTGCATTGTCGACCTCCTGCGGCTTGCCCTGTCACTCCCGGGATCGTTTCAACTGCCCGAGCCCCAGCCCTGAATGTAGGCTCAGCTTTCTCTACTAACCTCCCTTCCCGGCCCTTCAAGAATGCGGACCGATTTGATCCTATCAGACATCCACTCCTTGAACAGGACCCAAGCCCTTGACATTCTTGCCCAGATCGCACGTGTCGAGAAAAAAAGTTTCCCTGCCAATGAGGTCATGAGCTTTGGGGAGGAGCTCTGGCGCAAGAAGCCCAACACGAGGGTGCTCTACACTGCGGCTTCAGGCGCAAACCCGCCGGTCGTTCTGGCCTATGCGGTTTACGTTCGCCAAAAAGGCGTTGCCCTGCTCCACAAAGTCTGTGTAGCAGAGAGTCACCGCCGGCAGGGCGTGGGGATTCAACTGATGCAGTACATTCGAACTCGTCTACAAAAAGAGGGTTGTCAATACATTCAGTTGTGGGTGGACCAAGACAGAGCGCCAGCTAGAGCTTTGTATGTCCGCAGTGGTTATGCAGAGCGAGAAGCCATCGCGGATTACTATGGACCAGGCCGCACGGGCATTAGGATGGTACTGAATTTGTAGTCGAGTTGGCCCTTGGGGTTCTGGACTGCTTGCTTACTGCCCCTCGATAAGGTTGTCTGACCACGACGGGACCAAAAGTTTACATGCGTCGATCTCTGTTCTTCAGGCTATCTGTCAAGATGGCGGGCATTTTACTCCGAGTCAGATTGTTGACGGTTCATCTGGTGGTTGGAAGGGGGAGGAAAACTCGCACCTTGGCTTTCCGACGCCATCCCTTGCAGGGGCAGGAAGACCTACATTTCACCGTGTGAGATTCATCGCGCGCCGCGAACCATCAATTCTCTGACCATTCCCATACTCAAGTGACGTCAAACATATCCAGGCATGGCTCTTTTTGAAGGGGATGCGAGCTTCGCGCCTCTCCTGTGCCCGTTGGGCCCTTGGGCGCGAATGCCATGATGGAAAGCTAGAATCTCTGCCCTAAGGGCAGAGCAATTCCTCGATTCTCACCCTCACAACCCTCAACAATCGACCATTTCACCTTTGCTGCATCCTAATTTCGGTGTTGGGTGGTTGTTTGAAGCAACACTACGAGTTCCCTCTCGTGTGTATCAGACACAAAGCACTCATCTCGACCGTTCTCGTTGCTCTGGAGAGAGATGGCGCTCCTCGCGTTGGGTCTCCTCAGCATCCTGGGGACGGTAAATGCAGAGCTGGCACCTACTTACCCAGTCAATGCACAGCTTCCACCAGTGGCTCGGGTCTCAGAACCGTTCGAATTTGTTTTCTCTCAAGGCACGTTTGCTGGCAGCGGGCCGAACACCCAGTACTCGCTTGTGAACGCCCCATCATGGCTTGAGCTAGACTCGAAGAGCCGTACGATTTCCGGAACCCCTCAGAAGGACGATATAGGATCGCCAACGTTCGACTTAGTGGCAGCCGACGAGACAGGATCGGTGAACATGGAGGTCAATCTGGTCGTCACAACCGACGATGGTCCGAAACTTGGGAAGTCATTATTACCACAACTCGAAGCGCTAGGCGCGACATCGGCCCCAGACACGCTTGTCGTACACTCTGGCGATTCGTTCTCCTTGACCTTCGATCATGACACGTTCACGAATACGCGACCCTCCACTGTCTACTATGGAACCTCCCCTGACAACGCACCATTGCCATCGTGGGTCTCGTTCGACCAGGCAGCCCTTCGATTCTCCGGATCTACCCCGGATTTCGGACCTCAGACCTTCAGCTTCAACCTGATCGCTTCGGACGTGGCCGGATTCAGCGCTGCCACAGTGACCTTTGCGATGACCGTCAGCCCGCATATTCTGTCGTTCAATAAAAGTGCACAGACCCTCTTCCTGACCAAGGGGAAGTACTTCGAAAGCTCGGAATTTCTTGTTGATTTGACCCTGGATGGTCACGGAGCTACAGGAAGTGATTTGACAGATATCCATGTGGATTTCCCGAAATGGCTGGCATTGAACAAGGAGACCATTTCGCTAAGCGGCACACCGCCAGCAGATGCAGCAGACCAGAATGTCACCATCACTGTAACTGATAAATTCGAAGACGTAGCCACGCTGCTTATTGGCCTCCAGTTCTCCCAATTTTTCCATGATGATTTGGATGAATGCGACGCCGTCATCGGACAGTACTTTTCGTTCGTCTTCAACAGCTCCATTTTGACCGACGATTCTGTTTCACTGGACGTGGATCTGGGCGATCAGCTTCCGTGGCTGCATTACAACCGCGACAACAAGACGATCTACGGCCAGGTTCCTTCGGATCTTCGCCCTGGATCATTCAACGTCAATCTGACCGCTCGCGAGGAGACTGCGGAAGACAGCCGTCAATTCACAATCAAGGCAGTCTCGGAGAAGTCGTCCGCCGAAGACGCAGCCGGTACCGGCACAGCGGACGAAGGCAGCAGTAGCGGCGGCGCCAGCATGAGCAGCCGGAAGGCCGGCATCATCGCTGTTTCAGTCATTCTTCCGCTCATTGTTCTGAGCTCCCTTGCTATACTGCTGTTCTTCTGCTGGCGTCGCAAAAGAAAAGGCATCGCCCCAGGCCCGGAGGAAGGACGTACAGATGAAAAGACAATGTCGCCACGCCTCGACCCTGATTCCGACATGTACCCACACTGTCAGCCCTTTGAGCAAACCACCCCAGGCAAGCCTCCGCGCATGATGAGAAGCCCGTCGCCATCCTCGAAACCTCCAAAGCTCGAAATCTTCTGGCACACGAAGCCCTTGGCCGACGCTGGCGCTGGCGCTACCGACACGGATGACAAGGAGAATGCTTACCCTAACTCAACACTGGACTGGGACTTTGGACCGCTGGCGAGCACTCCACCGGAAGAGCCAAAACCAGTCGCAGATCCACCTCCGCAACCCAAGCGCTTATCGTTCCAGAGCAGCCCCCCCGTGCGCAGGCGCACCACGACGACGACACCAAAGAAGCGAGAGCCGCTTCGGCCGATCCAACCGCGGAGGTCACTCAAGCGGAATTCAACGGTGTCGCGGTCGAGGAGGTATTCCAAGCGGTCCAGTGGCATCTCCACGGTCGCTTCAGGGCTTCCGGTCAGGCTCAGCGGTGCTGGGCACGGGGCGGGTGGATTCGGGCCTCCGGGCCATGGGGTCGTTCGCATCTCCTGGCAGAACACACAGGCCTCTTTCCAAAGCGACGAGAGCGATGTTGGAAATTTGGCACCACTGTTTCCTCGCCCACCCCTCCGAGCACGCGAAAGCACGGAATATCCTAAACGCGTGAGTCTCCGGGCTGTCGAACCGGACACTTTGACCATCTCCGACACGGATTCCCTCGAGGCCTTCGTGCACAGTCGCGCCAAGAGCCGAAATTCCTCCAACCCTCTGTTCGCTGGTCAATTCGGCCGACGGGGGTCATCCGGCGGCCGGGCACTGCACCGGGCACGCAGCACGGTGAGTCGAGCAGATACGGTCGCCAGTTCGCATTATGTCGACGACTACCGACAAGATCGGCCCTGGTCAGCCGCGATGTCCGCGTCCATCTACACGGACGACCATCGCCAATCGGCTTATTTGCATTCGCTGTCGGAGGAATCGTCGGATCTACCGTTATCTGGGAGCACGATGAACAAGCAACCCAGTCAATCGAGTCTCGCGCAGAATTATTCCGAGGCGATTGCTCCGCTACCGCGCTTTTACAGCGAGTTAAGCTTAAGCAGTGCCCAACGAGGCGAAGCCAGTAACCACCACCACCACCACCAAACGACGTACCCTGGTGGACCACCACCTTCGAACAATGAGCGTCCCTCCCATGCGAACAACAATCGGACGTGGTTCCAGGTTGCGTCGAACGCGCCGGGCGAGGCTCCCAAAACTGATCCGCCGCCCTTGCCACCATTTCGCAAGAGCCCGTCTTTGTCCTCGATGCCATTCGAGGTGCGATCCCGCCGGGTGAGCTTGATTCGACCGGTGGACCGGGATTGGAGCGAACAGAGAGGGATTCAAAGAGAGTTGACGGGCAGTGTGAGAAGCGACATCGCGTTTGTTTGATTGAGGTGACATGTATACATACCCCATTCGTTTTTGCATGTTAAGGATCTCTTTGTGTTCGTGTGGTTCAGCTCCTGTGGCTGGTGTGTGGTGCATGAAGGCTGGCTTTGTTTTAGATGAGTATTCGGCGAGCATGATATCCACCGTGCATATTCTGTAGTTATCATTAATTGGTTCCTAATGCCCTCCTTTGTTTCATGTTTACCTTTAACCGACGAAGAAGACTCCAAAGAAGACCCCAAAGACAACAGGCAACAGGCAACAGCGCATCCACTGAAGCAAGCATAGCGAAATTAGGCTGGGGCTTACTTAGCATAGCGCCTCACGTGCTGTCAGATACAAAGGACGGGCCTATAAACTCCCAGCACGCATTCACAAGATCACCACCGGAGATTAATCTGTTGTTCTTTCCGTCGACTTATCTGGAAAGCAAGATAAGACGCTCGACCTATCCATCTCCAAAGGGGAATATACATTCAGCCTAGCGCAATGTTTCGCCCATGCAGGCTAAATAAGTACCTAGCTCGCACTCGCGTCTATCTTAAAGCGCAGGAAGTGAGATTCTTGTTCTCTCCTCCCCCTCCCCTCTCGCTCCTTACGCAAGACGCTCTGAAGTAATTGTGTGCTTGTGCTAGATTGTTCGGTTCTTCCGCTTTAGATTTTGGCTGCCTTCTTTTCTTTTTTTTTTTTTTGTCGTCAATATGGCCACTCGTGTAATAGGAGCAGATGAGGTATTGGAGACGAGCTTACTCCTACCAGACCCGCGCGGGCAGCAACTTCAGAACAAGAATACCCCCAGGAGATCCAGATGGATTCTTCTATTTGTGTGTTTTATCATTGTCACTTTAGACTTTGGTGACTATTTATCTATCGCGCCACAGCTACAGATCTACGAGGATATTATCTGTCACCGCGTGCATCCTGAACTCTTCGCCGGTGGCCTTGATCGGTTAACGGCCGCCTCCAATGCGCTCTGCAAGTCAGCTGATGTGCAAGGCGAGCTGGCTCTGCTAGTAGGCTGGAAGGACACATTCTCTATGCTTCCCGGGATGATCCTGGCGATCCCATTTGGCCTCATGGCGGACAAGGTCGGGCGCAAGCCAGTCATCATCCTCAGCCTTGCAGGTGTCATCATGCAGGAATGCGCTATCCGCCTCATTTGTAGGTAATTTTAGCTGTCAGAGAAGGGGGCTGCTGGGCTGACGTGCTCCTCAGGCTGGTATCATACAAGCATCCCACTCCAGGCAGTGTGGTTTACGCCGCTGTTCCAGATCGTCGGGGGTGGCAGCCAGATCGCTAGCTCCGTTGCCTTTACTGTCATTTCAGACGTCTTCCCAGTTGACAAAAGGTGATTGTGGTGTTTCTAGTCCCCCTGACCATCAATGTGCTAAAGATGAGACCACCTGCCCAGGGCAAACGCATTCCTCCTCATGGCCGCCGCCATGTTGCTTTCTCAGATTCTTGCAGCCCCTCTAAGCGCCTGGTTGATGTCCAAAGACGTGTGGGTACCGTCTTTGTTAGGGCTGGCGATTGAAATTTGCGGGTTCCTCCCTATATTCGTCTTCCCAGAGACTGGACCGAAGGCATTGGACAGACCGGAAGACGAGATCGAGAATGAAGCTAGTGAGCGAGACAATGAGTCTCTTCCGTTGACCTGGGTCGGTATCGTGCGTTTGGTGCGAACTCAACTGAGCGAAGTACTGAGATTTGTCGTGGGCAACGCCAATACTTTAGCGATCTTTTTCGCTTTCTTGACATCCAGCATTGGAAGCCAGGCGCTTCAGTTCGTGCTGCAATATGCCTCCAAGCGGTTCGCCTGGAGTGTGGCCGAGGTAGGCTTTCCGCAAATTTTTAGAAGACCCTTCTTCTTCACATAGTCACTAACGGAATGGATGATTGCAACAGGCTACATTTCTCATAAGTCTGAAAGGCGCCGTCAACCTTGTCGCCTTCCTTCTCATAATACCCTTGATTTCCAAGATCCTTGATCGATATCTCTCGCCGTTGAACAGAGACCTTCGCATCACGCACGCCAGTATCTGTGCCCTGATTGCAGGATTCGCCATCATGTCGGTGGCGGCCCATCCGGCCCTTTTCGGCCTAGGATTGTCGTTCTCAGCTCTCGGCTGGGGGTTTTACATGACACTTCGTAGCGTTGGAAGCGCTCTGGTGGCCGAGAGTCATGTCGGGCTTTTCAATACAACTATCGCCCTGGCCGAGGCTGTCGGATCGATGATCGCTGGCCCGTTGCTGGCACTCCTTCTCAAGGCAGGGATGAAGTGGGAGGGCGTTTGGATGGGCTTGCCATGGATGGCGGCGACTGGTTTGTATCTGCTGGCCGGAATGGCAGTAGTTTGCATCCGTACTTCATCAGGGCATTAGGATAGTCACAGAGTGCATATGCTTCGATGGAGATATGTGGACAAAGCAGCAATGCCTTGCGGTGACTACGTCAATGTCACGAAGTCCGATCCAGTCAGAGAAATCACAGACTGTGTCAGCCCCCTCGTCCCTTTATACGCGCGCCGGTTGCGCCACATGACCTCAGCCCGTCACAGCTACTGTGCAGTATACAACAGGATCCTGACCAACTCGTCTTCGCCAACTACAGCTCTTCTTGGACACGTAACGTCAAATTTAGACCTTATAGGAGAACTGTGGAACAACAGTTGATGTGTCGCGCGCGTATACTTAGTCTGAGTATTGTACAGTACAGTACATCTTCGGGGTGCTGGAACATGGCTCTGTGTAAATGGGAAGAATGTAGGTGTAGTTACAGCACAGTCCCTGGCTTGAGAGAGCTTTGTCAGGTTCTGAGTGTCAAATTTATCCACTTCACACTAGGAACATGATGGTTGATATGATGTACATTGTACAGTATTATGCACTGCCATGTATTCAGCGGGAGGAACTGTTTTTTTTTTTTTTGGGTGGTGGGGATCAGCCGACCGGACAGCGGACGGATGTTGCAACTGGTTTTCGGCAATTCCTCTGGTTAACCTTGAAAAGGCACGCGACAGGCAGGCGGTCCGCCCCAAAACAGCGAACAATAGACCAGCGGCTATTGCTACAGTATGTAGCGATGTAGACGCTGAGTATCAACTGAATCCCTTTTCAATTGTTACTTTCTGGCTCAATTAGCTTACTGTGTATGGAGTAGCTAGTATCAATCTGCGTCCATTTGGCCAGCCACTGCACCCACGGACACCCTTCAATTGTGATCGGGAGAGCATACAGTGATGAAGCCCAGAAACCTCACTCATCTCCCCCAGCCTGTGACACCATCAATCAATCAATCAATCAATCAATCAATCAACCACAGGCTGCTTCGTCTGACTGGGCTGCAATTGCAACTTCAACTTCTTTCCTCTTCGCGCCTGTTCTGCCACTGCTGTCATAGTTCCATCTGATTCTGCATGTAACTCGTCAGCCGTGGTTGATGAGCGCAGTGACAGATCTTGGACAGGATCGAGGTGGTCAGCCAATCTTCCAGCACGGAGGACAGAGTATCGTCATCGTTGAATCGGGTACCCCACAGTTAACTATTTCCCATAACTAATCAGTAGTTAATAGTTACCTCCTGCAGGCTAAGTAGTGAATGACTCCTACTGCTAGTTAGTTGTTACCTACTGCTACCTAGTAATTGTACTGATTGTAGTTACCTACACAGCGAACTACTTACTGCTAGTTACTTGCTGCTGCCCCAGGCTGTCATCATTATTTTTGCAGCCAGCTTTTCCTACCTATTCTTCCGTCACGCCGCCTCCCTAATAGTCAGTCATTCTGCCCTCATTCACCCCCCCCCCCC